TTTTTTATTAATAAACCATTTCATTAGAACCCTTAAATAAATATTCCTCAAAATTCGATATACTTTTATTAACATAAAAATGAAATAGATAAAATCATCTTGTAAATAAAATAGCATCATTCTTATCTTAATTAACGCATATTCTTTATTATTCTTTATATTTCATAACAAGAAATATTTCATTATTGAATTAATTAAAAATATTATTTAGCATTATATATTCCTATAAAATATCAATCAAAAAAAGAATTACTCTAGAAAAAATGAAATAATTAAAGTTATTCATCACTTCTTCTTAGAAAATAACATACATTCCAAACCAAAAAATGATTAAGAGAGAATTTGATATTAATCTTTAATGTAGAATCGAACATATTCATTTGTAAACTAAATCAGATATCTCAAATTTTGAGATTTTAAGTTCTGACATACATTTAATTGTTTTGATTTATTATCTGAGACTTTTACTATACTAATTGTAGAAATATGCTTCACTACAAATTCAAGAATATAAAAATATTAGCATTTAAATATGTTAGTTATTTATTTAAGAATAATCGAACTCTTTTCTTAAATTTAAATAAATATCTATTTATTGAAGATGTAACTGAGGTAATAAATGATTTTATTAAAAAAAAAGAAATTGATCTAAGATGAGTCAATTTTCTTGAATTATTCAATAATTACTAATATTTTTTGAAAAATAAATTTATTTTTATGGGACTTGAGATGCATAAAGTTTAGTTTTCTATATAATTAACTAATTTGGTTATTTATTTATTCTCAAAACTAATATTTGCTAAATTAAACAATTATAAATGAAGTATATTAAAATGATGCGAGGGATAAAATCTGAAAAATATTTATTAGATTTTTGATATAAAATGTGACTGATATTCTAAAAATAAAGAAAGAACCTTAAAAGTTTTATGAAAAGAGAAAGATAGATGAAAGATAAGAATGTTTCAAAAAAAGAGTAAAGGAAGGAAAATCATAAAAGAATAAAAATTAATTTGTACATGTTTTATATTAAAATAAATCATTTACTTTCAAAAACACAAAATGCATTAGACCTAACAGTTTCAACTTTAACTTCTGGTCCTACCATAGTTCTTATATCTCTAATATCATAATAAATCATAGTAGGTCTTTCCAATCCTAATCCCCAAGCAATAACATTAACATCTTCTGGAATACCAAGGGGTGCCAACATTTCAGGTCTAAAAACTCCAGAATTACCAATTTCAACTTTTTTTTTGAGTATAGGATGATATCCTAAAATAAAAGATACTTATTACCATATATCTCCATACTAGGTTCAGTATATGGATTATATGTAGGTTTAAACCACAATTTATTAATTCCAATTTATCTAAAGAATTCTCTAATGATTCCCATCAATTAACCTAATGAAGCATTTTTATCAATAACAACACCCTCAATTTAATGGAATTCAGCTAAATGAGTTGCATCTAGAGTTTCATTTCTAAACACTTTATCAATACTGAAATATTTCTTAGGAAAATAACCTTTTTCTTTATATTATTATGCAATTCTGTATAACATTTTAGAGGACACAGCAGTTGTATGAGTTCTTAATATATTTTTTCTGGCTTCTTCATGTGACCATTCATATTAATATCCGATACTACCTACACCTCCTGATTAATGCATAGTTTTCACTTTATCTCTAAGTTATGTATCTACTTCTTCACTATATTCTGGATCACTACAAAAGAATGTATCATGAGCATCTCTTGCTGGATGTTTTTGAGGTTAAAAGAGTGCATCGAAATTCCAAAAAGATGATTCAACAAATTGATTTGTTGGCATTTCTTCAAATCCTAATCCAATTAATATTTATGAAAATTATTTCCTTACTTTTAAAAGAGGATGTAAATTACCCATAGAAACTATTATATTATTTTAGATTATTACTTTTTTCTCCTTCAGCTTTTAAATTTATACTTTTGTAATCACAATCCTTCCATTCTCCACTTAATAATTACTCTGTTGTTAAAGCTGCAAATTATTCTCTGAATTTTGAAGAATATCTAATACCTTTTTTAATATCAAAATATTTGATTGTTGAAATCATAGCTAATTTTCTTTCAATTAACAATTTAACTTATGCTGAACCTAATTTAATATTATTAAATTATTATAATTCTAGTTTTATCTTATCAGGTAAATCATTTCCAACCTTACTTATTACACCCTTATCCATTTTAATATACCCCATTTTCTTAGCATTACCAAATCCTAAATCAAATTATTTCTTTTTTGGATCTTCTGCTTATTTTTCTTTTTTCTCTCCCTATTCTTATTTCACCTTAGCCACCTATTCTATTCCAAATAATTTCTATAAATCAGCCATTGAAATTCCTTAATCAGGTATCTTCTGATAGATTTCATATTCTCCAGATTAAGAATTTAATATTGTATTTCCTTCTTCTGTCAATATTAATTAATCCTATTTTAACCCCTAAAATAATCAAAATCATATATACTTCTGTCTTAATATAATTAGCAGATTCTAATTGTAACAAATATCCCACTAAATCTTAATGGTTTATAGCCAAAGATTTAGCTACATCCATAGAGTTTAATGATTCTGTTGACTCCAATTGAGCCAGAATTGTATTTGTATGATCTTGCTTTTAATCCATAAATATATTAATTTATATAAAAATCTCAAACATTTGGGCCAAATTATTTCCCTTTGAAGTATCCTGTTAACATGTAAATTTGAGAAATGCATATCACAATTAAAGCTCCCATTTTACCTGCTGAACACCACCACAATTTCTTCTCTGTTGATTCTAACATTCTTTAATGTTCATTCTCTCTATCGTTTTAATAATGTTAATTGTTTTATATTGTTTTTAAACTTCTATATGCTTATTTCATATCTTCTGCCATTTAATCCATTGTTTCTAAACCATATAATTAATACAATTACCAGCCAATGCTAAATCATTCTCCTCAATAAAATCAAAGTTAAAACTAATCAATTTATAATATTTATCCAATGATTTAAAGCACACTTCATATTATCCATCATCTGTCATTATTTCTTTATAATTGCCTTCCTTTTATTTTATACTAGATTTTAAAAGAGTTTTCCTTGGAGAATAGAACTAATTAATTTTTTAATTCATTTTACTTTCATCTCTATATTATCCTCCTAGAATCCAGAAACCACAAAAGAGATTTAAAATAATGCAGTTTTCTTTCCTTATATTCCTAAACACAATTCTTTACCACCATCTAATCCTGTTGATAAAGCTTATATGGTTGAAAGTAAGAAAACAATAAACATTAATTCAATTAATTAATACAACGTGTTATTTTTGATTAATAATTAATAATTCACTTTGAAACTGCTTTATTTTAACTTACTATTCCAAATTTTTTATTCTCTTCTTCCAACTCCTTATTCCCTTTATTTTTATTCAATAATTAAATACCCATTATATGATAATTTTATATAAATGATTCTTAAACAATGTAGTTCAAGAGAAGGATTTGATTCCTCAAATGATATTGATCAATATGATTTAGAACAATACAAATAAAAATCTAAAACTTTCTAATATGATGAAGAATGCAATCAAACTTTTGAAAAAAAACCCATGATTTAAGAGTCCATTAAATAATGTAGGATTTTAAACTTAGATGTTCCCAAAGTCCTTATAAACAATAAAACTATTTATTTAAGCTAGCCATTATACAACACTAAACAAATTCATATGCTAATATAAAATAATGAGGAACGATAGGAATTTGAAATTTAAACACCTATAATAAACAGACCTTTTGTTGGGATGATAAAATCAGGTTTAAAATTTGATTCTAACTTTGAATCTGGAAATCTCGATCGAGTAGATTACGTAATTAATTCAATAATTATCTCAGATTTCAAACGATGAATATAATTTATATATGAGAATAGATACCAATTCCATTGGTCATAGCAATTGGTTTTATTTTAAAATAACCTAAAATGAATAAAGAAAAATAAAATTTAACATATGCAATTTCACAAAACCTTAAAGCTTATACACCAAAGGTATGAAACCATATGTTTTATCAAAAAAGAGCAAAAACAAATATTTTAGTCAACAAGGAGATAACATTAAATATTAATAATAAGGCTAATACTTCATTCTCTCATTTACATATTTTTTTGAATATGAAAATGATGAAGTTTCTTTTGCAACCTTGCCACCTTATACTTACACATAATTGATAAATAAGATAAAAAAATGGAGCAAATAATCGAAATAATATTTTTCAAAATTAAAAATAGCAAATACTTTATCTGGGTTAGTATTGCCATTGATAGTAATAACAGATAAATCAATAGATAAAAATAAAAAGATAATAATTTTGACTGCAAGAGTACACCCTTCTGAAACTTGCAGTTCATATATGATTCAAGGTTTCATTTCATTTTTATTAGGAGAATCTTTCATGGCATAATATCTAAGAAAGAAGTATATCATTTAATTATGAATTAATAGCATAATATTTAAAATAATTCCAATGTTGAATCCAGATGGAGTGGTAGTAGGAAATTATCGAAATGGTTTGAGCGGAGTGGATCTAAATAGATAATTTTAAGAGACGGATTTGACATTATTACCAGAAGTTAAAGCTTTGAAATGTTTGATAGAAGATAATCAATATAAATTGATTGGTTATTTTGATTTTCATGGCCATTAGGTGAGAAAGAATATTTTTTTATATGGTCCAGCAATAAATGGTGAAACAAGGATAGTTCCTTTAATTTTATAATAAAGATTAGATTCATTTAGATTTAAATCATGTGAATTTGGGATACCAAAATTTAAGATGGGAACTGCAAGAGCTTATGCTAATTAATATATTGAATCAATATGTTATACAATAGAAGCATCTTTTTGTGGTTATTAGAAAGGGAAGAATTTTAGATTCATAAGTAGTGATTGGATTGAAAGTGGATTATGTATAGGTGAAACATTATTCCTGTATTTGAATATGAAGCAGCAACATTAAAAATAATTAAGTAAAACATTGGATATGAAACATAGAATAAAATTAATTGTTAAAAACAATAAATGAAATGTCTTTGAAGGTAGAATAAACAGAAGTAAAGCATGATTCAGATGATGAAATAAATAGTTAATCAGATGCAGAAATATTTGAAGACTATGATAGAGAGAAATTAGATCAACTTTAGAATTAGATGAAAAAGGAGCTAAGTGGTTAGAATCTATTAGAATAGGAGGCTAAAATACTCAAAAATATGAAAGTACAAAGTGTTTCAAGAAAGATAAAGGCTACACCTTTATATTTATTATCAAAAAAGTAGTTAATGTAATTAATTAGAGATTAGCAACGTCCATCATTGTATCCTGATCTAAGTATACAAAATTGGGAATTTCGATCAAAGAATGGAAACAGTACAGAGAGTAAGAATCTAATTTAGAAAAGAGGAAAAACAAATAGCAAGTTGTTGCAATCATTTAGATTTGAAAATAGAAAGAGAGCTAGTTCAAATTAAGATGGATCTCCATTTAATTAAACGATCTAACAAATCATTATCACATAAATAATTCCAAAAAAGACAATATATAATTTTCCAATTTTAGAGAATATGCAATAAAGTGTAGGAGCACCTCTCCCATTTATTAGAAAACTATTAAAAGGAAATAACAAAAAACTGTCAGGATGATATTGATTATTGTTTATTTATGATAAATTTAATAACAATGATAATCATTTGCCTTTAACAGGTAAGAAATATGGATGATCCATTGCATCTTTTGGTGTTATTCTGAGGGCCTAAAAAATATAGAAATATAATATACATGGTCATAAACAAGCATTCTTGAGAGAATATCAATAGCCTCATCACTACACAAATGTTTATTTTCAGCATTTATGAATTTAACCCATTCCTTTTTAGGATAACTAATAAAATAATCATAAGATATTTACTTTCCCAATTTGGATTCCAAAACAGGATCTAATCTTATTCTGTATTTCTTAATATAAGCTTATAATTCTTCCGTTCCCAAAACTTTAGAAATCACAACTAATTAGTCATAGTTGTCTTATCCTTAAAAAAATGGTTCTTTTTTAAAGATCTAATATATGAAAATTAGATACCATAGATGCCATCATAGCTCCAGTACTCCAAATATCTAGGGAATAATCATAATAGACATTATCAACTAATAGTTCTGGTCCTTTAAAATAGCGTGATGCTACTCTAACATTATAATCTTGTCCTGGATGATAATATTCAGCCAAACCGAAATCTAATAATTTCAATAACTTTTTTTTAGGATCCACAATAATGTTTTATGGTTTAACATCTCTATGCATAATGCCTTTGGAATGACAATAATCTAAAGCTTTGATTAATTCGAAAAGGTAAAATCTTATTTCAATATCAGTTAATTTAGGGAATAAACTTCTAAAGTCAACGTGATCTATGTAATCAAAAATCAAGCAAGGTGTCTTAGATGATGGATCTCTAACAATATCTGACAACTCTATGACATTTGGATGACCTCTTATTGTGAGTAATATTTTTGTTTCTCTTTTGATTTTTTATTTCTTCACTGGTTTTAACACTTTAATCACTACTCTTGTTCCTTAAGGGAATTTGATTCCTTCATATACATCTGAATATTTTCCTCTTCCTATTTTCCTTATAACTTCATATTAATCGCTATCCTATATAACATTAATTATTTAATCAATACTCCCCATTCATTCTCAAAATTATCATAATCCCAATATTCTTTTGGTTGATTCTTATTAAAATTCGCATAATACTTTGGAGGTATTTACAAAATTTAATTCATATTATTTAATGCAACAAATATAAATACAAACTGCCACTCAAGATAAAGCTGCATATAATAGAAATGCATAAAAAATTATTGATAAACTAAAAGCCAATGATGTTGATTTCATTGATGCTACTCTAGAATATTCACTTTAAGTTTTTACTTCTAATGAACCACCTTTAAGGAAATTATTACTTTTGCGAGTATAAAATATCATATCTTAGCTTATCAAAGATGCCATTGTTATCAAATCTGCTAAATTCATAAATAAATACATTTAAAGTCGACCATTATTGACATTTATTGGAAATATATGTACTCATAAATTAGGTGATTCCAATCCTAATAGAGGAGCTGATCTTTTTTAAGGATAAGGTTCTATAATACAATTCCAATTTAGATCCATAATCAAGCATAGACTTTTTAAACTTAGCCTTAGAATTAGTTGAATATCTTGCAAATACATTTCCTAAAGATTCAAAAGGAGCTCCTACCAAATTCAAAATATAATATGATGAATTATTATAAATGGGAGTACATTATTCATATTAAAACATTAGGTTAAATTCCCTCCTTAATCAAGTCTTATTTTACCATTTGATCCTAATAAAGCTTCTCAAGAACCTATTCAAAAATAATCTGATAATAAAGGAGAAAGAGATAAAACCATGCTTGAACTTAGTAACTATTTATGTTAACTTTAGATAAAAGCAAATAAAGTATTTATTAAGATATTCAAATGATTAATGAATCCTTGGTAGATAATTCTGATATGACATATATTAATGAGGTCTTAGTCACATATAGTGAATCTATGAATTAAGTTGAATAATCATTTACTATTCTTATTAATAAAGCTTAACAATATGATGGTGTTTTAAATGAAGATGAATTAGCTGAATTATATGCTCTTAAAGATTTTGTTGAGAAATTCTAAAAATATTATTATGGTTATCTTGAAGGGGAATGTACTAATGAAGCTTATAATGCTTTAAAAAAGAAAACTTTAGCTCATATCTAAAAAATATAAAATAAAGATTTTGATTATCCTCCTCCATAATAACAATTAAAAAAATAATCACAATTACAATAAATTAATTAATACTAATATTAAGATGAAGATGAATAATTTAAAAGAGCTATTGAAGAATCTAAAATACAATAATAAAGTTCATAATTAGCATCCAAACAATTGGAAGAATAAAAAAAATAAGAATAAATCAAAAGATAATATGAAGAAGACTAACGTCAAGCAAAACTTAGAGAAGAATAAGCTGCATTGTAAAGATTAAAAGCAGAAGAAGAAAGAAGAGATAAAGAAAAATTAGAATAAATTAAATAAGAATAATTAAGATTGGAAGAAAAAAAAAAAGAATAATTAAGATTAGAATAAATAAAATAAGAAAAAATTAGATTAGAAGCATAATAATTATAACAATAATAACTTAAAGAAAAAGAAATTGAAAATTATTGGTAAAATTAATTTTAAGCTCCTCATCCAGATAATTAATACATGCCGTCATCTAAATTTGGATCAAATGTTAATCCTTAGTAATATTAATTTTCTTAATTCTAATAACAATAATAATATTAATCAAATATTTAATCATCATTATAATAATAAAAGTATGATTAATAATAAAATGGAAATTTTAATAATGAATATATTTATTCTAATGTAGATTAATAAAAATAATAAAAATAACCTGTTAAATAGACTAATTAATTTGAGCAAACCTATAATAATTCTTAAGTTCAAAATTAAAATTATTAATATGGAGGAAATACAAGAGAATAATTTCCTATGAATCACATATCATCTAACATTATGTAAAAAAAAGAATTTGATGAAAACTTTGATGGATTAAGTTAATCTACATAAACTCAATAATTTTACCCTTTAAAAATGAATCAGCAGATACCTATTAAGTAATATACCGGTAAATTTGTTAAATATGATAATTTCTAATTTGAATTATTGCATAAATATGGTTTATCGGAATCACAAAAGAAACGTTTCAAAATAGCTACAATAACTGGCAAAGCATCATTATTTAATTCACCTTAACTATAAGTAGGAATTAAACAAACTTTGTAATATGTACCATTGAAAGAGAAAAACTATTTAAAACTAACTTTATATATTGGTAATAAAACTCAATCAAATTTTGATAACTGTAAAATGCTATTTGAAGGAGATAATAGATGTAAATTACATAACGAATATTTTAAGAATTCTCAATGTGGTTAAAACCAGATAGGATTGCAGAAAGAATTCAAGCAGGATAATAAATATAATAAGAAGTAATTGGGATATTTAAATAGTATGAAAATTATAGGTTAATAAATGTAGTATTTTAAGGTAATGAATAAATATTTATAAATTAATAGCTGAGTGGGCTAACAAATAGATATCATCATAATTCTTTTTAACTACAACGTTAGTTTCATTTATGGATTTCAAAGATATAAGTTTATAAATATTTAGAACAAAATGGAGATTAAAGAAATAATAGATTTTGAGAGGTGAAACATTTTTATTAAATCCTAAAATAGTGAAAACAGGGCATTATTTAAAAAAGTAATTAACTAAATAAATCTAAGGATATTTCCAAAATTATGTGAATTCAACTCATATTAATAATTTTAGGATTAATAATTGGATTACTTTAGTGATCGATAAATGAAATATATTTCTTATAAGCTTTGTATTTAATAGAAATTAAATTAGGTGGTGTTTTTGAATTGACAAATGTGAATTAAAATTATATGATAAAATTTATAGTTTTACCCAACATGTAATGCACAATACAAATAATTGGAAGTAATGAACATTTATGTAAATAAATGTTGAATACACTTAATTGGATATTAGGCTTAGAATGATAAATTAATATAATTTAATAAATTATCTTAATAAAAAATATACAAATATGATAAATGATTTAGATGTTAACTTATGTCCTATTTAACCTTTCGAATTGTATACAAATCATCAACTATATTCGGAATAATAGTTGGAATGTGATAATCGTTCAAGAAAGATAAGAGTTAGTTCATAATATTTATTTTTAAAAAAGTACTATTTATAGATATCATTTTAGAAAAATTCGTCACAACAAATCCAGACCTTCAATTTTGAGGATTGAAGAGGGAGTGAGAAATGTAAAACTATATAATGTAGTCACAAGTTAAACAAATTTGGATAACATGAATTAATAAAGTTAATCACTAGTGAAATTCAACTGATAAAAACTGTAACCAATATGATATTTTCATACTTAAATATTGAGTTATACATATCTATAAAATCTTATTTTTCTTTATTTCATCATTTTCTATTATCTAACTGTTTGATTTGAAACTATTTTGTAGAAATAACAAATTCGATGAATCAATTGCTGATTGATATAATATGTGTAAAAGAAAAAATGATTGTGAAAAATTTGGATGAGAAAGTTTGGATTTGAAAATTTTTATCAGCTGAATATCTTGTGTTGTTAAATTATGATTTATTATAACAAAGAAATGTATATACATATATTTAAATATATTGTCTAAAAATGAAGTAGAGGAGAATAGAGAATGATATAACAATAATAAAATGAACTTATAGAAAATATTAGGATATTTTAATAGTTAAATATTAGTATTGTTATTATAAGTTTTTAAAAAAGATAAAAATAGAATATAATATCAACGATTTATTAATAATGTTAAGAATATATTAATTTGAATATTCTAGAATGAAAAGTAATTAATAAAAAAAAATATTTAATAGGATTGAAATGATAAAGAAAATAATGATTTGATGAAAATATAAATATCTCATTATGTATCATATGGATTTGATCATAAAGTTAGCTAACTCTTTTTTGTAGAGTAAAATATCAGAGTAGAGTGATTAATTGAAGTCCAATTAATAAATAGATCTCACTCTAGAATTATCTAGAGATTAATCAATAATGATTTAATTGGCATCCTTTAATTTTTAATTGAGGGATAATTTTTGTTTTTTTGTAGTTTATGATTATTCTTATTGATAAGCTAATAACTTATTAATAACATATTATCTATGATATAGCAAAGGTGTTTGCAAAAGATTTGATGATTAGATGTGTTATATTTATTTAGGGAAGACAAATTGTAATCCTTGATTTGGTATAAGAAAACGATTAATAATCCAAAAGATAGTAAGTGTTGTTTAAGTATAAGGTAATAATTTCCAAAACTTATTTCTTGCCCAATATTTAGGTTTAGGTAATATTTTGAGTGTCGTAAATAATAATGATGCTTAGAGGAATGATAGATAAATAAGCCCTTGATTAGTAAATTGTATGATATAGAGTTTCTAAAGGTAATTATATGGTATTTAGACATGTGTAAAGTAATATGGATTGTAAAGCATAATATCTAATAGACATTAATTGATATCAGATAACATATTTATATATATTTCAAAGAAAATAATCAGGTACTCTTCTGGTTGTATGTGGTTCATTTTCTCTAGGAGCAGGTTCAAATTATGTTCTAGAATGTATGAATTGATATACTGATTCATTCTAAGTTATTCATCTACTTCTATAATACATGCTTGATTTCCACAACGATAACAATAATTTGGAGCAGAAAAGATTGTAATAGTTTTTTAATTATGTACTTTTTGAATTCCTTCCATAACAAGTTGATGTGCTCTAGCAATTTATTTAAGTTTATTGGAATGTAAGAATTTCTCTGTAATATCGCATCCCCATGTCCAACCTGCTCCTCTTGGAGATATTCCCCAACCTTTAATAGATATTAATAAATAATACCATTCTTAGTTTCTTCAGGATCACTCCATAAAAGATCACACATTAAACCTTCATGTGGAATATCTTATACTCTATTCAATTATTTAATTTAATCTACTGATTCCATTGCTGGTGATAAACCTCCATGTGCACAAAATATCTTTTATCATTTTAGAATTTATATTACTTATTACTCTACTATTGCTGATAATGGTAAATATCCAAATACTTCTGTAAATTATTTCCATACTATTTCATTCCCATATTTACGAAAACATTCATCATAAAATCCATATATTTTATTTATTTCACGATTCTCATGATTACCTTTTATTATTTATATTTTTATTATCATACCTCTTAATAATACTATGCGATCTTTATATCTCACTTTTAATGATAACATTAATGATATTGTTTCTACTGATTACGAACCTCTATCTACATAATCTCCTAAAAATAAGTAATTTGTATCCTAAAACAGATTTGCTAAATCTATATACTGGCAAGTTCCCTCCTATCTAAAATAGCTCTATTAAATCATGGAATTGACCATGGATATCTCCACAAATTGTAAGAGGTGCTCTAACTTAAATAATATTTGGTTCATCTGATAAAATCTCTTTTGCCTAATTTATTACTATATACTCAAACTTTCATGCATAAACTCTTCACTTCTTATTCTGTCAATATTTATCCTTGCTTTAATTTTGCAATCTATCTATCAACATTACCAATATCATTGCTACTTAATTTATTTAAAGATGCCATTTAATATATTTATTTGAACACAATATTTAATAAGATATATATCAATAAATTCACTTATTATTATATTAGAATACTTAACAAATGTATATATTCACCTTCCTCTATCATATAATTAATCTACTACTTCTTATTTTATCTCTTTCATTTATTATACTTAAACATAAATCAATTAATATTACTGTAATTATATATATTTTAATTTACTCTTTTCTTTTTCTTTATTTATTTATTAGAATCTTTAATATTTATTTCATTATTATATTAATAAAATTAACTAATTAATATTTCTTACATCATTCATAAACTAATATTAATAATTATGTATAGAGTTATATCCATATTATTAAATTGTAATCTTAAACTTAAGGTATTTGAATTATTATTGTTAATGTAGCAATCTATTTCGATTATTTTCAAATACTCATTATTTTCATATGGTATCCTTCTTCTATAAAATATTAATAGTAAATTACTTATTAATTTTTTGACCCTAAAGTTCTTCGATGTTTGAATCAGATTATTTAGTAGTCTAAGCATTACAAACCTAAATTTTTGAATATAATTATTCTATCAAAAGAGACATATTTTTCAAAATAATTATACATTCAAATAATACTTTTTCAAATCATCAAATTAGATGACTGAAAAAAATATTGATCATTATTCATTTCATACCTAAGATGTGCTTGGTGTTGGTTCATTTGGAACCGTATTTTAAGGCATTGATCTGAAAAGCAATAGGATTGTAGCCCTAAAAATGATAGCTAAGGATAATTTGTTAAATGATCCAAAAGGTTAGAATGGACTTATGACTGAAATCAAAATTATGAAAAAGTTAAATCATAAAAATATTGTACAACTTATTGACGTGTTAGAGACACCAAATAATTTTTATATTATTCAAGAAGTGTGTGATGATGGAGATTTATCCAAGTCTATTACATTTTAAATCTTAGATTCTTGAAAAAAAATAAATAAGTCAATGAAAAATAAGCTATAATGATCATTATAGATGTACTTCAAGGTTTTTATGAATTACTAAAATATGGAATTATACACAGAGATTTAAAACCTGCAAACATTTTAATACATAACAATACTCATAAAATTGCTGGTCTAATTATTAACTAAATATTATAGATTTTGGATTCGCTAAAATTGTAGACAACTTCAATCCAAATATATTATACTCTTAAGTAGGCACTCCATTGTACATGAGTCCTTAAATACTAAAGAATGAATAATACTCTACAAAATGTGATATTTGGTCTTTAGGATTCCTCTTCTATGAAATTCTTTATGGAATAAGTATTGATTTACTTATTTTATCTAAGCTCCTTGGAAAGCATAATCTATTCCACAATTAGTTAAGAATATATATTCTTAACCCCTCATCTTTAATGATTAAATCAATTAAGTATCATATAATGTCAAAGATTTCATAACTAAATGCTTGATAATTTAAGAAAGTTAAGTGAAATATATAATATCTAGATGATAGATTAAGTTGGCATGATGTTTTCCTTCATCCAGTTTTTGCTGAGTATTTCATTTAATCACCTAAAGTAGAGAAATTATTCTAAGTATCTATTTGATGAATAATAGGAGAAAGAACTCACAATAGCGATGAGTATGAGAGAATAATTTGGATCCTAACAATTCAGTATAAGTGAACTATTAAAAGAGTTAGCTGAAGATGAAAATAGAATTCTAACTATAGAAACATTTAGTGAGATATTTTTGGATATAAATGAAAATTTGGAAGATGAAGACATTAGATATATTTTTAATTGTATAGATGAATAATAAAATGGATAAATAACATGCAAAGATCTTTTAGATTGGCTTAGTAAATATGATGTAATAAATAACAATATTTAAAAGATTGAATTGGAAGACTCTTTTACGAGTAATGATTCTATAAATGCGCTTCCTGATGAAAAATAAATGTCATAAGAATTTAATTAAAATGATATTGCATAAAATAAATAACTAATTTAAATACTGTATGATGAAATTAAGAAAAATAATTTAAATTTAGTTGAATTGTTTTAGAAATTTTCAACTTCTTCAGACACAATGAATTATGAGGATTTTTAAATTATGATGGTGTAATAATAAATGATATTTAGTAGGAGTTATGATGCTACTTTGGGTGAATAGGAAATTTTTGAGGCCTTTAAATTATTTGCATTTAGTAAAAAAGACACAATAAAATTGAATTAATTTAAACATGTATTAGAAAAGAACTTTAAAGATGAATAATGTTGATTATAAATTAAAGTATATTTTTTAAACTGTTTATAGTTATAATATAATTAAATACAAAAAGTCATTTATAAATTTTATATATTATTTAATAAAATGGATAATAAAAGTAAGGGAAGCTCAAAGAGTAGAAAAGAATTGGGAGGTATCATTAAATAAATAATATTAGATGAATTGAGTTTAAAGGGCGTATCATTATTTAAACTAGATGTTAATTATGATCATTTGAAACAATTTTTAGAAGGAGTATAATCTGATCTTGATAATCATACAGTAGAAATTGAAGGGATAAAGAAATTGCTAGGACCTAGTGAAATCATTTTATTAGTTAAATTTAGATTTAATTTAGGTTTAAGAATAGTTTCAATTATTAAGTGATTCATTGTTATTTTCAGACAAAGATATAGAGAAAGAATTATCAACTTAATTGAGCACATATATAACATAAATCTAAGGGAAATAAAAGTTTGGAAAAGGAGCTTTGGAGAAGATTATAACTGAATTAAGAGGAAAGTTATTTTCAGTTATCTAAATTATTTAACATCTATATAGAGAGAAGAAAGTAGATATATGAATAATAATAATAGAGATAAGATTAAAGATTAACAAAATTAGAAAATGATATGTTGACAAAGTTTGACACAAAAGAATGCAAAGAAAAAATGAGGAAATAAAAAAATTAATTAGAATAGTAGATAGAGGATTTACAAAAGAATGGTAGACATGAATTAGACACAGTAGAAAAGAAATTATCAACAGATATATAGAAATTTGAAGAAGCAGTTAGAGATGTTGAAAGGTATACATTATTAGTATAAATTAAAGAAAAACATTATGGAAAATACATGATTGTTAAGATCTTTTATCAAAAAGAACTAATGAAGAATTTGTTAATGAAGCTATTAGAACAAGTGAAGATAAATTATTAAAAGAAGTATATTTAAATATTTAAATTAGATTCAATAAATGTAAAATAACGATTAATTGATTAAATTTTAATAAGATATAGCTTATATTAGAAGTTAAATTAAGGGTCTTGATGATACAGTAGGAGAAAAGTAATCAAAATTAAAATTATAATTAAATGAAATGAACGATTTGTAATATTTAATTATTAATTTTAAGATTGAAATCAAAAATTAATTTGATTGATAAATTAGTAGAATAGAATAAATAATAAGGTGATAAAATAATTGATTTAAATAGTAGATTAGCAACAGCTATAAATAAATTAGATGTTTCTAATTAATTAGATTAACATAGATAAAAAATAAAATAATTAGAAGATGGAATTTAAAGATTAAATGATGAAGCAAAAGAAAGAGTTGAAGCTTTAAAGGATATGAATTTAAATGCTGAAAATGTAGCATATTTATTATCTAAAATTGATCCACATAAAATTTGTACTTTGGAAGGAGACATTAAGAAATTAGAAGAAATGTCTATTAGAAATAATGTACATTGGGAAACTTTAGATGCAGAATTTAAATCACGTTATGATAGTTTTTAATTCTTTTCATAATTATACTAATAGTAATAATAACAATAATAATAATAAAACCCAGAAGAATCTAAATATGTTACAAAAGACGAAATAAATAGAATGTTTGAATAATTTTAATAATAAGGCAATCTTGAAGATGATAAAATAAGAAAAATTTAAAAAGATCTTCAAGACATAAGCCATAAAGTAGAGAGTGCAAATGAAATAGAAAGAAGAGTAACTAGAATATTTAGAGATCTTGATATAAATGGATTAATAAAATAAGTTAAAGTAAAGGCTAATGAAGATGACATGAAAAGAGAATTATTTAATTTAGAAACTAGATTAGGATAAGCAATGGAAACTATTAATTATTTAAGAAGAGAGATTGAAGCCTTATAAGGTATTTTATATATTTATATACATTAGTACAATTAAAGAAATCTCCAATGAACTTTTAATAATCTGCTTCACCTCCAACAGATTAAATGATAGGAATCAATACTAAAAAGCTTTATCCAATTAATTGTCTAAGTTGTAGTACTACTAATTAACAAAGAGTAAGATTATTAAGATTATGTTAGGTAAAAGGAACTGATGGGAAATATTATTAAGCTGATATTAAAAGATAAACTATAGATTAATAATAGTTTTATGATTTACAATAAGATGAATCCTAATAATTTAATTAATAACATTATGTATAAAGACCATAATCAGCAATAGTAAATAAATAAAGTAATCCTTCAAAAAGACCTATAAGTGCTAAAAAATGATTAAATAAGTATATTTTATAAAAATACAAAATTGCTAATATAAACATCTATATCGACACTATTTTGAATCGGATTGGAACACAAATTCAGTGCCTTAGATCACTGAGTAACTTCAATTTTTAATGACAATTTATAAATTAATTTGTATTTTAATTAATATAATCATTTTGCTGATTTAAATATAGTAAATCGCTTCTATTCTATTGTTGCATCTAAATACATATGATCAAAATGAAATAATCTAGATCCATAATTAGCATCTTTATCTGTTACAAAACAACACCACCATCCTCCATATTTTTAACACAATACATTTGCTATTTAATTACACACCTCACCCAAAAATTGTTTATGGACTTATATTGCATTTTTTACAATTGTTACTATATCATTTTATATTTAATCTGTTATTCCTGTTCCCTTTTCATTTATTTTAACCGATTTATCCATATAAATTGTAAAATTATATTTATTATATATATAATATTCATTATTCCATTTGTAGCATTTATGAAATTCTTTCCTCTCCATTTTTATTTTAATCTACTTTTTATAATTATACCATTGCAGGGTAATTACTATTTTTTATCTATCCCTCCTATATATCGACTTATTAGTTTTCTTCCAAATATTTATTATATAAAGTTTCGATCTCTGTTGATTCATATCTTTTCATTATTTAAAGAGTTTCTTCTTACTATTAACGATGATCCATCATTTCATTTATATTATCTTACAATCCTAAATTATCTATTTCATGATTTTTCAGTATGTGATTTACTTACTCTAATAATCATCATTATTAAATACTTACAAATAATATCTTATATTTAAAGATCAGAATCAGCTGTTTTTAAACGAACTTAACTCTGTTACATTATTAATAATCGATTTTCATAGTTTTCAACCCATTTTTCTAACTAAAGTTTTTCAGCAATATGAAACTTTATTTCATTAGGAGATTTTCTATCAAGTATTTTCTTTCTTATTAGCTTTTCTTTTAATTCAATATTATGATAACATTCATCTCTTTCTTAAGAATTTAAAATTTCTTAGTCTATTATAAATTATTTAATTAATACATTTTAATGAAAATAATGTTTAATTTTTTGCTATTTCAAGACTATTGCTATCAACAATCCACATTGATTTATATATAAACACTTCTTATTTAACAGAATCTATAGTAAAACATCCTACACTCTAGATCAAATTTGCTTCTAGAAATATACTTATTAAAAATTAAATTTCCCTTTAAGGTAAATTAATCACTTTCATCAATTATTTTATAGTAAATGTATTAAATTAATTAATTGAAACTTCTTCTACTGCTTATTTAAATTTAATTGTGTTTTCTTTAAAATATTTTATATGAAAGAAATAAGGACATTTTTTTTCTGTCTTATTTTTAGTTTTCATTAAAAATTTATCGAAAGCCTTTTTTAATGGATTCCATAAAATCTAGAGTTGATGATTCTTATTGTTTATTTGATCTTCAACATCTTCATTATCAGATTTAAGTAATATTTTCACAGCTTTAGATTTATACCCTTCCATTGCTATTTTATTTTCCTTATACATTTAAGCCAAAACATTTTAAAGGCATAATGGTTTATATTCAAATAATGAAAATAAATTCTAAAGTTCCTACACTTTTATGAGGCTTGTTTTTAAAATATTTTCTGTTAACTTATCAATTGTTTTAACCCAAAATTCATATAATTATCTCTAATTTTATCAAATATAATTACTTAATAAGGAGGTTTTTCGTATTCTACAAAATATTTTAGATAAATTCTCTTATCTTAAAATTCTTTTATTAGTTTTATGACTTCTTCATATTAAATAATGTCTGATTACATTAATTTATTTATTAGAATTAAGTATAAATAATTTTAACAACATACTGTTTGATAAATGAAATAACAAAAATAAAGATCCTAAACTCCTGTACTAGGAGCACTTCTATTTGATTTTAATATTCCAAAAATCACTCTATCTGGTTAATAATAAATTAGAAATGCTTGTGTCTTGAAAAAATTTTGTACAGAAAAAAAGAGAAACCCTAACAATCCAATTAAACAAGCTAATCCAAGAAAGAATCTGAAATATTTATTTTTAAACCTTGATGTTAATGATCTGAAAATATATGATAGTGACTCTGATTATTAATATNTTATTAGCTTTTCTTTTAATTCAATATTATGATAACATTCATCTCTTTCTTAAGAATTTAAAATTTCTTAGTCTATTATAAATTATTTAATTAATACATTTTAATGAAAATAATGTTTAATTTTTTGCTATTTCAAGACTATTGCTATCAACAATCCACATTGATTTATATATAAACACTTCTTATTTAACAGAATCTATAGTAAAACATCCTACACTCTAGATCAAATTTGCTTCTAGAAATATACTTATTAAAAATTAAATTTCCCTTTAAGGTAAATTAATCACTTTCATCAATTATTTTATAGTAAATGTATTAAATTAATTAATTGAAACTTCTTCTACTGCTTATTTAAATTTAATTGTGTTTTCTTTAAAATATTTTATATGAAAGAAATAAGGACATTTTTTTTCTGTCTTATTTTTAGTTTTCATTAAAAATTTATCGAAAGCCTTTTTTAATGGATTCCATAAAATCTAGAGTTGATGATTCTTATTGTTTATTTGATCTTCAACATCTTCATTATCAGATTTAAGTAATATTTTCACAGCTTTAGATTTATACCCTTCCATTGCTATTTTATTTTCCTTATACATTTAAGCCAAAACATTTTAAAGGCATAATGGTTTATATTCAAATAATGAAAATAAATTCTAAAGTTCCTACACTTTTATGAGGCTTGTTTTTAAAATATTTTCTGTTAACTTATCAATTGTTTTAACCCAAAATTCATATAATTATCTCTAATTTTATCAAATATAATTACTTAATAAGGAGGTTTTTCGTATTCTACAAAATATTTTAGATAAATTCTCTTATCTTAAAATTCTTTTATTAGTTTTATGACTTCTTCATATTAAATAATGTCTGATTACATTAATTTATTTATTAGAATTAAGTATAAATAATTTTAACAACATACTGTTTGATAAATGAAATAACAAAAATAAAGATCCTAAACTCCTGTACTAGGAGCACTTCTATTTGATTTTAATATTCCAAAAATCACTCTATCTGGTTAATAATAAATTAGAAATGCTTGTGTCTTGAAAAAATTTTGTACAGAAAAAAAGAGAAACCCTAACAATCCAATTAAACAAGCTAATCCAAGAAAGAATCTGAAATATTTATTTTTAAACCTTGATGTTAATGATCTGAAAATATATGATAGTGACTCTGATTATTAATATTAAAATAAAAAATCTAACGAAAATCAATGTCAATTAAAAATACCAATTTAGAAATGTCCATTAGTAATTTAGATCTAATCAAGAGACCTTTTTGTAAGCATTTGAGATCAAAGTCTTTAAAATTGACTTGAAAAATAATATTTATTTATAAAATTACTAAATAACTTATAGTATATTATTCATATTAATAATTTATTAAAACATCAAAATTGCTCAATTTTATTTTTATTTTTTTAATCTTCATCAGAATCATCCTCTATAGCAGTTTCATATAATTATTCTATTTTTAATGATTTCTATGTAATTTTAATACCCCATTTATCATTATCTAATTGTACCTATTTAAGAGAGCCACTCCATCCAACTTTATCAAATTTAATCATTCCTTAGAAATCTGAAAATTCTTTATTGCCAAATAATTAAGTAATCGTAATATAAAAGTCACAAAATTACATTAAATCTGTTCTTCTTTCTGGAAGAGTAATTACACATAACATAAAAGAAGAACGAACCAAAACCTTCAAAGAGTATAGAAATTAATTGAGCTCTTATTAATTATAAGGTACTTTATCCCAAAAATCATTTATAATTAATTTTTTAAGTGTTGAATCTGTACTTGTTTTTAATGATTTTTCATATTATTTAGTAATAATTTGCAAGAATTATTATAAATTGTTTATTTCATTATAATTGTTAAGTTTTAAATGATTTTCAACTGTTTATTCTGTTTCTGACTTCGATAAATCCAAATAATAAATAGATGAATCAATATTTTTAATAGTAAATTACTATTACATTTGATTATATCTCCATGCAATTTTATTTTATACATCTTTTTCTTCTTAATGTTACAAAGTCTCTACTTATTTTTTGGGTATAATTCTAGCCCATTATTCACAAAATTCATCAAAAATGATAGAAACGTGATTTTTATGAAATGAATTGCCAATACAATATCTTAAGAATTATTTATAGATAGTTGTTGGTGAATCTTATTCAATGAAAATGATTTATCCTTTCAAAAGAGTGTTACCCAAAAGAGCATCTAATTCAGGATGTCCAAAATAAGCTTTGTATTGATCTTCTTTTTTAGAATTATCATTTCTTTTAAAATTACTCATATAATAAAATAAATAATTTTTCATTCTATTTTAATTTTGCCTGTGACATATTCATCAAAATACTCCATACTATCTCTAAAAGTGGCTTCAATTAAATTAATTCCTAAAGCTTATGCCATTACTTTTCTACATGCTTCTGCATATATTTCCCCCTAAATTATAAACTTATTATAATACCCTTTATTCTTATGGATAATTTTGTAAATTAAGATATGTTGGATCAAATAAACCTTAAAATTCTATGATTTCTACTTCATTAAGAAATTAATTTAGAGTAAACAATGTCATATATCCAATACCAATTACATCCATAACTGGATGAAATCTTCTTTTTGAATATTTCAAACAACAAATTTTCACTGGCAATAATGGATCAAAAGCACCTCTTTTAAATGGAATTAAAAATTCTCCATTTGTTGTTGTTCCTTCTGGAAAGATAATCACAGGAGGATACTATTCACCTTAATTTATTTATTTCACTCTCTCTGCTAAATCTGTAATACATTTTTATCTGCTCTCTTCACTACTCCTATCAACATATATTGATTTTAATGATGTTGTGATTTATCCGAAAATTGGATACTTACTTACTGACAATTTTGAAATAAATGATGGTAAATATTTATATATATAAGCTACTGTATCATATTAACTATTATGATTTGAAATTATTATTGAAGGCTATCCTTTACTTAATTCTGTTGCTTTGTAGCCAGGAATAAAATCTTCAAATCTTTTTATAAGTATTACTGATTTTTACCTCAATCTTTTTTCTTTTATGAAAATAAATCCACTAGCATAAAAATAAGCTTTTGCCAAACTTTATAATAATGGCTTAAATATTTTCAATCTAGACTCAGGCCAAGGATCTTTTAGTTTAAAACCTAAAAAAATATATGAAAAACTTTACCTATTGTTGCTACCTACATTGTTAGTATAAATAATATCAATATTACAAAGCACATAAATGATCTGAAAGGAAATAAAATTATGCTGCAGATATACATTTCCCATTTATTCCAATTATCTATATCTGTTCTTCTAAAGGGTTTATACTTTTCAGGAATATTTAGTTTCTTGTATAAAGGAGTATTAAATTTCTTTAGACCTTGATGCACCAAAACTAATGAAAATAATGCAATCAAAATATGGAAAATTGTTAATATGACAGAAAACATTTTTAATTTATGATTATAATTATTTATTTTATTTAACATTACATATTCAAAATATTCAGAATTTTATTAAATTTATCTAACGCAACACCATCTATATTTAAATATAAAAATTACTAAATTACATGATTTATTTTCAATCCAATTTAATCATACTTTAAGTTTATTTTTTTATTTTTCAAATCATTTTTTGATCTCTTCCTTTTATCTTTCTTATCTTCTTAATCATATTTCAATATTTAAACTTGAAGATTAAATGAAACAAATAGAATGAATTTTAGATAAAATGACAGATTTTTTTTAAGTCAAACATTTAATCTTTTGTAATACATAGATTCACTCTATTTTTAGGTGGAAAAATTAGATTATATTTGTTTTCCAAATCATCTTTGATCTCAAAATTTAATCATCAATTTTTTCAAATGTAAAAGATTATATTATGCAACATAAATTAGAGATTTAATGATTGTATCATCACAAACATCTTATTGGTTTAGATTTACCATGTCTAACCTTCTATCAAATGATTTAAGAATAAGAAAATGTTTAATTGAGATTAAATTACTCAATATCGATTAAATTATATTTACATAATTACCATTTAAAATTCGATTAATAAGGATCTATCTTTTTTATAGATATTTTATAAATTTTCGAGTTTAAAATGAATAAGATTATAATTTTAATGGTATTAATAGAGGAGANATGATGGTAAATATTTATATATATAAGCTACTGTATCATATTAACTATTATGATTTGAAATTATTATTGAAGGCTATCCTTTACTTAATTCTGTTGCTTTGTAGCCAGGAATAAAATCTTCAAATCTTTTTATAAGTATTACTGATTTTTACCTCAATCTTTTTTCTTTTATGAAAATAAATCCACTAGCATAAAAATAAGCTTTTGCCAAACTTTATAATAATGGCTTAAATATTTTCAATCTAGACTCAGGCCAAGGATCTTTTAGTTTAAAACCTAAAAAAATATATGAAAAACTTTACCTATTGTTGCTACCTACATTGTTAGTATAAATAATATCAATATTACAAAGCACATAAATGATCTGAAAGGAAATAAAATTATGCTGCAGATATACATTTCCCATTTATTCCAATTATCTATATCTGTTCTTCTAAAGGGTTTATACTTTTCAGGAATATTTAGTTTCTTGTATAAAGGAGTATTAAATTTCTTTAGACCTTGATGCACCAAAACTAATGAAAATAATGCAATCAAAATATGGAAAATTGTTAATATGACAGAAAACATTTTTAATTTATGATTATAATTATTTATTTTATTTAACATTACATATTCAAAATATTCAGAATTTTATTAAATTTATCTAACGCAACACCATCTATATTTAAATATAAAAATTACTAAATTACATGATTTATTTTCAATCCAATTTAATCATACTTTAAGTTTATTTTTTTATTTTTCAAATCATTTTTTGATCTCTTCCTTTTATCTTTCTTATCTTCTTAATCATATTTCAATATTTAAACTTGAAGATTAAATGAAACAAATAGAATGAATTTTAGATAAAATGACAGATTTTTTTTAAGTCAAACATTTAATCTTTTGTAATACATAGATTCACTCTATTTTTAGGTGGAAAAATTAGATTATATTTGTTTTCCAAATCATCTTTGATCTCAAAATTTAATCATCAATTTTTTCAAATGTAAAAGATTATATTATGCAACATAAATTAGAGATTTAATGATTGTATCATCACAAACATCTTATTGGTTTAGATTTACCATGTCTAACCTTCTATCAAATGATTTAAGAATAAGAAAATGTTTAATTGAGATTAAATTACTCAATATCGATTAAATTATATTTACATAATTACCATTTAAAATTCGATTAATAAGGATCTATCTTTTTTATAGATATTTTATAAATTTTCGAGTTTAAAATGAATAAGATTATAATTTTAATGGTATTAATAGAGGAGAAGGTTTTAGAAATTATTCTTTATGTATAAAGAAGAATAATAAATTATTTTTATTAAATAAATTTTCATTTATATTTATAAACATTTTGTAAAAGTGTTGTAATTTAAATTAAACATATTCTAATTTTCGACATATGCTGATAGAATTTGTAATACATTTGGAATCTTGAGAGATAATAAATAAGAAAAACTGAACTGAATAAAATTGAGAGAAAATGAATAGATCAGATAAAGAAATTAGTTTGGTCGGTTATTAGTATTATGGTCGGTTATTAGTATTATTAATAAATACAAGATTTATTATATCCATAATATTTTAATATATTTTTTAATTATTTATAGATTGATATGTAGAAGTAAGAGAAGTCCCCATTATCAACTTTATAAAGCTTTGGAGATATATCACCAGTGCCTGAGGAAGATGATACTGAGATAAGGACTATATTTACATCTCCATTAACAACAAATAATTCAAAGAGAACTTAATCGTTTTAATTTACTTAAGGAATCAGAAAAACATCTTAAGTTTTAGAATTAACTGAGAAGCTTTATTCTTGGAATTCTTATTTGACTAAAAAGTTCTCTGAAAGTCCAACCAAATTTTGAATGAGATTTCTTTTAGTTTTTGTGTACTTTACTAAATTTATAAAATATATATGACATTTTGTCTTATTTGTATAGTTTGTTAGGATATCTGAATTTCAAATATATATTAAAAATCACCTGCCTTATTTTTATAATATTTTAGATTTGATCATTGTATGAGAGACAAGGAAAAAAATGATGTCATTCCTAAAAAAAATGATATGTTGGCTCAACTTTTTAAACAATTGAAATATATAAATAGTAAGTTCTAAGAATGAATAGTTGTATAAAAAGATTTAGATCTATTGATAAGACAATAATAAAATATTAGTCAGATAAGCAAAAATGAAATTTCAAACTAGACAAAAGTGATTGGACTTCTAAAAAAAATAATAGATAAATTATCGTAATTATAGATGTTTATTTATCTAAGGTTAGTAAATGAGATAGAAATATAGAGATTTGTGATATTATAAAAGGATAATAAAGTTAAGAGTCACAAAAAGTGATAAGAAAACTTGTGGAGAAGTTAAAGATTAATAATTTTTATGAATAAGAAAGAATGAGAAGTATTTGGATTAGTGAAGATGAATAACAAAAATATTTAAAGATACTCATATGAAATTTTATCATAAATTAATTAAATATATATATAATTCTTTTTTAATATAAATTAATGGAATAGAAAGAGAAGAAGGGTAAAAAATAGTAAGATTCTACAGTGGATAAATTGAAATGTATTTCTGAGATAGTTGCAGAATTGATAAAATAATATGATGGGAATTAAAAGATTAATTTAGCATAAATAAAGGCAGAATTTTCAAAAAAGAATAAGATATCTGGAGCACCAAAGATAGTAGAGATTTTATCAGCAATTCCAGATGAATATAAAGAGAAATTGATACCAATATTAAAAGCAAAGCCAGTAAGAACAGCATCAGGTATAGCAGTAGTGGCAGTGATGGCAAAACCTCATAGATGTCCACACATAGCAGTAACTGGAAATATATGTATTTATTGTCCAGGAGTAATATATTTATTAATACATGAAAGGGACCAGATAGTGATTTTGAATATTCAACTTAAAGTTATACAGGTTATGAACCTACAAGTATGAGAGCTATTAGAGCAAGATATAATCCATATATATAGGCAAGAGATAGAATAGCATAATTAAAATAATTAGGTCATGATTGTGATAAAGTTGAATATATTATTATGGGTGGAACATTTATGTCTTTGGATTAAGAATATAGAGATTATTTTATAAGAAATTTACATGATGCTTTAAGTGGACATCGCTCATAAACTGTTAAAGAATCAGTCTAATTTTCAGAAGAGAGTAGATCAAAATGCATTGGTATCACAATTGAAACTAGACCTGATTTTTGTTAGAAAAGTCATTTAAGTGATATGTTATTATATGGATGTACAAGAATTGAAGTTGGTGTTTAATCAATTTATGAAGATAGTATAATATTATTATTATAATATATTAGTTGCAAGAGATACTAATAGAGGTCATACAGTCGAATCTGTTAAAAAATGTTTTGCTATGAGTAAAGACAGTGGATATAAAGTTGTTACTCATATGATGCCTGATTTACCAAACATGGGAGTAGAAAGAGATTTAGAAAGTTTTAAAGAGTTTTTTGAAAATCCAGATTTTAGACCTGATGGATTAAAAGTATTCTTATATTTATTATTAGATTTATCCTACTCTAGTTATCAGAGGAACAGGACTCTATGAATTATGGAAAAATGGATAATATAGAAATTATCCTCCTGATTTTTTAGTTGATGTTGTTGCTAAAATACTTGCATTAGTTCCACCATGGACTAGAGTATACAGAATTTAAAGAGATATTCCTATGCCTTTAGTTACTTCAGGAGTAGATAATGGAAATTTGAGAGAATTATCTTTATAAAGAATGAAAGATTTAAATGTCGCTTGTAGAGATGTTAGAACTAGAGAAGTAGGGATTAAAGAAGTTCATCATAAGATTAAACCAGAATAAGTTGAATTAATTAGAAGAGATTATACAGCCAATGATGGATGGGAAACATTCTTATCTTATGAAGATCCATCATAAGATATTTTGATAGGATTATTGAGACTTAGAAAATTAGATAAACATACATTTAGAAAAGAATTAATTCAAGAACCTACTTCCATGGTTAGAGAATTACATGTCTATGGTTCTGTTGTACCTATTCATTCCAGAGATCCTTCAAAATTTCAACATTAAGGCTATGGAACACTTCTTATGGAAGAAGCTGAAAAAATTGCTAGAGAAGAACATGGAAGCACTAAAATGGCAGTCATTGCTGGAATCGGAACCAGACATTATTATCGAAAACTAGGATATCATACTGAAGGAGTTTATATGGTTAAATAATTAGTATGAAAAATATTTATGAAATTTACAATCTATTTTTAAAACAATGTGTTTACAACAAAAGATTAAATTTTCAACACCTTTTAATTTTACTAATTTTATTATTCAATCAAAGCATTCTTAGATCTTTTTGCTTAAAGCAGATGAAGAATTATAAATAAATGCAGTAAAATATTATCTTCGGGATGATTATACTTTTTGATTTTCAAAAATAAATGTGACATTATTTCTAATTATTATTTTCAAAAAAACCTTATAAGAAAAGGATTAAATAGACTTAGAATTTATATGATAAATCATTATTCCTATTAATTAGATATTGTTTGTAATATAATTTTTAAATCATAAGATTGTGATACTTTTCTTCATAAAATATCTCAAATGTACATTTAAAATGATAACGGTACCATTTTTAAACCAATCATTTTTCTATTCACCTAATGATCTTATAGAAATCCTTGAGAATGAGGCCATTTATTAGTAGAATGATTAATGATCCTAAATAATAAACATGAAAATGGCTAATCTTCTAAATTAAAATAAGAGGTTTCAGTATTTATTTATTAATGCTAAAGTTTTCTAAATATAATTAATGAAATAGTAACAATTTATGATAAGTGGATCAATATTATATCTATAGTTTACTTTTAAACATCTTTATAATTTAATTCCTATTCTTATTTATGAAATATATTTGATTAATATTTGCAGAAGAGTTCTAAAAAGAATATGAGTTATGAATAAAATGATGGAAGCTGGAATTAGTAGAAATTTAAATTAAATAATAGTAAAAAGGATTACTTAACTATTAATTAGTAAATTTCAATGATCAATGACTTACGAAAGGATCGTGTCGACCAATAGTATGTTTTTTTCATTATTGTAATGCCAATCTTAATTTTTATGATTATAATAAGGACATAAAGTTATTGGATTTGGATTTTCAACTTTTGTATTGCAATATACATAATTCATAAATAATTAAATTTAATTATGAAGAATTAAGGAGTCTTTGATCCAACAGCTTTGGAAAGAGCAGCACATGTATTTTATATAAAACTATGAAATCAGGCCTTACGCGAGTTAAATTAATCACCACATGCTGCAAAAGCACTTGAAGCTATGATTAAAACTGAAGAAGCTAAAAAAGCTGAAAAACAAGCATTGCAAAAATAACATGAAATTTAAAAGGTTAAAGTAGAAGGAGAAGAGAGAAGAAAAAATATGGATCATTAAAAATAAGTTAATTAATAGATAGCAGATTATAATGATAAATTAGAAAGAGATAGAACAAAAGATAAATTAAAAGAGAAAGAGCTAACAGCATAAAGAATGAGAGAAGAATCTGAAGAATCTATTAGAAGGTAAGAAAATATGAGAAGAGAAACATTAACAATGTAAATGAAAAAATAATTTGAATTAGAGGAAAAGAAAATTACTTTGTAGTCTAAATTAAATGCTGAAAACTATAGAAAGAACTTTGATTTAATTATTTAAGAGTAAGAAAAGAAAGCTTAAATAGAAAAATAAGCTAAAATTGAGTTGCATAACCTTTATTTTCTTAAATTTTAAGAGGGATTTCAATATTTATAATAGAATCCTTAAGGTCTATTAACAATAGCGAAAGTAATGTTGTTTGTTAGTGGTGCCTTTTTCTTCAGTAAGTATAGTTTAGGACTTGGATTTAAGCGTTTAGAAGCAATGCTAACAAAACCAAGTTTAGTTAGAGAGACTTCTCGTCGTTCATTAAAATGGATGATGCCTAGCTCTAAACGTATATTTGATAAAATTGTTTTAAATCCTGAATTAGAAGTAACACTTAAATTAATAACATCTGGATTTATTGCTAAATAAAGTTAATCAGCTCCTTTAAGAAATCTATTATTTCATGGTTAACCAGGAACTGGTAAAACTTTATTTGCAAAATTACTTGCTTATAATTCAGGTCTCCATTTTGCAGTAATTTCTGGTGGAGATATTGAAAAATTAGGAGAATAGGCTGTTCCTGAAATTGATAAATTATTCTCTTGGTGTTAATCTACTCCAAAAGGAACACTTATATTTATTGATGAAGCTGAAGCTATTTTTTATAAAAGAAGTTCTTCTAAATAAACATCTGCTGCATTATCTACATTTTTAGCTCAGACTTCAGCTGCATCAAAGAAATATTCATTAATTTTAGCTACTAATTTACCAAAAAAATTAGATGAAGCAATTTTAGATAGAATTGATCAAATAGTTAAATTTGATTATTTAAATGAAGAATAAAGAGTTAAATTATTAAAAAAAGGATTTGAAGATACTTTTCAAAAAAGTAGTTTTATTTCTTTGATTTTAAATCCAGCAAAAGCATTTTCAAAAAGATTCAAAGTAAATTTCAATTTATCTAATGATGAAATTTAATCATTAGCTAAAAAAATGGAACACTTTTCTCCTAGATAGATTGATAAATTTATTATTTCATTGTATGATGCAGCATTAGGTTAATGTATAATTGATAGGCAAAATCAATATTGTGTTGATATAGCATTTGCTAATAGTATATTAGAAAGATCTCTTTATGAAAATTCACTAAGATAAGAATGGTCTGCATAAATTTGAGTTTCTTGTGTTATATATATATTAATTTATCATATATCTGAAATTTCTTTAACTTTGCTTGGACTGACTTATTTAGAGTTCATCATTTGATAATATTTTTTGAAACTACCAAAAGTAGTGGAAGTGGATAGATTTTCCTTTGTACTTTGATCTTTATCCTCTAATGATTTAGTAACATCATAACTCATATTAACTACTTCCTAAGAGTTTAATAAAATTAAAATTTACTTATGATGGGATCTTTTTATCACTAGCTTATTTATTTAAATAACTATTATTGAGAGTTTGATTAGGATTATATTTTCTGAGACTTTTTGAAGAATTCTTCATTTTTTCATTTTCCTTGAGTAATAATTCTTTTTTTTTCTCAAGTCTAGATAATTAGTCTTACAATTCCATTTTTTATTACATAATGTAATCTTTTTCTTAACTCCATTTAGCTCTTTCTTTTTCATGATAAAAGATCAATTAAGATTATTTTTTATCTTATTCTCTTTGTCTTTCTTCTAATTCATTAATTTTATTTCTCCAATATTCTTTTTCTTATTCTACTTCTTCATGATGTTCAAGTATACGTTAATCTCTTTCTTATTTTAATTCTTCAATAGTATTTAATAATCTCTTTTCATTTTCCAATAATTCAGCAGTCTTTCTCTCAAATGATTATCCTATCTTTGATTATTAATCAAGCAATTCTTTATTTTAAGATTGTTTAAGTTCTTTTTCTAATCTTTCAATTCTTTCTTAATAATCATCACATTTTTTATGATGTTATTATTAAATATCTTTAACTTAATCTTAATACTTTCTCTCTATTTAATTCAACATTTCAGTGATATCTTAATTATGATCATTTCTCTCTAAACTTCTCTATCTTTATAATGTTTAAATTGTCGTTTCAAACTTTCTCATGGCATCAGCTAATTCTAATTTTAATGATTCTCTCTATGACTCTAAGAACTATGTTTTTCCTTACTAAAATATAAATATAATTAAATTACCCATAATATTTTGTCTTTTTCATAATTAGCTTATAATTCTTATTTCTCAAATTCTAGATTTGTCAATTATGATTTAAGTTATTCTATATCATATTATGATCTTTATTTTAATTAATTAAATTATTCTCTTAATTATTTTAATTGCATAGCAGCATTTGTATTTTCTGAAGATGTTTATTATTCATGTTCTCTCAACTTTTACTCTAAATATGCAATCTTTTCTGTTGATAATGCTGTTTCTTTTTCCAAATCTTATTATGCCTTTAATAACCAAGTTTCTTTTTCTCTTAATATTTTTTTAAGTTAAGTGCTTTTAGATTCAATCATTTATTTCTCTTCATTCAATTTCGATAATCTATCTGATAATTCTTGAGTCCATTCTTATTTTTAAATTTTTATTCTCTCTTCATATTTCAAATTACAACTTTCCAATTATCTTTCAAGTTCTTCAACTTTCTTAGCAAAGAATTCATTCTATTATGCACTCAATGCTATTGCTTTCTCATAATTTATTTTCTTTTCCAAATATTCATCACAAGTTGCTGTATATTTTCGTCTCAAATCTTATAATGACTCTTACAATTAAGTCTTCTCTTTTTCTTAATCTTCTTTTAATTATTTAAATTCACTTAATTTCTATTAAAACTTAACATCTAAATTCTCCATCTTCTAAGTAATTAATTAGTTTTCCTTTACTAATTATTGATTATTCTATTATTAAGTAGTTAATTAACTTTCCAATTATTGAATTGTCACATTTAAATTATTGATTCTCTATTCAACTTAAGTTTAGAAACTATTTTATAATTATACTAATTATTCTTTTGTCTCATTCAAAATATTTTCCATTGAATTAAGTTACTTATTTTTTAATTCTATTTCATTATCATATTATTATTATTATGTTGTTAAATTGATTTCTAATTCTCTCAATTCATCTTTCAATGTTTCTATTTCTTCTTCATATTATTATTATTCATCTCTCATTTTCTATTCTTATTCTTCAAATAATATTTAATATTTCTAATCAGCCTTCTATCTTTCCTCATGAATTCTTCTCTCCAATACATCTTTTTCCATTTCATAATAATTCCTTAATTCATTTACTTATTATTCAATACTATTCTTATCTAAATTACCCATATTCTATAATTATAATTTACATTAACTTAATTCTTCTTCTAATTGTTTAATTCTTTAATTCATTCTCAATTCCTTTTCTCTAAATTATATGTACTTATTTGATTCCATCTCCTTCAATTATTATTAAATCTTTTATTTCAATTCATCTTATACTTAATAAGATTCACTTAATTCTTCTTACAATTTATTTTTCTCCTATAAAAACACATCACCTCTTAATTCTGCTTCTTACAATTCACTCTACAATTAATCTAATTGCTATTATAATTACTTTCTCAATTGTTATGAATTTTATTCTGCTTATCTAATTTCGATCATATGTTATTCTTTCAAATCTATAATTGATTTATTTAACTACTGTTGATTTTAAGTATTTTATGATTGTTCTAAAGCAACCATTGCTGATTCATGAGATTTTTTAAGATCATTTATTGTATTTTTCTTTTCTTCTAATTCCATTTATAAGAATTAAATCTATTAATTTAAAACTGCATCACTCTTCAATTATATTTATTTCTATTCTTATAATTTTATTTCTAATTATTTTACTTATTATTTATATTGTTCGCCTATTTCATTTGATTCTACTTACATCTGAGTCTATAACAATTCATCTTATAATTATTTATTCTTTTATATTTCTATATTAATTTATTCTTGTAATGTTTATTATGATTACATTAATTTCTTTATTGCATTACTTTAACTATCCTCTTTATGACTTTGAACTTAATAATAATTTTCATATTTAATCTCTAATTACATCAATTAATCAGAAGTCTCTTGTAATTTTTCATTTAATTACAAATTTTATGCTCTTACTTCACTTAAAGTTTATTCATATGATGTTGTTAATTCTCTCAATTTAACAGAAAACTCACTCTTAGATGTCATCAAAGTGGAATCATATTGTTTCTCCTTTTTATTGAATTCATCATTCAACTTTTATAAATGTTATATTTTCTATTCCATTAAAGCTTCTTTCTTTTTAGATTCACTTTATAATATAAATTATTCTCTTTCTGCATTTTTAAGTGCTTCTTCTGCTACCTAACATTTCTATTTTAATTCTTCAAAATTATTCTATAATTTATTATAGTCATTTTCAAATTATGTTTTCATTTATTAAATAGTTTAAGTATTCTTTTATTTTAATTTCTCTATTTCATCACATTATATTTTATATTTTTAATTTATATCACTATTCTACAAATTTAATTATTTTATTTATTAATTTTATTGATCTACTTATTTTTGTGAATCTAATTTTAATGTATTAAATCCATTTTGTAATTTATTAATTTATTCTTCTGAATACTTTTTATACCCTTCAAAATCTGAATGAATAGTTTATACAAAAAATGTAGCTCCTTCACTTGTCATTTTTTAAATAAATTCTACAAACATTTATTTTCTCCTAACAACCTTAGGTCCATGTTCTTCTAAAAAGATATTAAATAATTTCAAATCTTTTTCAAATTCAGCATAAGATTTATATTCTGACATTTTTAATTTTTAATCAATAGGTGCAAATTGAGATACTAAATATTATTTACATAAAGCAGTAGATTCAGTCTCATTAAAAGTCTAAAGATTTTCAAATTTGGCTTTGATTTTTTATTTTAATTCATGAACATAAGGTGTAATTTCAGCATTAGTTCCCATATGTGCTATAGCTTTATTCTTACATATTTTATTAAGTGCTTTAATATCTTCAAGAGTAGTTGGTAATTTAGATAATAAATTTTCTTTGATTTATTTTTCATAAATCTCAAAAGCTTCTGCTTATAATTTTCTACATTCTTCTCTAAATACATAAGTCCATGAATTTTCAATAGTTGCAACACATCCACTATTCATAGCTTATAAATAAGAACTAAATTAAATAATGTATTATACTTAATTAAATTAATATACATTCCACCAGTAAGTGTTTTACCTCTAAATTATTTAGGTTTAACTTTAGAGAATAACATTTTTCTCAATGATATAGCTTAATCATAAAATTCAGGTCTTAATTATTTAAGATCCAAATATTATAATGATTATAATTAACTCTCATTATTGACTGGTCTAACTAATGTAAAACATTCTCTTTCTGGAAAGAATGTTCTTAATAATCTTCTGATTCTATTTTTTTCTTCAACTCTATCACAAAATCCTGGTTATTCTTATAAAGATCTCTCTAAATATTAATGACTAGTCAATGTATCTCCATTATTATCTAATAATTATAATGAGAAATCTCTCAAAACCCAAAAAAATTAGGGCATAAATTCTCCATATTCTTCAGAATCTGGTTCTTCATTAGATCTTAATTAAATAAATTTAGTTAAATTAACAACAAAACTTAATGATTCTAATGCTCCTTCATCAATAGCTCCAACAGAATTATAAACAAATGATGAAGCTAATAAAACAGCAAGAGCAAATATTCTTGTGTCATGATTAACATCTGAATCATTTAATGCACCTGTTCCTTCTGAATCTACTATCAAAATTGAAGTCTTTCCTACTGTTATTGGTGTACCCCAAACCCACATACCTTTTGTACATGGATTTACAGTTGGTCCTACTCCAAAACCATTACTACGATTAAGTACTATTCTATTCAACAAATAAGATTTTCCTGTTCTATACAAACCTGCTACTGATATTATTGCTATTGGATTATTTATAGATCTAATCATTTTTGCCGCCTCTTCTGCCAAATTGTAAGCTATCTATTGAATATTTACTTACTTCTATTTTAAGCATCATATGTGATTAATGGAATTGCTTCTTCTTTATACATTGAAAAATTTGAATTTGAAAAAAATATAATTATTAACAATCATTATTTCTAATTAATTGCTTGTATTCACCAAACTTTTATTAATATAATTATATTTTTATATCCTCTACTAAATCTTTTTAATCTTTCATTCTCATTTCTATCTTCTCTCCATATTTAACATCATTTCAAGCTATATTTCATAAATTTATCTTTGTTCATCTTATAAAAATATCCCTCCAATTCATATACTTTGCTTTATTAACTATATTTTTTTACTTTAATCTACTTAAAATACTTAGAATAATATTCTTTATTTTTATTTACATACTTAAAGAATAAATAGAGTCTGATTTATTAAATATGTTAGATTAACAAATATAATATTATATTATTTATACTATATAAATATAATTTTATAATAAAAATAAATATAATTCATTACTATTCATCTTCAGATCCAACATCTTAAACCTCTTCTTATTATTCTTATTATTCCTATGTTCCATCCATATCTTCAAAACCTAATAAATCATCACAAAGGTTATTCAAATGTAATTGTTAAGGATAATTTTTGTTTGGCATCAATGATTCCAAATAATCTATAGTATAAAATTTATAATTACATTCAATTTCTTATTCATCTAATTTTTCACCTTTAGATTTTAATAATTCAACAAATTAATCCCAAGACATTACTCCAGTATCACTTGATAGAGTTTTTAAAGCATCATATATCTATCCTTTAGTAACTCCATTTACAGGTTTATGATTTACATATAATTTAAGAAATGTATTAATTTCTAATTCTGAAATTTATTCACCTGTTTCAAGATATTTTGAAAATTTAATTTCATTAATCATATTTTCAATTTCTTAATTAGTAGGAAAATATCCCATAGATCTCATCATATCTGCAATTGCTGTTAATGGAACTAAACCATCTAATTTTCTTGCTTTAGTTGTATGTTCATCTTTTGATCTAATTTGACTATAATAAAAGAAATCTTTTAAATCTCTTAATGTTTATCCTTCAGGACCTCCATCAAGTAAATTTGAAAATATTTCATATTCTGTTTCTTAAGTTTAAAAATTATCTTCTAAAGCAGCAAAATCAACACTCCAAATATTAATTGCAAAATCATCTCCACCAGAAGTAAAAAATAATTTACCATCTTAAGTAGATGATAAATCAACTATCTTTTCAGGATGTGCAATTAAACCCATAGTTTTATTAGGATTACCATCTAAAGGTAATTTAATAATACCAACAACTTTCTCTCCTGTAGAATATGCTAAATATTTATCTTAATATTCATTTTTCATATCACTTGGATTTAATAATAATAATCTTTTGATATGTCCACCAAAAGTAGGACCTAAACATGTCTTTTTACAAATTATACGAAGATCTTTTAAAACAGTCCATAATTTCAATTTAAATTCACTATTAGTTGTTAATAAGACATCTTCTCTTTACAAATTAATAGGATACCAAATACATGCTGATGGTAAACATTCTTATTCAATAGATACTACACTCCTTAATTTAACTCTATTATATGGATCTTATGTAGGATCTAAAACATCATAAACTGCTAATTTCATATCTTCACCAATTGTAAATACTTTTAATTAAACTTAATTTTTTTCATCAAGTGTTTCACCAAAAGCTACTGATTTTATGGGTCCATGATGAACTCTATATTTACCAGCAAATATCCATTCTTTTTATTATTTCAATTAACTATTAGGATCAAAATCAAAATTAAAAACACTTACTGCATATGATTCATCAATAGTAGCAAAATATTTTGAATCAATACTAAAAGTTAAATATGTAATTTTAGGTTTTGTTTTATCAGTTTCAGAAACTAATAGATTTTTAAGCCATTTCTCTTCTTTACAATCATACATATGAACTATTCCATTTTTTGAACAAACAGCTAAATAATTGCCATCAGGGCTATATTCTATAAAAGTACTTTATATTTATAATTCACTTCCCTTTTCTTTTATTTCTTTTAATTTATTATGTTTTTCATAAAAATTCCATTCATAAATTTTATTATCTTCACAACTAAATGCAACTACAGGAACATTTGGTCTAACAGATATTGATATAATAGGTGAAACTATTGATGACATAATAACTGTTCCCTTTTTCTTTTCTTTTTCAATTTCTTAGAATTGTTAAGATTTCAATAAAATTACATTAGCTTTGTCATCAACAACAATAAAATCTTAGCAAACAAATGGCTTTGATTTTTTCTAAGATTATTCATCTTTATCTTTTTCTTCATCAGATTCTGTTTCAACATCTTCCTAAAACATATTTTCATTTGCAAATGATAAATTAGTTATTGAACTAATACATTAAATATTCAAACCATTTTATCCAATCACAACATCCTCAAACCAAGCTCGAATTCTAAATTTAAAATCATAAAATCTTATAGATCCATTTGAAGCTCCAACTACCAAATATCTCCCTTAAACTCTTAATAATAATATTTAAGCATTTCCTTTCTTCTACTACGTTTCAGATTTATTTGCAACATTCATTAGATTTACTATTTTAATAACTCTTCTCTCATCTGGTTATCCATATTCTTCTATAATAAGAGATACATCCCAAACTATAATGTATCCATCTAATGTTCCTGTAACCACATTTTTGTTTTTTGGAATAAATACTGTTTAAGTCAATACTTTATTCTTTTAAACTTCAGGACTATAATATTCAAATCCTGCTGCTCCATATTCCCAACTCCAAAAGACAACTCTCTTTTTACCTGTAGTAGCAAATTCAAATATCTATTACTAATTCTACTTTTATTCAGCATTATTATTAATAGTCACATAGTATTAATAATCTTTCAATTTATCATCTAGCACTGTTGTTCTTAGACGAGGATCTTGAGATTACCAATCCCAAAAGGATATAGATTATATTTTATCTGGTTCTTCCTTTGACAATGTTACTAAGTATTATCCATTTTCACTAATATCTACCGCCTATACACCATTTGTGTGTGGTTCAAATATCGTTCTTCTTGGTACTCCTGTCTTTGCATCCCATATTACTAACATACTATCAGGCCCTGCATCAGCAGTTACAATTATGTCTAATTCTTTACAATATGCTGTGCATGATATTTTATTACACTATAAATCATACAATATTATACATGTCCTTATAATAATCTTTATTAATTATTCCCATAATCAAATATCACTCCTGTATGCGCTGTTGCATAGAATATTTCCTAGATTCAAATTTTATCAATACCTTACGAGAATCATTTGTGAGGTTGTGAACACCATTCACCATTTTATAATTAAACCCTAATGTCCAAGAAAGGTTTAAAGCATTCAATTTTTATTAATCCTCTTAAAATTCATCATGATATTCAGACATTATTATTAAAATTATTCAAAATTCCTTTAATTTATTAAAACTTGATATCCTGCTTTTTACTTAATCATATTTATATAATTCTTATATATACATATATGTTTATTACATACTCTTTAATACTATATAAGTTATTTAACTATTTTATAATAAATATGAATAATAATCATCAAAAACTAAGAAGGAATAACTATATCTATCAATACACTAAAAGAAGAAGATTTATAATTATAAGAATTTAGATTTTATTTAAGAATAATAGTACTTAAGAAATTTTATTATGTATTGGAAAAATATAGTAAATTTAAGAAATAATGATTAACAAAGAGATAAAAAAATTAATAATCAATATTCTCATTATATTCGCTGATGGCATATTGTATTTGAAATTGATCAGAGTTGTAATAGATTCTTTTTAGGTTTAAATTTTAAGAGAAAGTAATTTAATAGAGGTTTAATCTTATTAATAGACCTTTGTCTTAATTCTTTATATATTAAGAGACAAATTTATTAGTTTTGGATTATCTTCATTTTATGTTTTAAGTCTATTTTATAAATTGGAATTTAGACATCTAAAAGACCTAGATTTTTGTTAAATTTAATTTTCTTATAGTTTTACTAATTTTGATCATAAACAACAATTGGTTTCCATTTAATCACATGAATTCAATGAAAGTATCATGCATAGGGAATTTATTATTTTGATTAAATTTGAAGAGTTTATTATTTCTTTGAATAAAAGAAACAAAAGATCATTTAAGTAGTTATTTAGGTAAGGATTTACGTATGTATAATTAGTAATTTTTATTAAAAGTTTCTTATAACATTAATTTAATTAAGATGAATCCTATTTAATAGGCATGGTTAAAAATTTTATAACCAGTTGCAGGTGTTGTCAATGAGAAATTAGCTAAAAGATCAGGTAGCATATTAAAAGTATATATGAAGGGCTTTTGGGAAAGATTGGTAGATTTTTCTTGATTGGACCAAGAGAATTCGGTTATCATCCAACAAATTAAATGTTTGTTTATTTCAATAGAAGAGTATTATTTGCTACAGCCTTTATGGGACATAAATATTCAGTATTGAAGTAGAAATATGAATATATAATATAGAGGATTAACTCATTAAGGATATCATATGTTAAGACCAATGAGAGCAGCAGTATTCTTAGGTCCTATTGCTGTATTAGCTGGTCTATTCAGATTAGTATACTATTCTTCAGAAAATAGATCATACTAGTAATAAATCTTAATATTATCTCCTTAGTCCTGATAATCTAGATTATGTTATGAAGAAAGCTACCAATGCTTTACATTTCCCATTGAATACACTTAATCAAAGATTATCAGCACATTATACAGAAATCAGCTCAATTTATACAGCTGAAATGATGAAAAGAGTAAAAATCAATATTTTATTCAAAAAATTAGTATCATAAATAACATGCAAAAATTATTAAAGAAAGATCAACATAATCTGAACACGTTAAAAAAACCAAATATGCTGATCCATCTTATAAATATGTTCCTATGACTCCTGTCCATATTGATGATATCAAACTCGCTTGAGTAATCCAAATATAAAATATATTACAATAAGTTCATTTATTTTATCAATTAACTTTATTAATTAAGAAATTCATATTTATTAAACCTAATTCCTTTATAATCTTCTTAATTTGAAGAATATTTCAATCATTTTAAAATAATTCAAGAAATTGATAAGAACATACTCAAAATTTATAAAAATATTCAAAAAAAATTAAATACTTACAAATTCTTGATTTTTAATACTTTAAAAAAACATAAAAATGCATATGATTCATTATAAAAAATAATCCTACTCCTTTTTTGCAAAATTGATTAGATGATCAATTCAAAGAATAAAAGCCAATATGAAAAATAATATGGCAATAGATTATGAAAATTACAAAAACTCAACGATTAAGTTAAAAAATCTCATAATCTATTTTCTGATTTTCCAATTCTTTATATATATTTATAGAATATTTAAATATAAATTTGCTCAATACTTTATTTACATTCAAATAAATCATTTATGTTACATTAAAAATTTTGATGATAATACTCATATCCTTATTAATGAAGAATTCTTCTAACAAATAATTATACAATTATTATTTCAAAAATAATTTTTATTATTCTAGTAGAAAATATTTATATTATTGATATAAAGCTTTGATAATTAATGCATATGATAAAAATTTGCTATCTTTTAAAAAATATCAACATCGATGTCTGCAATCCTTTATTAAAATAAAAAAAGCTTTAGCTATTTTTAACTATTAATAGATCAACCTTTATTTTCAAATTAATCTAAGTTTTTCATAACAAAAAAATTTATTAAAAATTAAAATTTTATGGATATTAGAATGTTTTGAAGACCTTATTCATTTAAAATATATAAAATCTTTTTGTATTAAAAGAAAAAATAAAATTAACTAGCTAAAATTTAACAAAGTCTCTTAATTCATTTTACTTTCAATAGGGCTTTTCAAAACCTGGAAATAAATTCAATCAAAGATATAGAAATCAAAAAAAATCAATAGGATAAAAAAAAGACTCAAGAATAAAAATTAAGATTACAAATAGCTGAGTCATAACAATTCGAAAAAGATTAAAAATATTTAAGTTGATTTTTACCATTTGAAGTTTTTTTTTTATGTTGTTAAGTTAGATAATGACAACTATAATTATAATATAAAATTATCAAGATTATAATTTGAAATAGAGATTAAATATTATAACTTTTTTGAACTGATATAACATCAAATTTGATTTAGTAGAAATTTTTGAAATATAATAAAGGATTTCAAGATTAATATGTTTTTTAAAGATTAAAATTCATTTAAAAAGAGTTATTTTGAATTATGATGGGATCAATTGTGAAAAATATTTTGTTACTATTTTTAATAATTTTTTATGAAGAAATTCATTTAAAATTAAATGTCATTAATTATCTTTTGTATAGAATTAAGTTATTATCAATATTAATTTATCTAAAACAGACAAAGACTTTCTTAGTTTTCAATTTTACTATTCATTTGCTAAAAGTTTTATTTCTTTATATGAATATTTAATAGAAAGAATGATTACTTTTAAAAAATTTTATGCTTAGAATCATATATAATAATGATTTATCTAAAAATTTAATTAATATATTTGATATAGTACGAGAATTGGTATGAGTAAAATAAAGATTGAGATTGTTTAGAATATTTATAAATAGACGAATCAATATTTAATCTGTATTTTATAACTTGTAAGTAAGATAAAAAAGAAATAATAATTTTGATAAAAAAAATAGCTATTGTTGATATTGGATAATTGAATTTTAGTTTAATGATTGATTTGAAAATGAATTGTTATAAAATAGAGTTTTTAGAAGTATAAAGTTATTGGAAATATTAAGAAAGATTAGATCGAGAGATGATTAAAAAGTATCAACATTGGAAAATGAATTGAAGTTATTTTATTCAATTTGTTAATTTTTAATAATAAATATGATATTTAGTAAAGGTCAAGTGTAAAATGAAGAGTTTTGGAATAAAACTGATATTCCTACATTTGATTAGGAAGATATTTAAAATGTTTAAGTGATAATGGGAAACTTTACAAAGGTTGGAAAGACTTTTAAATAAAGATGTGTAAGAACTTACTTTTTGGTCAAACAATTTTTATTATATTCTGATGTAGGAAAAGGGAATCGAATAAAAGGATTTGTGTAATTAGACACAGTGTATTGTTAATTTAATTAGTTTGAATAAGGATTTCAAATATAATTGATAAATAATGGTTATTAAATACACTTATACACAGATGATAAAAAGTAATTCAATTAATGGGTGGATGCATTATCTAATTGTTGTATATTAAATGATTTTGATAAAACATATAAATTAGGAGCACAAATAGGATAGGGAAGCTTCTCAACTGTAAATCTATATAATTAATTTTAGGTTCATTAATGTTAAAATAAAGAAGGCGAGATTTTTGCTGTAAAAATAATAAAAAAACAAACAATAAAATAAATAAGCAAGAATAAGAACTATGAAGAATAATTACTAAATGAAATATAAGCTTTACGTATGTTTAATCATCCAAATATCTTAAAATTGTATAGAGTCTATGAAAATTAATCAAATATATATTTGTTAACAGATTATATTGATGGACCAGAATTAGTATCACAATAAGCTTCAAAGAAAGTTTATTAATAGGAAGATTTAAGAATAATGATTTTTAATATTCTAAGTGCAATTGAATAGATTCATTAATAAAAGGTTATGCATAGAGATTTAAAACCATAAAATATATTATTAAATGGAAATGATATTTAAAGACCTGTTATAATTGATTTTGGATTAGCCGCTTTTACATGGTAAAAATCAATTCCATTTCCATAATGTGGAAGTCCTGGGTATAATTTTAATAATAAAAATTAGATATTCTGCTCCAGAAGTATTGAAATATGAAGAATCTAAAAAATCTTATAATTAATAATGTGATATTTTTAGTATTGGTATAACATTATTTGTTATATTATATGGATATAATCCATTTAAATAAAATGATTTAAAATAAACAATCAAGAAAAATACAGAAGCTTATTTTGAAATGCCTGCATCAAAATATCCAAAAACATGTAAGTAGAAATTGAAATTATGAATTTAGTAGAAAATTTGATTTGTTAAATGACTAAGAAATATCCAAAAGATAGAATAACAATAAGTGAAGCTTTAAATCATTAATTTTTTTAAACGTCTTTTTTTTGTTAAATATCATTACCCAAATAAATTGTATCAAAACAATATCATGATATAAATGCAAAAGGTGAAACTCATATTCATATGCATGCAAGTATGGAAATGGATTAAGGAATTCATTATGTTAGTTAAGCAAATACATAAATAACTCCTTAAAATTTTATAAATAAAAATAGAACCATTTCAATTTTAAGTGTTCCTATCAGTCGAAAAAGTTAAGAATATTTAAAACAATAAGAAATTAGTTCTTAATCAAGAGCGTCAAATGAAAAAGAATAAAATTAATTTGATAAATTTGGTATTCGTCTTCCATCTAAAACATTACCTTAATAAAAAAATCAATAATATGATTTTGAAGATGAATTTCAACTAAATAATTATGAACATGATAATAATTTCGTTGATCAAGAACATTTACATAAACTAAACTTCTCGATTAATTCAAAACTATTCTAAACATCTAAACTTAATATCCATAAAAATGATAATTGTCTATGATATTTTATATTTTTTTTATTATTTTTTTCGTTTATACTTTCATAAATACTAATGTAATTAACCTGCTGAAGATGCAATTAAAAATTTTAAATCACTATCCTATAATAATGGATCAGGAAAGTCAGCTTTTGGTCCTTCTTACATTTCATTCAATATTTTTCCACCTACTGTTACAAAACAATTTTTTCCATCATGAAGAAGTAACAAATTACCTTAAATAGTTGGTTATATTACATTGAATCTATTCTTTCAATATATTTAATTTCTTTAAGATGTATTGATATTTATTTCTATATTATAAGGGATGATTTCTTTTCATCAAAATTACAGATCAAAACAGAGCCTTTTTAATTTCCTATAACAAATATTTATTTAGTGATTGCTTTAATATATATCTATTATTCGCATCCTTAAATGTCATTGGTTATTTATTTATTATTTGAATCAAAAGCCTTCATTCTATCTTCAGTTATAAAAATTATTTAAGAATCTATCAAGATCATATCATTTATTGGTTTGTCATCTAACAAAACATCAAATTTCTTATCTTGGAAATTAATCTTCATAATTGTCTAATATTTGACCATATTATTAAAACATTACTTAATCTTCTGAACATGTTATTATTGTACTTTTTGAATAATGGATAATTTCAAAATTGTACCTCTATGCTCAGGTTCCAATTTTTTATTATAAATCCATTAGTCCTTCTCTTATTTTTACCAAATTTAAATTATATAATTTTAATCTTCAACCCTACATTAAATGATAAATTGATACCCAGCCATTATATAATTTTTTTCTGAATCATAAAATGAACAAGCATAAGTTATTATNAACAATAAGAAATTAGTTCTTAATCAAGAGCGTCAAATGAAAAAGAATAAAATTAATTTGATAAATTTGGTATTCGTCTTCCATCTAAAACATTACCTTAATAAAAAAATCAATAATATGATTTTGAAGATGAATTTCAACTAAATAATTATGAACATGATAATAATTTCGTTGATCAAGAACATTTACATAAACTAAACTTCTCGATTAATTCAAAACTATTCTAAACATCTAAACTTAATATCCATAAAAATGATAATTGTCTATGATATTTTATATTTTTTTTATTATTTTTTTCGTTTATACTTTCATAAATACTAATGTAATTAACCTGCTGAAGATGCAATTAAAAATTTTAAATCACTATCCTATAATAATGGATCAGGAAAGTCAGCTTTTGGTCCTTCTTACATTTCATTCAATATTTTTCCACCTACTGTTACAAAACAATTTTTTCCATCATGAAGAAGTAACAAATTACCTTAAATAGTTGGTTATATTACATTGAATCTATTCTTTCAATATATTTAATTTCTTTAAGATGTATTGATATTTATTTCTATATTATAAGGGATGATTTCTTTTCATCAAAATTACAGATCAAAACAGAGCCTTTTTAATTTCCTATAACAAATATTTATTTAGTGATTGCTTTAATATATATCTATTATTCGCATCCTTAAATGTCATTGGTTATTTATTTATTATTTGAATCAAAAGCCTTCATTCTATCTTCAGTTATAAAAATTATTTAAGAATCTATCAAGATCATATCATTTATTGGTTTGTCATCTAACAAAACATCAAATTTCTTATCTTGGAAATTAATCTTCATAATTGTCTAATATTTGACCATATTATTAAAACATTACTTAATCTTCTGAACATGTTATTATTGTACTTTTTGAATAATGGATAATTTCAAAATTGTACCTCTATGCTCAGGTTCCAATTTTTTATTATAAATCCATTAGTCCTTCTCTTATTTTTACCAAATTTAAATTATATAATTTTAATCTTCAACCCTACATTAAATGATAAATTGATACCCAGCCATTATATAATTTTTTTCTGAATCATAAAATGAACAAGCATAAGTTATTATTGAATTATCTTCAAAATTAAACTTTTAAATCTCTTAAAACTTATTTTTTTTATCTAAAATGTAGATACTATCTCTTGAAGCATATGCTAAGTTATTTTAATCCAAATTCATAATTGCCTTTATTTATGGATTTATACCATTTTATTATGCAATTTGTAATTTTTTACCCTTAATCTGAATAAAAATAATTTAAATTAAAATTACTTTTTTGATTTTAGATTCATTTTCTTCATCTCCTTCTTAATATTCAAGTTTAATTTTATTAAATTACCTTATTTTTTATGAATATTCCAAAACATTATAAAATAATTAAAATGGAATTCATGTTCCTTTTCTTAACAATTTACTAACATTGTCTTTCTTATTTTTTCTTAACTTCAGTTAACTCATCAATTTTTTAGGATAGATTTTTTTATATCACAGATCAATTCTTATTCAAGTAATCTATAAATTCTTTAGATTTATTTTCATTAATTATACTTTTGGTTATCAACATTGAACTTATATCATCTGCATTTTAAATAGAAATTTATCTATTTTTTAAATCTTCAATTATTTTAATTTGTTTATGGTATCATTAGCTAATAGAAATGTTTAAATTATACATAGAATAATTCTTAAGCAGAAAATTAATTAGCATTCTATAATATCTCAGTTCCTTATAATTAAAATATTGAAAATATTCCATTTAGCACTGTTTCTTATATTTATTCTGCCAATTCAAATAATTTTTGCTTTTATTCTTGAGTCTATTTGATTATTGTTTATGAAATTTTATTAAAATAAGTTATTAGATCAATAGATGCTTATGAACTTAATCTATCCTTAATTTCTTTGAATTAAGAGAATTTTTCATATGGTCTATCTTATTCACAAACTTTACAAGCTTTATATGCTTTAGTTTCTTAAGATTATTGAATTCCTAAAGATTAATATTATTAATGATAGTTGAGCAGCTATTAGAAGCAATAATTGAGCTTTATTGTTAATTAGTATTTTTACATCTTTAATAATACTATTTAATTTAATTAAAATATCTTATTTAATCATTAAAATAGATATAAATTTTTTAATATCAATAATCCTAAAAACAATCCAACCAAAAAGCCAAATAAACAGGATTTCAATATTTTCATAGTTTCTCTTTATAACTATTATGTTTAAATGTTGACACAAGGTTATTATTTTGAAGCAATAAATTTATTATCTCTTGATATTAAATACTAATTCCATTCAGAAGGATTTGTAAATAATTAATCTTATTAATCATCTTCCTCAGTAGTTGTATTCGTCTCAATTGTAAAGTAAGAAATCTCTATAAAAAATAATAAATATCACTTACAATTCTATTAATTAGAAATTATTGTTTATGTTATTTAATAATTATTTAGATTGTTATCATCAAATTGCAGGAGTCCTTTTCTAAAGTTTTTACTAAATACTCTTTCTCTGCTTTACGTTTAATAAGATTTATAACTAGATTTTAATTCTTTGTTATAACAAGGAGTATATATCTTATTTTTTAGAAAGTTATATTTTGTAGATTTCTAATTGATTAATGGAGTTTCACTAGGAGAATGTAAATAATCTTTCTTTTTTTCTTTATTTTTTTCTTTTATTGTATCAATCTAATAATTTATACAATTAGATTTTAACTAACTATTCTATTGAAAAGATAATGTAGAATTTATATTTTCTTTGTTATAGCTCTAGAATTATAAATTTAAATTATTGCTGATTTGTTACTTACCACTACTCATACTATTTATAGATTTTTAAGTTATATCTCTTGGAGTAAAACATTTTATAATTACAGATTCATGAGTATTATTTTTTATTTTTTGAGTTGTTTTATTTCTGTTGTTGAGTAAAAGATGAATAAAAATTTAAGATTTCTTTTTCAATAATAAATTATTCAATTTTTCATAAATAATCCTAATTTCAAGTGGCTTATTGTAAAATTAGAATTATTTCTATGAATCAATAGAATCTATTATTTTTATCTTTTATAATGTTTCTAATTATAAACCTTAAGTTTGAATAAATTCATTAAGTTTATCAAGCATAGAATCTAATCGAAAAAGCTCTTACTTTCTTTTATTTGTCAAAAACATATCAATTTTAACTGATAAATTATTTATAATATATGCGTAAATTATTGTTAATCAATTCATTTAAGGAATTAAACATGATTAAGGACCATTGTTTGTCGGAAATTCTGCTATAGGTTGAGGCATTTAATTAGTTTTGATGTCACTATTATGGTTTTTTAAATTTTTAACAGAGTATTTTTTCTTATATTCCTCAGTATTAAAAGTACTATTTTTTTATTTAGAAATAGATTTTCTAGCTAATTATTATGTTTATGGTCTTATGCTTACACCATTTTCTATTTCATAATATCTTTTATAATCCATTGCTTTAATTTACTCAGAAGATTAATTTCTTCTTGCAATATATGCACTTGTTGGTTTTAAATATGATAGTTATGGTAATGTTAAATCTTTTGTTAAATTTTTATGTAAATTTTTTCTTTACATAACAAAAGTACTTACTAATTATGGCTATTCAATCTTTGTTTAAAAATGCTCTAATTAATCTATATCACTCAAAATATTTGATGTCAAAGCCATATTTCTAATCAATTATACTGTATATCCTCTTTCTCCATAAAGTCTTTCAGTTGATTCTTTTATTTATGTTTTCCTTTCATTTTATTATTCTTTAAATTCAGGTTTCTCTTTTCTTTCTTTTTCCTCTTACATTTTCTAAACATTTGATGCAATTTATGCTTTTAATAATTCTCTTTCTTATTCTAATTCATCTTTTATTACTTATTTTTATGGTTTAACTTCTTGATTCTTTTTATTTCTTGCTTTTTCATATTTATTTTCATTTTTTTCTTAAACTTTTTTTTTCTATTAAAAATCTTATTAATCCTTTATTATAGTAATTTAATCCTTTGTTGAATTTTAATCTGTTTTACATTCTTTCTTTTCTTCATTCTTTTCCTTTATTTTTTATCTAAAGAAACTTTTTATTTAAGTTAATTAAGATTCATCAAACTCTTCTTTTAATGGGAATAAATCTTTAGAATTTTAATAATCTTATTATAATTTAATTTAAACCTATTCAATAACTTAATCATCTTCTATTTTTGTTTTTGCATTTTTAAGTGTTAACATAGAATTCTCTTTTCTTAATGTAAAATTATCACCAGTTTTATATTCAATCATTCTTTTTATAATTAATTCTTTAGCTTATTTTATATCTTAACCTTCTTTTGTAAGATTACGATTTAATTTATTAAAATCGAATTTTGGATTGTTTTCCTTCAAATGAATTAACAAATCCTCAGCTATATCTTTCACTTTGCTATACATATTAGTAAAAAATGTAAATAATTCTTTAAAATTATTCGTAAAAATATCTACTAATTATTCTCTAAATTAATTTATAACTTTTGGTGATTATAATTCTTTTTAAATAAAAATAGAATCAAAAGAATTAAATTAGCTTATAAATTAAGCAAAATTATCTTAAGTTAAATGAAACCATAAAATTTGATCTGTTTTACATTGAATAAAAAAATAAGAACTAATTTCTTCAACAATATTTTAATTGATATTTAATACTTAAGAAATTATATTGGAAATTTAAAACAAATTCAAATGTAATGGTTAAATATCCATTTATTCAGAATTATTTGTTATTTAAAATTTCTTTTCATTTGAATGATAAACTTTTGCTAAATATTTTTCATAATTTGAAATTTCACTTGATAAACCTGTATATTTAAACTTTTTAATTTCTTTATTTTTATTATCAATAAGTGATATAATTTAAAAAACTCTATGCATAAATTCTGCCAATCCCAATTAAAATTTCATTAATAAACCTTGAGCCTTAGAAGCTTTTTAATATAACACATTATCTGAATGATCCTCCATTTCCATCTTTTTAATATTTAATGTTGTCATTTGTTCTTTAACTTCTAGTAGTCCAGCATCTTCTGCAACAGAAGAATATTCATGAACTTCTAAATTTGGATTCTTCTATTTTAATTCATTTATTTCCCATTCCAAATTTTCTATTGCATCCAATAAGACTTTTTTTTATTTTAATAAATTTTCATACTCTAAACTACGTTTATTTAGTGTTGATTGTAAATGCCAATATTATTCTAACATAAAATTTAATATATATTTAGTTCTATTCTCACCTTATTCATAAAATTTAGTTATTTATGATAATAATTCATTACGATCAAAATCTTCTTCATTCTAAACATTTGCAGATTAATCAAATTAAATTTGTTATTAAGAATATTTACGTAATTATTCTTCATTTACTTAAAATTCATCAACTATTCTATATGCATTTTAAACACCTGTTGGTTACATAAAAATCCTTTCAAAATTTTCAAAACATTCAATATATGTCAATATATAACGACTTTCTAATTTTTTTTCAATTTTTTTTTACTTCTCAATTTCTAATTTATCTATTTATCTAACGCATTCAGAATTCATTTATAAAGCATGTTCTATTTTAATGGCATTATGTCCAATATTCTCTTCTCCTACATAAATAACTTTCTATAAATTTGATTATTTTTCTTCTTATTATTTTTTATATGTGTCTTACATTTTTTTCATTGATTCAAATTCTTCTTTTATTGATCTTAAATTAACTTTACTTGTTTCTTTTTTTTATTCTGCTAAAAATTATAAAGATTAAGTATTAGCAAATCTCTTATTTGACATTCTTGTAAGCATTTAATATTATTCTACTTTTTATTGTAAAATCAACTTAGATTTTTCTATTTAGATTAATTATTATTCAAGGGAGTCTCTTTTTTCTGATTCTTCTAAAATTAAATCATTATATCGTTCTTCTTAAACTTTTAATTACTCTATATATTATTCATTGCTGTCTGTATCTTTTGTATAAATACTTTAAGTAAATGTAACAAATAATGGATCAGAATGATGATTATTAATAGATCTAATCTAACCATAAGTACCAGATATAGTTTATAATTAAGAACTAGTCATTTAAGATTTAGATGGTTAAAATGTTTATGGTTTTAACAACAAACTTAATTCTTTATTCTTACTTCTATTCATTTCTAACAGTTTATCTAATTCTGCTTTAAACTTAAAATCATTGCTTGAAACAATTGATAAATTATCATATTTTTTTATTTCTTCTAAATGTTCAAATTCTTATTTTAATAATTCTTTTTTTTATTTGAGATTCTATTGGTCTTTTAATGTTTAATCGTCTTCCAATTTCTGAAACTTCATTTAATAATTTTATTTATATATTTTTATAAATAATATAGTTATGATCCATCGGTTTTTAATCATTTACTTATTAAGTAATTACTTAAATATTTAGCTGCTTAAAACTTAGCATAATTTTACATAAAAAATATCAAATTAAACAACATAAATTGAAAAATAAATAAAATTGTTCTAATTTAGCTGATATTGATCATCATCATTTCTTTTTATTCGTTGAAACTGATCTTTTTATGAATCTAATTAGTTAAGAAATACGACCAAATGGTGATTCTCAATTATATATTATCTAGCAGTTTAGCGTTGAGATATTGTAGTTAAATTAGAATTTTTTATCAACTTTTATTAGATATATTAATTTATTGAATTATTTGATCTACTTCTTACAATATTTTTGGATAAGCCAAAAAGACCATCCATATACAATTCTATAACATACCCCCGATTTTTTGTGTAATCTTAAAAGAATTTTTCTTGATTTTTATTTCATTTCTAAGTTTCGATGTTTATATCTTTAGGTGATTAATCAATTATCATATTACCAATATCTATCTGATAATGAGTTAAAATAGTAAAAGAATTACATTTTATGAATTAAATTTACTTAATGACTTCTGAGTTATCTCTATTTTTTTATCAATTTGTTCTAAAGTAATTCCGATTATGATAATTTTCTTAAGGGTTATGAATAAACTTCCTTTGGATTTAATTATAAAGTAATAATTTTTTTTTAACGTAGATAAAATTATCATTTATAAATTAGATGGATGATCCATATAAAAAATGTTTGCCAATCTTAGCTCTGATTAGGATATTCATATCAATTACATTTATTACAATTACCTTTTTTTACAATTTTGAATTCCTTCTAATTAACTTTAGAGATTTAGTTATTAATTTATTTATATAGATCATATTTTGGAAATAACATTAAGAGTCGTTCTATTCTGTGATTAGTAAAATACTTTACCTAGATAATATTATTTTAAAAAAATTTTAAATTAGTAAATTATTAGCATATTTAGTTTTGTTAAAAAATAAGGCTAGGCAATCCTAAAAAATTATAATTTGAGACAATAATATTATCAAATCGATTTCAAAATCATTTTGATTTTTGATTACTAATTCTGTTTGATAATTAATCAAGTTATTTTCTTGAATTCTTTTTACTTAACTTCTCATTGGTTTAAGAAGAAATAATTTATTAAATTAATACAAATACAGAAATTATATAAATAATTAAAAATCAATCTTATTTAGTTTCAACAAATGAGAATGTTTAAGAATTAAAGGAGTCAAAATTAAATTAAATTTTCTTTGAAGGTTTTTCACAAGTTTAAGCTAGATCTAAATATTCATCAATATTATTTCTTATTTAAGCCTATATTTTAAATTCTAAATCATCTTATTACTTCGACTTTTTAGATATATTATCTTTTAGCAATTTTTTCATTCTATTTCTAACTTATAAGTCCTAAATCTAATAAAAAAAATACTGATCTTCCAGGAAACGCTTTTGCTATTTAAGACCATTTTGATCCAAATTAATTAAAAAATTATATAAGCTTAGAATCTTGCTCTTAATTCCAAGGTTATTTCTTAGAATCTACTATATCTGCTCTTAATTTATTAACATATCGTTCTCTTATTTATTTTCCTGTTTTACTTTTTAGTACTGATACTTTAGGTATATGTAAATACTTAGTGCGATGGCAGCCCAATTATTTTAATTTTAATTTATGTTATCTTTAATCATTTAATCCTCTTCTTAAGTCCATTTAGTTTTTTTTTTATCTTCGTTCTTATGTTGTCTATGCCAATATTATTTGCATTAAGTTAAAGTTCTCCCTTTCATTTATTCAGCTATTCTATGCCAATTTCCTTTTAATTGGTGATAATAATTTTCCAATAAATAATGTTCCTTTTTAGTCCATTTCTTCATTTTACCTACCTTTAATCTTTCATACATATAACAATACCTTTATTTCAAAATCTTTAATTTGAAATCTTTATTATTTTAGTTACTCAACATTATGATATTTTTGTTTGCTGATCTCCTTATCACTTGAAAAATTTCTAATATATGATTCTTAAAAATTGTCAGAAAATGGTTTTTGTTCTTTTTCTTATATATTTTCAATTTAAGAGATGTAATCTTGCAATTAACTAATATTATATTTCTTGCATTATTACTAAATTTCTTCAGGTTTATACTAAAAGAACAAAGGGTTAAAATTTTCATCTTATATATTGTTTTGATAGAATTGAAACTAAATATTGCAAGATTGATTGTCCTCATAAAATTCAAAGGTAAAACCTAATCCATCGTTCATTTTAAATAAAATAAAGTAATTATGGAAAAATAACCATCCAGAACCTTTACTTGCTTGATTTTTTAAAGTTTTACATATGATCAATTTAATAAATATGTGAAGAAAAATTGATTTATTTCGAATTATGAATTATTGATCAACAATTGGTTTCTATCTGTTTTATAAAAAATATTAATTATTATATTTGATTAAGAATAAATTAATTTTTTTCAATTATTTTTAGAGTGTTGATTTAAATGTATTACCTATATTCAAAAAATGATATGGTTATTTTCTTATATATTTAAACTATTCTACTAATTATACATGCATTTTATTAAGTTAAATTGACATATAATTTAATTATGTAAAATAGAAACAGTGAGAACATATATATATTCAAATAATAATAATGATTTGCTATAATTCTTCTATAACAATTAATAAATCAAGCCTCACTACCATGTAGTTTATATCTTCTTCTTTTAATTTCCTATACATCATATTTGAAAAATCCTTGGCTTACTTCACATTCAATCATTTTCTCTCTAAATTTATCACCTAATGTAATTAAAATGCTGTAATACAGATGAGAACGTCTCCATAATTCAATTTTAAGCAATCGTGATATTCTGTATACACAGGACCACAGGGAGTCAAAAATTTTCTATCGACTTCATCTTTACCAATCACAATGTCTTCTTTTGTAATTTATCCAAATTTACTAAGTATATCTTATAAACTTACATGAGTTTCTATGCCTTCTTTAAATTATCCATTAATTAATTTTAATATTGAACGTATCTTTAAAAAGAAATAAAAATTGGATATAAACCTTTTTATTATAATATAATCTTTTTATATTATAGTTAATTTTTATATTAATTTATTCTCAAATTAAATTCAGTTATTTATATACTTTAGATGAGATTATATGTTTTTTACAAAAAACAATGTAGACTTTTAAATGAGCTTTTTTAATTAATTTATAAAAATCAAAATTGATTTAATCAAATTTTTTCAATAGTTTTTAGATTTATTATCCTTCCAAACATCCAAGAGTTATTTTATACTTTTATTGTCTAAATTTTAAAAGATTTCCTATTCCTAAGTATAATTAGAACTAGAAATATATCGAAACACTCCCATATGAATACAAGTCATTAAATTATGGAAAGTTTCCCCATTACTTTCTGTATTTTTAAATATAGGATCTAGACTTCCATATTGTAACACTTAAAATATATATTTAGAACAGAAAAACATAATAGAGATTATCTTTTCTTTGTCAAATTTTCCAATTTATAATAAATCGTCTCTAAATGAGGTAACACAAGATAATGTATATAGTAATTAGAATAAGTTTATTTTATTATTTGAGATCTCTTAAGATTTTCTTTTGGATAATTTTTCTATTTGAAATATTAAATAGAATATTGAATATAGTAAGTTACAATGATCTTCATTTGCATCATCAAATAAAACTTATCCCACCTGAATAATATTTTATTTTTGGGTCTAATAAAGAGATTATTTAGTATTGACAGCAAAAAAGCAGCATTTAGTTGTTGTCCTCTTTTTAATATAAGGTTAAGCTATATCTTGAAGATGATATTTTTATAAAAATTCACCAAAAGGCTTTATCTAACTAAAATTCAAATATATCATACCAAGTGATATAAAGGTGATCACCTCTTATTATTTTTCTTTTGATAACAGGAGAGTCTTAGTTTTCATTAGGTTCTGAATAGTGATTTCCATCACTATAATTATCTTCATTATATTTAATTAATTTCTAGTATTCATCATCTTTTGTTTTCTTTTGTTTTACCAACCCTTCTTTTTATTAAAATTATTATATTTATTATTAGTTCTAGTCATTTTCTCCTTATTCTTCTTCCTCTACAGGTTCATCATCTACATCTTGTTTTTAATACCTATTATTGATCTTAAGGTTTTGATCCATTTTTATTTTACAATAAGTTGGTTTGAATTCACATTAGGATTATTATTAAAATTGAGATTGCAAACCAGTTTATGCCATTGTACTAGCTGTGCCAATTCGGTCTAATTAAGGTTCCTAATTTTACATTAATGAAAAAGTATTTATTAAAATTTTTCTGAGTATCAAGAAAATCAACAGAATAATATTATTTTATATTTAAAACTATTTTGATTACATTTCGCCAATGAAACAATTTTAATTTTCAACTTTGTCACACTGAAATTACTGTAATAATCTTTTCTTTAACAAAATTAAATACTATTAAGTGCAATTATTTATAAAATAATTTATATTAAATAAATATTATATGGTAATGTATAGAAGAAAGATCAAACAATAATTTTATTTCAATAGAAATAAAGTTGGCAATAAAAAATTAAATAAATAATCTAGATGATATTTATTATCAATTTTATATTTTGATGATTTTAGATGAAAATGTGATATTCATTGTTTTAAACTAATATTACTAAAAGTGTGAATGCATCTTTAAGCAAAATGAGGATCAGTGCTATTCAATTTAATATTTTATTTTTATTTTGCTTTATGATATCTCTCACTTGCATTCAATAATTATTTAGTTATATCTGTTCTTTCTGCTCTCTCTTATTCATCTTCTCTCTCTTCAGTAATTTACTTTAGCTAAGCTTTACTAAATTATAAAATTTATTACTTTCTTTTTGTGATAATATAAGGTAATCCACAAGGATGAATAGATAATCTTTTACATCCAACACGAGAACTTAATAAAAAGGCATTTTAGTTATTTAATTCCAAAAAAAGTAGAAAAACATCATGATTTTTTTTTTCTTTGCATTCTTAAAAGAAAAAGTATAATTAATTCATTGTTTCTAAATCTAATGAAATTAAAATTTTTTAATCTAGAGTAACATAAATAGTATAGAGTAAGTAAAATAATGACAACTTTTCAAAGTATAAAGGAGAATTAATCAATTTATTTAGTATAATTCCATATAATAGATTGTAATAGTCATCTTAGGATTCCCATTCTAATAAACATTAATGTATAAAATGCATGTCATTTTCAATCCAGCATTTATTAAAATATTAAAAAGTCAGGATTTCAATATTATTTTATCTCATATATTCTAAGACATTTCCAATAAAGTTAATTATATCTTGTTTGAAGTACTTTTCTCTATCTTCTAATAAGCCATCATGATAAAAACAATAATTATTCATATTATATAATTTTTTTAAAAAGAAATTTAATGAGTTAAACCCACACAAAATATTCAAATATAAATATGAAATTATAATATTTAATGACTATTTTTATTTATCTATGCATGATAAATTAAATAGTTTAGTTTATTTTAAAAGGGATTAAAATTATTCTTTTAAAACTAAAATCGTTCTAATAGCCTTTGAATTTATTAGAAAATTGTTCCCTATTTGAAAATTACAAATATTCAACTGAAATATTAATAATTTATTATCAAACTTAATATGAAAAATTCATGATAATAAAATTGCGCAGTACATTAGTTCTCATATGAAAAATTTATGAATGTTATATTTTTTTTATTATATAACATTCTTAATAAAAAAGACAATGTTTTGATATTGAATAAGAAAACCAAGAATAATTGGCTTATTTTATATGATATCTTTTTAATAGTCCATACTCGGTAAGCAAATTAAAAAATCTATTTTATTCAATAAAAATTTTTTATAAATATAATGCTTGTATTATTATAAGTATCGATATTTTTAGAATTTAATCTCATAATCTAATTTCTTAGCTTTGAAATTTTGAAATTCATTCTGAGAATAATAACTTGTAAATCCTTATTATTTATAATTTAATAAAATTTAGTTCTAAAATATTTATTTGAGAAATTAAGTGTCTATAAAGATGAATTAAGCTATAATGTATAAGCTAACTATTAAGATTCGTAATTATAATAAATCCTCTTCTCTTAATTTGGAATTCTTTAAAATCAACAATTGATTATAAATAAAATTATGATATTTTCCAATATTTGTTATTATAAATTTATTGATTATAGTAAAATAGGGTTAATAGATAGGTTATGAATGAATAAGATAATTTAACTGAAATCTATATTATAGAGAATAAACAGCATATTTATATAGTAATATATGTTGGCTGTTTAAATATAATACTATTAATTGCAAGTATAATAATAATTTGTAGAATTAACTTAATGTACTTTTAAATCCATAAGATCAATCTGTATGTTGGGATCCTTTAGTTGCACCAACTCCTGGTTTTCCGTGTCTGGTTGGCTTATATGTTAAAGAGAATTCACCCAAATATCTTAATATGCTATTACAATTAAATACCTGCCAATCATATCAAACTTAATTTCAACATTACTGAATTATCTACCATTATAGACTCCAACAATTGAACCAACCATTTCAGGTACAACAATTGTATTTCTTTGATGAGTCTTCACAGGTTTTGGCTTTTCTCCTGGTAAAGTTTCCTTCTTAGACTTTCTAATCTAAATATTTTAGTTTTACTATTTACTTTTTTCATCAAGTTTTAAAAAGCATGCACCTTTTCTCCTTGATTTGAGATTCTTCTTCTCTATCTAGCTCTAAATTACTCAACCAATTTATCCATTGGAAGTTTAACAAGCTCTTCTAATTAGAGACCTCTATAAGTAAACTTTTTAACTCCCTTGAATTGTTTATCTTAGGTTTATTCAGCCATAATTTGAAAAATGAAAAATAAAGATTTTAATATATTCTAAAATACAAAAATATTAAGAAAAGTATTATTTTACTCTACTTCTCAATTGTCTCTTAGATCTAGGATTTTATTAGTGTATTAAAATTAGATTAAGATAATTTTGCTTGAATTTTGTTTGATAGTCTTAAAGATCAAGCCAACTTTTGATTAATATAAAAGGATTTCAGATTAAAGATATCTAATTCATTATTAAAAAAAGATATCATTCAAATCATTCTTTAGATAGACAATCTTATGATTATGTTATTGACCATCAATTTAGTAAAAATTAAATCAATAATCACATGATTTGGATATAATATATTTAATATAGAAGAAAAAGATTAGATTATATGAAAACTTGAAGAAACTTGGAATCAGTTTCTTATTTAACTGTTTTATATCTAAATATTAAACAAATCTATGATGTTCTTACATTCTATTGAGAATTCTATTTTAAATCTCAGAAAAATTTTAAATTGAATGCTCAAAATTATACATAAACAATTAAAAATTTTATATTGTATATCATTTAAAAATAATCTTAAAAATGATCCATTATTTTTAGGTGTATAAAATAATATTTCTTGAAGAAGTTAAAAACACTTATTGACCAAAATAATGGAAAGTTCTTAAGAACCATGCAAAATAAAATAGAATATATCAGAGGATTAATAATATAAAAAGATAATATGAATTTTTCTTCATTTTACATTTTTATAGATTCATTAAACAGAGTTAATTATCTCAAAAAACAAAAATTGTATTTTCAAAACAAATATTATCATTTATATTTCATTAATGAATATTCTATTATAACTTTTATTCTCTTAATTTTTGTGATTATTACACAATCTATAAAGGTTCTGTTGCCATATATCTTTCAAAAGGATGATATTATTATTGATTTATTTGTTATAAATTTGTCTTTTGTGGATTCATCAATGACGAGTTTATGAAGATTGGTTACTTTTCTATTTTTTTTTATATCTAATGATGTAATTCATAATCTTATAAAGATTATTTCATAACTATATATATCTTTAAAATTATACTTTAAACAGTATCTTCAATCCCTCCTAATACATTAACTGTTTTTTTTATATTAGTTATAAAATCACTGTCTAAACCATTTGGTGTTTGATTAATTTACATTTATAAATCCATTTATTATTGATTATTTAAAAGACTTGCTTATATTGCAGCTGGATTTTATATTTGCTCTTATTATTGTTAATTTTGTAAAGATAAGTTTTAATTTTAAATAGTAGATAAAAAGTTTGAAATTTAACAAAGCTACTAATTTTAAGGTTTTTAAATATTGTTAGATTCATTTTTTGAATTAGCATTTTAATCTAGATAATTGTATGGTAATCGTAAAAATATTTAAGCTGCTTACTCTTCTGGTTTTGGAGGAGGAGGAGGAGGTATTACATAAGCTGGTACTCTAGCTTATCTTAAAATTGATTAATATTCCCCAAAAACTGATCCATCTGCAATAAATTATGTTTTCAATTGTTTTTCCATTTCTGATCCATTTGAAGGAAGCTAGATTTTAGATGTATCTCTCTTATAATTTTATGATAATTGTGAAGGAGTTGGATAAAAATTTGTTTAAGCAAAACTAAATTCAATATTTTCATACATTATTANTAAAATAATATTTCTTGAAGAAGTTAAAAACACTTATTGACCAAAATAATGGAAAGTTCTTAAGAACCATGCAAAATAAAATAGAATATATCAGAGGATTAATAATATAAAAAGATAATATGAATTTTTCTTCATTTTACATTTTTATAGATTCATTAAACAGAGTTAATTATCTCAAAAAACAAAAATTGTATTTTCAAAACAAATATTATCATTTATATTTCATTAATGAATATTCTATTATAACTTTTATTCTCTTAATTTTTGTGATTATTACACAATCTATAAAGGTTCTGTTGCCATATATCTTTCAAAAGGATGATATTATTATTGATTTATTTGTTATAAATTTGTCTTTTGTGGATTCATCAATGACGAGTTTATGAAGATTGGTTACTTTTCTATTTTTTTTTATATCTAATGATGTAATTCATAATCTTATAAAGATTATTTCATAACTATATATATCTTTAAAATTATACTTTAAACAGTATCTTCAATCCCTCCTAATACATTAACTGTTTTTTTTATATTAGTTATAAAATCACTGTCTAAACCATTTGGTGTTTGATTAATTTACATTTATAAATCCATTTATTATTGATTATTTAAAAGACTTGCTTATATTGCAGCTGGATTTTATATTTGCTCTTATTATTGTTAATTTTGTAAAGATAAGTTTTAATTTTAAATAGTAGATAAAAAGTTTGAAATTTAACAAAGCTACTAATTTTAAGGTTTTTAAATATTGTTAGATTCATTTTTTGAATTAGCATTTTAATCTAGATAATTGTATGGTAATCGTAAAAATATTTAAGCTGCTTACTCTTCTGGTTTTGGAGGAGGAGGAGGAGGTATTACATAAGCTGGTACTCTAGCTTATCTTAAAATTGATTAATATTCCCCAAAAACTGATCCATCTGCAATAAATTATGTTTTCAATTGTTTTTCCATTTCTGATCCATTTGAAGGAAGCTAGATTTTAGATGTATCTCTCTTATAATTTTATGATAATTGTGAAGGAGTTGGATAAAAATTTGTTTAAGCAAAACTAAATTCAATATTTTCATACATTATTACTTTTCATCATATTATTTTATTTTCTCCATCATAAACTCTTTTGCTTTAGGATCTTTTAAATCTATATTCGAAAGCTCTTCACAAAATTGTTAAACAGAAGACATTATTTTAAAATTTTAATAAAATTATTATTACTAAAATAACAGATTATGCTTAAATTTTTTTCATAATTTTCTCAAATCATTTATTAATGGATATTAAATAATCTATGATTTAATAAATAGATATTAATAAAATTTGTTCCAATAATTTAAGAGTAAGTACTATAAAATGGAATTTAACAAAAATTCTTTTATCATTCTAATTCTAAGTGATGAATGAAATTTCGTAAGCTGTATATATAGATTTTCTTAAAATAAATGAAATTGCTTTATCTTACAAAAGAATTTTTAAAATATGTATAACTTTAGGTTTTTATCTATATTTAAATCTTCAATATTTACAATAGACCAATACTAAGCCATTCGACTAATCTCAATGGCAATTAAAAATTTTAACTTATTACTCTTAATAATTATTTTCGACTTTAAATGATTTTAAGTAAAAATTACATCTAAATTAATTAATTTTTAGATTCCATTATTTTTAAAGTCAGATTGAATTCTTCATGATGATATGCACAAAAAAATCAGAGAAAGCAAATAAAAACCAAGAAATTGATGTTTAATGTGCTTAGTTGGAGGGAATAATCTTTTTACTAAGAAATTTATAAAAAGATTTAGATTATATTCAAGATCTACAAAACAAAGAGATTGTAGAATCAAAACATAATAAAATTTCATCTGATCAAGAAAAAATTTTGAGTATCAGTTCTTTGTAATTATTAGAAATATCTAAATCTATTAAACGACAGAATAATCTTTATGAAAACTTCAAGACAAAAAAAAAACAGTTCAAAAGTAAGAACGACCTAAAAATTTTTAGGAAAGAAAATAATTAGAAAAGGGAGACAAGAGAAATATAATAAACCTTCATCAGCCAAATGAATAAATATATAGAAAATAGATTTTAAATTCATTCTAAATTCTCATAAGTAGATTTTGTAAATTCCTATCTATATTTTCATGAACTTATTCAACTAATGAAACTCAAAAAAAAAGGTGCCATATATTAATTATTTGGATTATAAAGATGCCCATAAAAGCATATATATTTTTAATTTTAAATAAAATATTACAATAATTCATTTCTATCATATTAAAGAACTAGTTATTTGTTATTTAAGGAAATCTAGAGGATCAGATATAAGTAAGTAATAGAAAGAAGAGTTGGATAAATTTAGACATAAAAATAATCAAAGTGAATTAAATATAAGTGTAATTTTAAATGGATTTAGATTTAGACTATCATTAACTTCATCAGAGATTGGATATTGTTGAATTCGGTGAAATTTAAATGAAAAGGTAGTGACTGTTTATGTAGATTTTAAGTGTTTTAGATAGTAATTTAAAAGAAGATAATAATATGTTACTAATGAAAGTTAAGTAAAAAAATTAGAAGAATATATAAAATATTTTAGAGTGGAGATATTGAATAATATAAGAAGAGCTAGAGATTATGGATTAAAATAAAGGACCAATAGAAGAACATAAAAATGGTAAAATATTTATGGAAGATAAAGATGAAAAAATTAATTTTTAATAATCTTATAAATCTCTCAAATAATGAAAAAGTAACAATATTTTATAAACCAAATAAACATTGGGTGGCTAAATTTCAAGGATTATCAGATGCTTATGAAGATTTTAGAATTAATAGTTAATTATTATATTTTAATAATTAAGATTATCTAGTATCTGGAAAAACAAAGAGAGAAAAGATGAAATTGTTAAAATTACTTGTCTTGATATTATTAGGGTGTTTTAATATTTATTTAGTTGAATAACTTAAATTGGAAAAACTACATATTTTACTTTTGATTCTTATGATATATCATAAAAAAGATATATCTTTTTTAAATTATTCATCCGTATAAATTAATTAATTTACTGTTAAAGTAGATTACAATAAAATCTGGAATATTGGCAAAGATAATATTGTTTATTTATTGAAAAAGATTTATTAGTTTATCAATTAGTTGCTTATGATGATAATAAAATGAAATTTTTTAAATAAATTTTATTAAGTTCCTTTCATTATTAGAATAATAGTGAAGACATAAATAATTTTTTAGTATTTATGTAAATAATGATATTTTAAGGATTGAGGTATCATAATATTTATTAAATGTATAAATATTATTAGAGAAAGTTGAATGTTCATGAATACTTTTTAAATCCATATCATCTACCATTAAAAGAATGGTAACTTGAATTATAGACATGTCTTTAAACTTAATCATTAATATTATTCTGAAGTTTAGATCAGTACCTAATTTAAACTAAATCTTATAGTATAGCTCTTTTTAATAATTAAACAACTTCTCATTCAGTTTATTTCTTAGAAAACCATAACTAGAATCAAAACCATTTTTTTAATTTCAAGCCAAAAAATTATTTTGATTAAATCCTTTTTACTCTATTGCAATCATATTATATTTTAAATAGATATCTGACTTAAAATCAATATATCAATATATTTTAATAATATTCAATTTATTAATAAGTTGAATCGTTTCATCATAGAGTTTATTAATATTCTCATTCCTTGCAGTATAATTAAAAATGTGTTCTTTTATAGGGTCTAAAATACTTTGTTAAATTTTTGGAATTAATTCAAGATTTAAATCATAATTCCATTTAGCAAAATATTTCTATTATTAATATGGATATGGATATAGATATGGCTACTCAAAATAACAAATTATAATTTATTATTTGAGGTATTCATTTATTATGTTAAAAGTAAAACATTATACATCAGAATCTCCATCTGGTCCTAAAGAATGCAAAATTATTCTATTCTATAAATCAAATTAATTTGGAGCCTCAGAATTAGGAATTTTAGTTGTTTTTTGAATTTTTGCCTACATTTATTCAGTTTCTAGCTCTTCAATTCTTATCTAATTAATTAACTCTGCTTCCAAGGGTTATTCTTTTTGAGAATTATATGTATTAAATTCTCTTATTTAATATTGGTTTATATTGTTTTAAGTATAGTTAATTTCTAAGGAATAATGGTTAGATTCGAAAGATGATAATACTCCTTAAGATTTTTGATCAGAAGATGATTCTTATAATATATAACATCTTGAATTCTTTTCTTGCATACAAAATTCAGTATTTTAATCATCATCTAAATGAATGTCCTCATAACTATCAGATATGTTTTATTATTGCATCTAATGTAAATTTAATATAATTATAAAATAATTATATTAAAAATTATTCATTAAAAATATTCCTTTATCATAAATTGTGTTTATTAACAATGTCACATTGTTCAAATTTGCAATCTACACATCTTTCTCTTTTGCTGCTACATTATTTTTTGTTTCCTAATCCTTAAGTAACTAGATCACTTAAAGCTGCAATAAATTGAGGATGATCATTTAAAGAATCACATCTTACCACATTCTTTTTATTTGATTCAATATCTTTTTTTAAATCTTCCATCAATTAAATATCTAATTCATATAAAGTCTCAAGATGATCACTTGTAAAACCCATAGGTGAAATTATAATATTTTTAAATTTACTATTTTTTATATATTGGCTAAGAGCGTGATGGGTGGCAGGTCTAAGCCATTTATTTAAGCCAACTTTTGATTAATAGGATAAATCAAAATGAACTGAAATTCCCATATTTTTTAAATTATCTATAACTAATTAACAAGACTCATAAATATAATAAGGATATTTCTCACCATCCCAAACAAAATCAGCTGGTAAAGAATGAGCTGTAAATAGAATCATGGTTTCATTAGGAACTAAATTTTAACTTTTCAACTTATTGTTCAATAATGTGGCCATTGCGGAAATGTAAAATTTATTTTTATGCCATGAATCAATTACTGACACTTCTAAATTTGGTTAAATTGTTTTATATTTTTGTAATTATTCTATTGCATTTCTTATGGCATTCCCCCCTGTTGAACATGAATATTAAGGATATTAAGAAAAAAGTAAGAATTTTTATATTCTTCCCTCAGTTTTCTCAAAAGCAAACTCTATAGCATCTTCTTATAGAGGAAGTCCATATCGAAATGCTGGTAAAAATCCGCATCCTTCTGGTTTGCTCATCAAAAAGCCTTATATCATGGTCCATTTGAAAAGTGGAGAGAAGCCTCCAATTTTCTCATACTACTTATTGATTTTAGCCGGACCTCTCAATCGAGCTATGTATGGACCCAATCCGAAAGGTATTCTAATCACACTAGTGTCTTCAAAGAATCTAATCAGAAATGGACTTATTTCTTAATATGAATTGGGCCTAATCTATATTGTTAGTGATCACCCTCCTAAATTCAGCATCAAAATAGCTGTTTTATTGTCAGCATCGAACTGGGTTTGCACTAAATATTTTAAGGACTGATTATAAGTAGACGATCTAAATTTGGTGAACTGGTAAATAGATTTCATAAAAATATATATATTTGCGTACAATTAATTATATTTTGATAATATATTAAAATAGTTAATGGATAAATCAAAATTGGTTTAACATACATCATCATTGAATACTAATCTGCAATATTACCTAAATAAGTTTGAGAAGAATTAAGAATGGGCTGATATAGCTCCATTATTAATGAAAATTGAAGGATTGTTGAAATAGCATCCATCTCCATACATAATAGAAAAGATTTAATTAAGCAAAAGATTAGCATAATGTCTTAATCCTCATGTATGAGTTTAATATATTAATTAGCTTTCAGCTCCAATTCATATGTCAGTATTAAAGATCTATGATTAATTATTCAAAAATATGGCAAACTTTAGTGTCGAAGGAGATCCTTCTGGTGTTGTTAAATTATATTTAGAAGATCTTGCTTTATATTCAATTGGTTTACTTCCATTTTTTTCTAATGCATCTTCAAAAGTAAGACCATAATTCTTAGAATTAATTATTTAACATTATGTACCATTGGGAAGGGAATTAATTCCAATGTTACCTGGATTAGTAGCCAGTATATTACCAGGATTAGATGATTAATAGGAAGCCAATTAAAAGAAATGTATGAATGTATTGGATGCATTGAGTTAATCAGCAGGTAGAAAATTCCTTATTGGATCAGTATGGATGTCAATGCTTAGAAGTCCAAAATGTAGAAGGTATTTTAACTATATATTAATTATAGTTCATCTTTAAAGTATTTATCTTAAAAGATTCCAAAAATGTAATAGGAATAGGAAGATGAATAATCAGATTATGAAAGTGATGAATATGAAGAAGAAGAATAATAATAGAAAACGTAATCTATTTCATAAGAATAAATATAATAATAATAAAAAGCGACATAAAATAATTAAGATATAGAAGACATTAAAGATGATTCTATGGAATAAATTATGGATAATAATGCTTAAAATGAAATAAGAAAAAGAACTATTGTTGTTGAATAGAGTATGGAATTAAAACGTAAATAAGCTTTGATGATGATTGAAGATGGTATCAATGAAGAAACATATGAAAACAATTTTCCACCACTTTACGTTTCTGCTCTTATTTCTTGTTTAGAAGATGAAAAGTATTTTCTTAAATTATATTTAGCTAATTAATTAAAAGACAAGCACTTGATATGATGTATACACATTTGAAATCTAATGTCATTTAAGAAAATAAAGAAATTTTAGTTGAAGCTTCATTAAAGTTACTTATAAGAAAAGATTTATCAGTAACACGAAGAGTCAATTAATGGTTATTCGGTAAACCAGACATGGATAATAAATATCAAATAAATGAATAAAATAAAGACATACTATAATATGTTGTAAATTCATTTAATAAATTTTTGTAATAAGAAACAAATGATTAGAATGCAGTTTTTCCAATAAAATTATTATAGAATTTCTTCATGGAACATGATCATATGGTAGAATTACTCATTGGGAAAGTATCCTATAATTTAATCAAATATGTTGAAATTCATAACAAAAAATATCCAGAAATAGTAAAATCTTGTAAAAGATTGTTAGAATCTATTACATCATTTTTATTAATAGTTGTTAATGAAGTTAGTAGATAGTACAACAAATATATAAATTTTTTATTTTCTACTCTAATAACTAAAGAGGATAATTTTGATAAAACAGTAGAATTTACTTTATTAAGAAGTGCATCAGCTAATTTAATGAGTTGTTTATCAAATTTTTCTTCTGAAGAATTAAGAAAGTAATCACCAGGTTCAACTTTGAATAAATTATTAGCGAGAATGGAATAATTACCATAATAGTAATAAGATAATTAATTAGTAAAACCTGCTTAAACCCTTGATTATGATGAAGCAATAGAATAATTTGGTTCATTATATTAAAAATTGGCAGATGTAATTCTTGAAGGAGATGAATAATTAAGAGTTGAATTTGAATCAATAAGTAAATCATTAATTAAGGGATAAAGATTCAAATAAAATAAGGAAGTATCTAATTTACCTAAATGGTTTACATCAATTACAAAAATCATAAAAGAAGAGAATCCATCCATATCTTTATTAGCAATCTAGAGTATGATTGAAATATTGATATCTGAGAAAGTTGATATTATTTATGAAAACTTAAAAAAATTGATTATTGAAGAAAGTAGAACTAAAATGTTGAAAAATTAAATTGTGGAAGGATAAGATTATACTAAATTGACATTAGAAAAATTATGGAATCTATTAGATTATCCTTTCTTTCATGAAAGAATCATAGAGATGATTGTCAATTTATCAAAAGTATTTCCAACATTTTTTACAGAAGTTGTAATTCATCAATTTAAAAATATGTAAGAAGCTGCAATCAGAAGATTTGCGCTCTTTTGGAAATTGAGTGCTACTCATTATAAAGAATTATAAGATCTAAATAAAGTAGGTTTGTTTCTAATGCTTGATTTTTTGGATCATGAAAATCCTATTATAAGACATAATGCTAAAAATTGGTTATTAGAATCAACAGGAATGTTAGAGAGAATTCTTGATCCTTTATTTGAAGTACTTATTTAAAGTAGTTCATCTTGGTACTTAACTGATAATCAATAAATATTCTTTGCAAAGGTTTATGAAACAAAAAGAATTAATGAAACCATAAAAAAATTAAAATCTATTCTTATTTCTTTTAGTGCTAGATTCATGGAATATGTCTAAGAGACAGAAATCTCATCATACATAAAAGATATTAGAATGCATTTCACAAGTGAGAGTAGTGTGATCATGTAAAAGGACACTATGATGTATCTTGATTTATTGGTTATTATTTGTTTAAAGTATGTTTAAGGATAAGCTATTGAGAGTATGTCTTTAAAATTTTATAAAGAAAATGCAGCAGTTAATGCATCAGCATGTGAATACATTGAATTATTAATTGTCAATGTTGAAAACCCTATTGTATCTTTAAAATTTGCTGAATATATTATGTAACCCTTATAAATAGTTTTGTATCATGCAATAGAAAATGAAGATCTTGTAATGCAAGTTCAAATTTTAAATCTTTTCAAAGTCATATTTTTTAGTTCTTCATTTAGAACTAAATTCCAACCAGAATAAAGAGAATTAATTGAAGATACAATGAGTAGATCAGTAAGTAATAGTATTTTCATTCCTACTCTTTTAAGAGGAATGCATACTCATGTTCTCTATGTTAGAGCATAGTACATTCATTTTATTAGTACTTGTATACCTTTATTAGCTGAACATTTAAGATAATAGACTTTGACTGATTGTGTCTAATAGATTTTAACTGCTTATTTTAAAATGATTAAAGATATTGCAAATAGATAATATGAATAATAAAAATCTGATTAAAAAATGAATCAATTTGACTTTCTTTAAGGATCATCTTAACATGAAATTTAATCCATCTTGATTGGAGTTAAAACTATTTTAAAACATATTCTTGGATTATAAGAGAGAGATGATATGATTTATGAAAAATTGAAGGAAGATAATACTGTTTTTAACACTGTTAAATCTGTTATCACTTTTGGATTACTTAATGTTTAAGATTAAAATAAGACTACCAAGTTAGTTTTCTAAAAGTTTTAAAATACTTGCGAAGTAATTATGACAACATTACCTTCCATTTTAGAATTATACATTAATTGTTGGTCGCTTGGATAAGATTTTATTAAATATTCTGATACATTAACTGCTATGGGTATTGGATCATATTCATTTGAAAAATTTAATTCATTCAACAAAATTCTATAAGAATAACAAACCAAAGAGACAAATATTGTTAAACCTTAAATTTTATAAATGATGAAACCATTATTTATGAGTTATTCCAAATAATTTATGACAGCATTATTATCAGTATGGAGTAATTAACTCAATCTATTGTAAAGATTATTCTTTGAAAATGAATAAATTTTAATCGATCCTTTCTCTCTTCATTAAAATACCTGCCTTCTAAAGACCATTGAGATTATGATAATGATGTAATGTCCAATTGAATTATTCTTGGATAGCCTTTTAGAATGTCAACAACTATAAGAGTTGCAAAAATATTATGATATTTATAGAAGGAAGAAATTATCGACTACTATGCTAAATTTCTAAATTTCCTAATAAGAATCAAATATCCTTTATTTTTTATATTGTTATTTTACTTTTGCTTAAATAGATTCACATTAATTAAAAAAAGAAAATCTTCTTCCATTTTGGATGCAAATAATGAAAATTCTTTAGATATTAGCATTATCAAAATCTCCAAGTACAAATATGTGGTTATTGGAATTATAATTATTACTAACTCGTAAATATTCTCCAAAAGAGATAATTGGAGATTAAAGATTTCGAAATTAACATCATGAATTTATAAATGATAAATTAAAATATGTAGCTTAGTTTGGAGGTAAATTAAATATTTTTTGGAATGATCCAGGTGTAAAGCCTGAAGGAGACGATTCATATTAATAATATGTTATAAAATTTAAAGTTGTTACACCATTAACACCAACATTGTATGATTTATATTTGAATGTGATAAAATCTCTAAACAAGGAACAATAATACGAAGTGACAGAAATAGAGAAATTAATATTTAATTAATTAAGTTGTGTAACAGAAGATTTAATTCAAACAAAATATAGATTGATGTGCATAAAAACATTAAAAAATGTAGCTTTAGAATTACTTTAAAATTCGTATGCAGTAGAAAAAACAGAGAGAGTGCTTTTGAGATGTAAAGAAATGATGGATATTTTGTATCCTCTTTTAGAAAATAGAAGTCAATATAATTAGATTTATGTTTAAATAATTTCAGAAATGTTATACTCTTAATTAGATAAAGCTAGATAAGTTTTATTAAAAGTATATAAGGATTCGATTTTAAATATTTTTAATAAGGAAGACTTTTTTATATAATCTAAACAAACTTTAAAGTATTGGACTAAAATAATAAATTGGGTAGTTTAATATGGTAGAAGTGATTTATTTACTTAATATTTAGAGTAGGTTGCTTAATAATCATCATTTTTCTTTAGTAGAGAGAGTGAAGAGAATAAGAGAAGAATTAAGACTTTTGAAAGAATATGTTTTTTGATTTTTAGTGGAGAAAGAGATCGTTATACTAAGAAATTAGATTTGTTAATTGAGAAGATTTCTGAAGTTATAAAATCAGATTCTGCAAATCCAGGTTTGGTAATGCTTATTTTATTTTGTGTAAGAATTCTTATTTTGAGACTATCACCAATTTAATTAAATGAACTATTTAGAAATATGTGGCCAACACTCTTAACTTTATTAATTAGTATTTTTAAAAATAAACAGTCAAATTAGAATTTAGTTTTGGCAGCTTTAAAATTAGTAGAAATGATATCTTTTATGTAATAAGATGAATTCTTTTTACATTAATGGATATTTATTTATGATTATTTTGGGATAAAGATTTAAGAGAATTAAGGAATTGGAGTACCCATCACTCCATTTTTATATTAACCTTATTGTTCAAATTTTTTATTTTAGCAATATTCAGTTGATTATAGTAAGGTAGAATAGACAAATGTGACTGATCCTTAAAAGAGAGAAATAATAATAAAATAGATTAAAGTTGATGGACAATAATAATTGGAAGATATATCTTTATAATTGTGTAATTATTTGGTGCAGTTGAATAGCATTAGAATTTATACAATTAATGAAGATATAGAAGACTTGATAGAGAACGATTTCATCTAATTGGATTAGTTTATTTATGAATAATAATGATTAATATATGTTTACTTTATCAAGAGAAAAATTTGAAATTACATATACCACCAAATTGTTATCTATTCCAACATGCACTTGCATTTTAGTATACTTTGGTATAATAATGATACCATTTGTACTAGTTTTTGCATCTGAAAGTATTCAACTGACTAATCAGACTTTTGGATTATGGTATCCTAATTGGAAGATTAATTAGACATTGAGTATTAAGGATTTCACTTTATAAACATCATTACATCTGATGATTAAGTGTACCATTTCACAAATCAAAAATATAAAATAATGTATCATACTAATACATGTCATTATAAGGATCAAAGATTTCAGTATATTATTATGATTATTTTTTTAGGCATTGATAGATGATTTAAATGCAGATAATATTCCTGAATAACTCAATTTTAATTTGTAATTATTTACAGAAGCAGATAAAATAAAATAAAATAAATAACTATATTGTTGCCTTTAAAATGTTATTTTGCAAGTTTGCATTTCTAATTTGATAGTTATTTATATTTCTAAGAATCTGAAATAGTAGACAATTAAGGCTTATCATAATTGCAAATAATAGATGAAATCAATTTTTATCAATAAGAACCTTTACCAAATAGGTATTTTTAATAAAATTATTTTATGTAAGTAATTTTGATATTGATTACTATTCAGAAATTTAGGTTGATGATAACTTAAAAAGTTAAAGGATAAGTGAGATGCTTAGATAAATATATTAAAGAAATTATTAGATTCGTTCAAAATGTATAAGTAGAAAGATGAGAGGTAATGCTGAGAAGGAATTACGGATAAGCATAAAATTAGATAATAATAAAATGTAAGTAATATAGAGGGGGGTTTATTTACTTGCAATAATGAAATTAGCATGGCTTTAATATTTTTCTTCATTTATAATAAAATGGGTTTTGGAAGGGAGTTTTTAATATTTCTTTATAGATTCAGAATAGTTGATACTTAGAAAGTGGAATAATTTTGATTAATATTTATTTAATATAAAAATGTTATTGTGGTTAAATGGAATGACTAATACATCTATAAAACATCCAATGGACACTATGATGGATGAATATCATGCTAATCCAATTAATATCGTACCTCTATTAGCAGAAGATGAATTTTTCATATAAGCAAAGAATCTTAATCCAAAAGTGATAGACTTCATTAGATAGCATTAAAAAAGCATTACAACATAACTCTTAGATTTAATTGTACAATAAATTGATGAGGTTACAGAAACAAATCATGATCAAGTTGTTGTATTTCCAATTCTATCAATTGAATTTTTTGAACTTGATCTTCCACCCTTAACTTAAATGATTCTCTAAGAAGTATAATATATAATTCTTATACTTCTTAGACAGCAATTCAAACTCTCTTCGCAGGATTACTAAAAACTCCAGATCAAATACATGAACCTTAATGGTCAAATATATAAANTCATACTAATACATGTCATTATAAGGATCAAAGATTTCAGTATATTATTATGATTATTTTTTTAGGCATTGATAGATGATTTAAATGCAGATAATATTCCTGAATAACTCAATTTTAATTTGTAATTATTTACAGAAGCAGATAAAATAAAATAAAATAAATAACTATATTGTTGCCTTTAAAATGTTATTTTGCAAGTTTGCATTTCTAATTTGATAGTTATTTATATTTCTAAGAATCTGAAATAGTAGACAATTAAGGCTTATCATAATTGCAAATAATAGATGAAATCAATTTTTATCAATAAGAACCTTTACCAAATAGGTATTTTTAATAAAATTATTTTATGTAAGTAATTTTGATATTGATTACTATTCAGAAATTTAGGTTGATGATAACTTAAAAAGTTAAAGGATAAGTGAGATGCTTAGATAAATATATTAAAGAAATTATTAGATTCGTTCAAAATGTATAAGTAGAAAGATGAGAGGTAATGCTGAGAAGGAATTACGGATAAGCATAAAATTAGATAATAATAAAATGTAAGTAATATAGAGGGGGGTTTATTTACTTGCAATAATGAAATTAGCATGGCTTTAATATTTTTCTTCATTTATAATAAAATGGGTTTTGGAAGGGAGTTTTTAATATTTCTTTATAGATTCAGAATAGTTGATACTTAGAAAGTGGAATAATTTTGATTAATATTTATTTAATATAAAAATGTTATTGTGGTTAAATGGAATGACTAATACATCTATAAAACATCCAATGGACACTATGATGGATGAATATCATGCTAATCCAATTAATATCGTACCTCTATTAGCAGAAGATGAATTTTTCATATAAGCAAAGAATCTTAATCCAAAAGTGATAGACTTCATTAGATAGCATTAAAAAAGCATTACAACATAACTCTTAGATTTAATTGTACAATAAATTGATGAGGTTACAGAAACAAATCATGATCAAGTTGTTGTATTTCCAATTCTATCAATTGAATTTTTTGAACTTGATCTTCCACCCTTAACTTAAATGATTCTCTAAGAAGTATAATATATAATTCTTATACTTCTTAGACAGCAATTCAAACTCTCTTCGCAGGATTACTAAAAACTCCAGATCAAATACATGAACCTTAATGGTCAAATATATAAAGATTATTTGCTCTTCTTTTATCCAAAGAACCTAAATTAGTTTGTTAAACCATATTCAAATTTGATTTACTTAAATTATTTTTAAATCATCTTGAATCAGCCACTGTTAATAGTATCCTTATTTAATTATTCAACCCTGAATATGCAAATTTTGAAGAGAATAAATTAGATCTTCTTTAATTAGGTTTTCAAAACTTTGAATTAACGGAAGAAATGAGTGTTCTTAATTTTACTTATCTCATTCATGAAATTATGACCAGATACTTTTCAAATGATCTATGTGAAAAACTTGTTTAATATATTGTCAGCAAATAAATTATACTCTAAATGTTTTAATGTCTTAGAGTTAATCATGATAAATTATTCCTTGCTAAAAGTTCAGCTCATATCCTATCACTTATTTCTAATTATTATTCTTATAAAATGCAAAATATTAATATTTTTGAAGAAAATATCACCCAAAAACTTATGGATGAAAATTCTGAAATTGCTTATCATTATCAATTAACACTTGATTTTGAATAAACTGATTTTATGAAAACCTTTATAAATGAAATGAATCTATTTGTTGAATCATTTAATAAAATCTTAGAAAATGATCATTTAAGACTCAGAACATTACGTCTAAAATTACTTGAAATTTTTGATAATTTAGCAAGAATTTCTAATATTAAATTATGGAAATAAATGAATTAATTAAAATTATTCAATCAAATTGTCTAAATTTACTTTAAATATTCAAATTCTGATATATTTCATTCAATCTTTGAGAAATTATTACTATATATACTCAATAGAGCTATTAGTGATTTTCATCCATATTGGTGTACCATATTAGTAGATGATATCAATATTTATTCATTAATTTCTGAAAAAATTACTTCAAAAAATACAATACCAGGTTATATTTATTTATTAGCTAATCATTTATCATGGTTTTAGAAAGAATTGAAAGATAAACTAGATATTGATGGATCTCTAGCCAAATACTATCAATAATTAAAACACATTGATGAAGTAATATTGTTGAATGATTAATGGAGAAGAGCTAATCCAATATTTAATATAATATTTTAAAAGAATCAAATATAATTAGGAACATCTTAACCAGGAAGTGAATCAAATATACCTATATCATCAGAACCTGTAATACATAATGGTAATGATCAACAATTAACTAATGTTAATGCTTAATGTCTATTTAATAAAGTTAAAAATAATAATTAATCAAATATTGCATGCATTTCTGGAGATTAACCACCTGAATTTGAAAGTCCTGAAAAACTTGAAGATTAAACATAAAACATTTAACCAGAAGAATATGAGTATGAACCCAGAAAATCACCTGAAAAATTAAATATATAAGTTTCTCCAAAATAAGATGAATTTCAAGTACCTACAGATCTTCCTTAAACACTTATTTCTTATAATTAAGAATAAATTAAAGTAGCTGATTATAAATTTGTTGAAGGTGTTTATTTATAACCTACTTCTCCAACCAAATCTTAATAATAATCGGAATTATCATAAAATAATTAAGAAAAACAGAATATCATTTAACCTAATAGCGTAGAATCTAGTCCTGATACAAACTAAAATGAATAAAAGGTTGAAATTATGTCAATTAGCTTATAAGATTTTGTTTAACCTATTAATAAGCATAAATTCTCTAGTGATAACAAAAATTAATAATTAAATGAAAAATTACCTAGTCCAAATAAAAAAGTAGAAGACATCATTAAAAAATATTCTAATATGTCTAAATCTGTTACATTTGGATAAGCTAATTTTGGAAATAATAAGCCAATTGATAATTTATCATTAAAAAGGAAAAAATCTATGGAATCTTCTTTAAGACTTAAATAGTTAGATTAAGTCTAAAGTGAAGACTTTAAAATTCTTAAGACAAATAAAGAAGTTACTAAAATATTAACAAGTGATAATAAAAGTATTTTAATGGTAGATGAATTGGATAAAGAATAAGAAGTTAATTCATTAAGGGATAGTTTAGTTAACATTAATAATATGAGTTTTTCTAGTACTTCAAGTAAAAGAAGAACTATCAAATTTAAAAAACCAAATAAAACCAAATCAATTGGATAAGAGGTCAACCTGAATGTTTCAATTCCTGAAGAACTATAAGCAAATAAAGGAATAGTATTTTCTTTATCAAGTTCTAATTCATTAAGAGATTCTTTTGTAAGTAATTAAAGTAGTATTACTGAAGAGAAAAAGTTTAGATAAGCAAATAAGAAAGATTAAAAATTTTTAAATTATATAAGAAATATTAAATGATTTTATAAATTATAAAATATTAGGTGATATAATAGTTTGTTATAAACAATTTTTTAATTCTCTTGATTACTTAATTTAGATATATTTCCAATTTCTAAAATAGTGTAAAATATGAAAAATAATAAAGGATTTAAGGAATTTAATTAAATAGAAAGTTAAATGGTGTTTGATATATTTTGGATATTAAATAGTTAAAGCGATAGAATATTTAAGAAAAACAAAAATTAAGTTTTATGCTCTCATATATTTTGATTAATATCTATAATTATGATATTGTTTAAATTTCAATCATTATTGAATGAAAATATATTATAAATTTTAATGGGAATTTGCAAAAGTAAATCACGATCAAAAGAGGTTAAATTATCTACAATAAGAAAATTTTCTAAATTGAACATACATTAGTTTTATAGATTTACCTAAATATTAGGTAGTGGATCTTTTGGAACAGTAAAACTCGCTTTCAGTTTGGAATAAGAAAGAAATGGTCTTAAATCAAAATGTTATGCAGTTAAATCAATAGATAAAGTAAAGTGAAAAATAAGTATAGCATCGAATTGGTTAAAGATTACATTTGATTTAAAGAGAATTAGAAATTCTTATTCAATTAGATCATCCAAATATAATCAGAGTATATGAAACATATGAAGATATGAGATACTATCATTTTGTGATGGAATATTGTAGAGGAGGAGAATTATTTGAAAGAATAGTTAGAAAAGGAGTATTTTCAGAAAGGAAATGTTGTATATTAATGAAGTAGCTATTTTCAGCTGTTCATTATATGCATGAATAAGGAGTTACTCATAGAGATCTAAAACCTGAAAATTTAATGTTAGCATCTCCTGATGATGATTTTGACATTAGAATCATTGATTTTGGTTTAAGTAAGAAATACCCACCACCTTAATCTACAAATGAAGGAAGATCTTAGGTTAGAACTTAAACTAAAGTTGGAACTCCTATTTATGTTGCACCTGAAGTTTTATAAGGTAAATATTCTTAAACATGTGATGAATGGTCATTAGGATGCATTATGTACGTACTATTATGTGGTCAACCACCTTTCTTTAGTAATAATATAAGAGTTTTAGAAGAAAAAATTTAAAACAAAGATATTCAATTCGATGAGAATTCTTGGTAATATATCTCAAGAGAAGCAAAAATGCTTGTTATCAGATTGCTAGATAAAAATCCGAAAAAACGCATAACATGTGCGTAAGCCTTATCTAGTCCATGGATTTAAAATTATGCTTTTGCACCTCCAAGCAGAGTTGAATCAATCCCCAATAATGAATAAGAAAATGAAAAAGCCATTTAATTACTCAAAACCTATGGAAATATATCAAAGTTAAAGAAAGAAACTCTTAATATATTATTAAATTAACTAAATTAAAGTTAAGTTCAATCTCTTAGATAATAATTTGAAGAATTTGATAAAGATAATAGTGGTACAATCTCTGTTAAAGAAATGACTTTAATTATAAAAAAATTAGGATTAAATGATACTGAAAAAGAAATATAAGAATTAATTAAAAAATTTAAATTTTCCAAAAAAAATGATAATACCTACTATGGAGATTAAACAATTCATTATTCTGAGTTTATGATTGCCTTATTAAACTAATAGTAATATTTAAACGAAGAGAGATTATGGGGTTTATTTAAATAATTTGATATAGATAACAAAAACTATATCACAAGTCTTGATGTTAGAAGAGCTTTTGAAAGAAGAGGCAAATAATTATCCACAGTTAAGGTAGATACAATGTTTAATGAAATAAGTATGAATAGCTAAGACAAAATTGACTTTTAAAGATTTCATGAGATGATGTTANGGAAATGTTGTATATTAATGAAGTAGCTATTTTCAGCTGTTCATTATATGCATGAATAAGGAGTTACTCATAGAGATCTAAAACCTGAAAATTTAATGTTAGCATCTCCTGATGATGATTTTGACATTAGAATCATTGATTTTGGTTTAAGTAAGAAATACCCACCACCTTAATCTACAAATGAAGGAAGATCTTAGGTTAGAACTTAAACTAAAGTTGGAACTCCTATTTATGTTGCACCTGAAGTTTTATAAGGTAAATATTCTTAAACATGTGATGAATGGTCATTAGGATGCATTATGTACGTACTATTATGTGGTCAACCACCTTTCTTTAGTAATAATATAAGAGTTTTAGAAGAAAAAATTTAAAACAAAGATATTCAATTCGATGAGAATTCTTGGTAATATATCTCAAGAGAAGCAAAAATGCTTGTTATCAGATTGCTAGATAAAAATCCGAAAAAACGCATAACATGTGCGTAAGCCTTATCTAGTCCATGGATTTAAAATTATGCTTTTGCACCTCCAAGCAGAGTTGAATCAATCCCCAATAATGAATAAGAAAATGAAAAAGCCATTTAATTACTCAAAACCTATGGAAATATATCAAAGTTAAAGAAAGAAACTCTTAATATATTATTAAATTAACTAAATTAAAGTTAAGTTCAATCTCTTAGATAATAATTTGAAGAATTTGATAAAGATAATAGTGGTACAATCTCTGTTAAAGAAATGACTTTAATTATAAAAAAATTAGGATTAAATGATACTGAAAAAGAAATATAAGAATTAATTAAAAAATTTAAATTTTCCAAAAAAAATGATAATACCTACTATGGAGATTAAACAATTCATTATTCTGAGTTTATGATTGCCTTATTAAACTAATAGTAATATTTAAACGAAGAGAGATTATGGGGTTTATTTAAATAATTTGATATAGATAACAAAAACTATATCACAAGTCTTGATGTTAGAAGAGCTTTTGAAAGAAGAGGCAAATAATTATCCACAGTTAAGGTAGATACAATGTTTAATGAAATAAGTATGAATAGCTAAGACAAAATTGACTTTTAAAGATTTCATGAGATGATGTTAGCGGATTCTCTTAAAACTCAAGATGAAGATATTCAAATTCAAAATATCAGTAAAGTTTCTACCAATAATCCGCAAAATTTGGCTTATCTAAATTATTTAAACTAACCTAATGGAGACTTCAATATTGATATTTGAATTTATTTAATTAATCTAATCTCATTTATGTATTAAATTAAAAAAATAATTAATATCATTATAATACTACAAAATACCTAAAGAATTTAAATCATTTTTTGAGGAAAAATATTTTTCAAAATATAAATGTTATGAATATTAACAAAGAGAAACTGAGCTATTTGTGATTTATTTTAATTAGTTAAACTTTATGTTTAAATATTATAGTTCAACATTATATGAAATTAATATTTAATTAATGGAAAATCTATTATAATTATCAATATCTAAGACAATAATTTGATTTTCTAAATATTTTATTTCATCGAATCTGTAAATATCTTAAAAGCAATGAATTTACCTCCAATATAGTTTTATCCATTTAAAATTAATTTATAATAAGATAGTTTTAAATTTATTGAAAGTTATTAAGTTCAAATTAATGAATATATAATGATAATTATTTTAATGTCTGTTTATGATTATTGTTCAATGAGTTTATTTAAAGACATCTGTTGCATTTTAATATCTTGATAAAAATTTATCGTTTTCAACATCATATGTAGGTAATACAAGAATTCTATTCTTATGTAATTCCTAATGAATTTTATTTTTAAGAGTGTGATTGAGATACCAATTAATTTTACCTGTTTCCTACGATTAACGCATTCTAAAAAATCTAATCCTTCAATTGCACAAAGCTTATTTGGCAAATTTTCTTTATTAATACAAGTTTATATTCTTTCATAGAATGTGATGCATGGATTTATGCCTCCAGATGTATTTATACCAATATATGACATAGATAATTATTTATATTATATAATTCATATATAATCTTTTAATAAAATTTGTGATATTTTTATCAATAAATAAGAATCTTATTAAAGAATAAGACATAGGGAAAGAATAAAAAATATTTGAAAAACTTGAAAATGATTATTTAATCAATAGAAAGTATTTAAATGAATAGTTATTATTTATTAAATTATTTTTAGTACAATTTAATATAATTTTTAGTATAATTTTTAAATAATAAAATATGAATACTTACAGCTCTGTTAAGTATAACTATATTAAATAGCTAGATCCTTCGACTCTTAGATTCAGGGAAGAAGAATGTAAGAGCCAAACATAGCAGTAATGCATTAAAGACATTAATAAAGTCCAAAATATCACTCTCCAGAATCTAATTTGGATAATTTTGTGAATTTGAAAGCATTCGAACAACCAAAAATATTAAAAAAGAAAAAGTTAACATAAGGATAATAAGGAAAACCAAAAGTTTAGATTTAATAGATAAAAAAACCTGCATAATAATCAATGTCTGTGAAAAAATAAACAAAGAGGGTTATTTCTCCAAAAAAAAAGAAGGCTCACACAGTTGATTCAAAGTAGTAAATGAAAGTTATAAAACCTTCTTAATAATAAAGAAGAGAAGAATTAGGTTTAGGTTAACTAAATGAAAAATAAATTAAACAACGAATTAGTATTATTCAAAAATATAATTAGAAAAAATCAAATCGAAGACTAAAATAGTAGAACCATAATTGAAGAAGAAAATCTACTAACCAAATTATGAGATTTAACATTACATGGTCCAAAAAAAAACAATTGACAATACAAATAGCATTCAAAAATAAATGATTACTCTATTGGATAAATAAAGAAAGTAAGGTAATCCAATTAACAAGATTGGAGAATCTGGCCAAGTTGAATGAGTCTGTTAAAGAGATTTTCAAAAAGTGTAAAACCTTAGAGAATTCACAACCACAAACACCAAAAGTGAATATAAAGAAAAAGAAATATGAAATTCCTATTGATATACAATTAAAAAAATAATAGTCATAGGATATAAAAAAATGTAAAGAAGATAAAATTAATTAAGAATCAAAAAAATAAAAAAATTAAGAATAAATTAAATTGAAAAAATAATATGAAGATCTTAATCATAGATATTAATAACTTACAAATCCTGAAACTAATTTAGATTCAAATAATTAATATATAGAAGAAATTGATGATGAAGATTAAGAAGATTAATATTCATAAAATAGCAAAAATTAATTCACTGAAATGATTGTTGATACTTTATCTAAAATTCCGCCAACTTAATTTTTAATTGACAAAATTAGAGAAAGATTAGAATAATAAAATGATTTAGACCCAAATGAACTTACTGGTTAAGATTATTTAGTTTTCTTATATCATTTTATGAATGAGGCTGCAACTAAATTATAAAGTGTTTGGAGAGGTTACTCAATTAGAATGCAATTACTAAATGAATTATAAGAAATGTTAGAATAACAATAAAATGATTCTAAAAATTAAGATGAAGAGTAAGAAGAACATTTAAGATATAAATAACCTCCTTTAGTATTAAAATAAGAATAAAAAAATGGTTAGTAAAAACATTAAATTTAAGAAATAAATTAATAATAAAAAATGCCAAAATCAATATTAAATATTATAGCTCAAGATGGAATAGTATCAAATTAAACTAAGTAATAATAATAATAATAATAATAATAATAAAAAGAGTTATAGTAAAAATTATATTAATAATAGTAATTTGAAGATTAATAACAAAAATAATCATAATAATAATAATTAAAAGATATACCATTTTAGAATAAAAATAGATATGATAAAAACTTCTCTGATTAAACAGATGACTTAGTCATTATTTAGCAACCTAATAGCCCTGCAAATTAAGAAATTTATTTCTATAATCCTTTTGGATAAAATTTTAAATAGTCTTTAGAAAAATAAATTCATTACTCAAATATTAAAAGTTCTATAGTAAGTGAGGAAGATTAAAAAAGTGCATTGTCTCAATCTGTAATATAGTAAATTTAATAAGAATTAGAGTTATGGAATAGTTAGATTGAAAATATTATAAAATAAGATCCAGAAAAGTAAGCATTTGCTAATGTAAAATAATAAATGTCTTAAACAATATTAAACATAGTATCATAGCATATGAGAAAATAGAAAGAAATAAAGACTCATGAAAGAAAGGATTCTGAATAATCAGTGGATATGAGAATCAGAAGTTAACTTGAAGCTAATAATGAAAAAACATTTAATGATGCTCGTAAAAGATTGTAAAAGACACATGAATAAAGTGTAGAACATTTGTAATTATCATCTAAAGAGAATGATGTTAATCGATCATCATTAATGTCATTATAATCATAATTAATGAGAAAGGAAACTGAATTACTAAATATGAGAGAAGAAGCTATTCATTTAAGGTATAAAGCAGAATTGAAAAAAATAAAAGATAATCAAATTAAGAAATTAGAGCTCGAAAATTGGTTAGAAAAAGAAAAGGAAGACTTAAAAAATACAAAATAGGCAATAGAGATAAGTAGAAAAAGAGAGGCAAAAGCAATTCAAAAAATATAAAGAGATTTATAAATAGTTTAAACTTTTGATGAAAACAATCCAAAATTACAGAGTTTAAAAAAATAAGTTGATGAATAACTATGTTAAAGTAGTACTATAAAATCATAAAAATAAATTGGATCAGATATTATGATTATTAATCATTTTGATGTTGAATAACATGATGATTTAGATGAAATGCCAGAAACATATTCAGAAGATTTACAAAATGATAATTTAGATTCAAGAAACTTATTGAGATAAAATATTATTGAATCTGATAAATAAATAGAGACTTATTAAACATTAAGTGCAATAACAAATGATATCTTGGATGAAATTGTGCAGAATTTAACAGAAGGTATGAAAAATTAATTAATTTAGAATTACTTGTTAATAAAGATCATTTTGAATTTATAATTTCAAATTTGATTAGTCAATCAGTAATACCTTAATTGCCTATTTCAATTAAAGATATTAAAACTTATATAAAATAATTATTTTAATATATATTAGAAAATCATATAGAAGAATTAATTTAAAATCTTAACATTCCATATGGATTTACTCCTTTTAAAAGAATGTAATTAATACATGGATATGATAATGATGATGAAGAGATTGAAGATGAATTTCATTAAAATGAAGAAGATATATAAATTGCATTTCCTTTAGATGAAAAATTATTTTAAGAATTTGAATCTTATAGATTACAACTTGAAAATGAACCTAATGATAATGTTTAATTTGGAATGAAAGAATTAGAACATATCCATAATAAAGCTGTATTTGATGCATGTAATGAGGCCTTGAATTATGAAAGACCTAATTTTACCAGTATAAAATAATCTTATAATTTTAGATTCTGGTCTACCATACCCTTGGTAAAATAAATCAAATTAATTAATTATTGAAAAAAAAGATTTAGAAAATATTCTGAAAAATATGGAAAGCAAAGTTATAAATTGGTCTCGCACTCTTGGAGGTTTTTTACCTATTGAGGATGATTCATAAACACCTGAAGAAAAATAAGAAATTCTAGATGAAAAAAATTAACAAATGATGATCCAATAATTAAATTAATTGGAAAATCCATTGTTATTTGATTCTCAATTGTCTTAATAAATGTTTGACAATATTGCCTAGATAAGGGATGAAAGATTATATAAAATGCTAATCTAAGATGTTTTAATTCTAAATTATTATAGATTAAAGAAAGTGAATTCCGATGGTATTTAATTGAAGATGACAGAACTGAATTTTTAATGGAACTTGGAGATATAATATTTGAATAGTTAGTAGAAGAAATGGCATCAGAATAACACTAATTATGAATATATATTTTAATTATCTAAAGTTACAAAGCTCTTTTAAACAAAATAAATTTATTTATATTCAATTTTCAATGTAATAAATTATTTAATATATGATATTGTTATTATTAAGAATAACTCCTATCTTTTCTTGATAATTTGGATATGAAGCAGAAAAAGAATAATAAATTTGCTTTACTGATAACTTTTCTAAAGATGATGTTTTTGAAATAAGAATAAGTGCAAATTCATCAAATTATAGTGTAAAAATAGCTGAGGCTAACACTGAATCAATTGATAGTTTATATGAAAGAAAAGGATCTTGGGAACATAATTATTAATATTAATCAACTTCTGCTACTGCTCATATTAGATGCTGTTTAACAAATTTTGAGAATGGTTTTATCATTTTTAATATTACATATAAAACTGGATCAGAGTTGGCTAATATGGGTAAAGTAGCAAAAATTTCAGATTTAAATTAGATGGGAGAAATCATCAAAAAATTAAATTCTTCTTTGGATGATATCAAAAGAGAGAGATCTTTCTCAATTGAAAAACATGATTATATGTCTAAATTATAAGGCTCAATTTCTAAAAAGCAAATTACTTTTGGTTTTTTATGTTTAGGTTTATCTATGATTATTACTGTAATAACTGTTAATATGATAAAAAGAATTTTAAGATAGAAAAAAGAATCATGATAATTAATGTTATAATTGTTATATACACATACTTTTTAATTCAATGTATATTTTTAAAATTATTATTTATTATTGAATTAAAAAATAGTTAACTATTTATGTATAGTATTTTAAAGAGAATTTTAAATCATATTTTGAATACTGCAATTTCCTTTATAGTAAAATTTCCTGATTCATCTTTTTGAATCTTACATAATTGATGGATTTTCTAAATATTTCAATTATAATACTTATCGACATAAATAACAATTAGGTGATTTCTATAACCATTATTTTAAACAATCATTACAAATTCCACCATGTCTACATGGAAGCATAACAATATGAGGTTCTTGCAAAAAACAAACTTAACATTTTTCCTCATTTTACATTAATTTTGATTCTTTCTCAGGAGAATGGATTTAATCCATTCTAGCAACAAATTCAAATGCATTCAATCTAACTTTTTAATTTATAACACTAAAATTATTTGTTGTAACATTTTATATTTATTAGTTCTATTAAGATGGTTATTTAAAAAATTCAAAATAGGTTGATGATACTTATATTAATTTTTTTGGTAAAGTTATTTTTAAGGAATTATTGGCTTTTGATTATTATTATTTAGTATCCTTTGGATTAGATGTTTAAATTTATTCTTCAAAACCAATATCTTAGATATAATTTCTATATTGATAAAATAAATTTACTTGACATGTTGTCTAAAAATTGTAGAGAAAATGAATATTATAAATGTTTACAAAATGACTATGATACTAAGAGTAAGACTTGTCTAACTAGTAGGATAATTAATTATTTCTTAATTTTAACAGATTATATAACAAAACCACATTGGAATTCCACTAAAACTACAAAAGTACAAAATCAACCATACACTTCCTATGATTTACGATTTACTTGCCCTTCTCAATAAATAATCATGCATTATTTCAATTATTGAAAGTATTAAAATAAGATGAAAAATAAAAAATATAACCAGTAAACTCCAAGCCACACTAAATATGACAAACCAATTCCATTCTAATACACCTTTCCATTTAAAAAGTATTAACATTAATTAGAGTGCTAATAATGCTTTTATGCCTTGAATATACTTTTTAGTATAAAAATAAATACAATATAATAGCGTTGTATAAAAACTTTTCTAAAAACTTTTTAAAATAGAAGTGCAAATAATCTTAATAAATAATAAGCAAAGACAGCATAGCCTAAACATTGAATTTCTAGTTCTCTAAATCTAAAATGAATAAACAAAATGGTTTTGAAAATAGTTGAAAAAAATATATCAAATATTGAATTTCCTACAGCAAAACTAAATCTAAAGTTAATGGTTAAAAATTACTTAATTTTCAAAATTATTAGAAATAGCATCATCATAGCATCAAAAGAAAAATAAAAAATTATTAATTGCTTTAAGTCATATGAAAACACCAAATATGTTAGATAAATTAGTAAATATACATTCGTAAATACTAATAAAAAAAGTAGTTTAGATAATTTTGTGATTGACTCAAGAGGGGTAAAAGCTAAATCTTATTAAAATTAAGCTATTTGCTAGGATCTATGTTGGCTTTAATTAAATTATAAATTACCTCATTTTTTAGATTTAATGTAATAATTTTATTATTAAAGAAAACAAGAATAAATGAGAAGTATATAAAATTTAATTTTATTGAATTAATTTTAAAACCATATTATCATTGATCTTGAATAATTTAAATTTAATATTAATTTAGAATTTCTTAATAATATACTATTATATATTGTATAGTTTTAGAGATTATATAGAAATAAGTTATATATATTAATAAAAAATTTGTATTTTATTAAAAATTAAATAGACTCATAAATCTTGAGGATATAGTCTTACAAATTCTGGAAATTTAGGATAACCATTTTCAGCTAATCCACAATATTTATAAGTTATTTTTGAACCAATAGGAGGTCTTTGTTTTTTAATTCCAATTTTTAAACCTAAACCAACTTCAAATTCTAATCCTTAATCATTTTTTACTATAAAACCTCCCAAAACATCATCTTTTTTCATATGAGTATCGTCTATATAATCTATAATTATAGCTTCTGCATCTAATGATGATTTAACCTTTAATAAAGTTTTTGATCTATTTCCATCATATAAAGAATCTGGATCTCTTAACATTAAACCTTCACCTCCATTATTTTATACTTCTGCTAATTCTTCAGCTAAATGTTCTTTTCCCTAACAAATTTTATGAGGAACATAAACAAGATGTGGATTTTTAATTTTTTCAATTGCTTTCTTTAATTTAGCATATCTATCACTAAATGGTTCTTATAAAAAAGGAGCATCAAAAACCATAAATTTAATATTTTTCCATGCATTTGGATCTGGAGTTCTTTTTCTAACTGATGTTAATACTTTATTAAATGTTCCTCTACTAATCCATAATTCTCCATCTAAATAGGTTGTAGGCCAACCTTCTATAAAATAAGATGGAAATTTTAGTGAATATCCATTTCTAGTAAACATTTCCATTCCAGTCCAAATCATTCTCATTCCATCTAATTTTTCACTCAGATAATATCCTTTAGGATCTATAGATACATTCCAATTAGAAGCTAATAAACATGATATTCTTTAACTTTTTGAAAAAGTAGGTCCAAGTCCTAAATTTTCTCCAAGATTTGGTCTCATTTTATATTTTGGCCATACAGATATTAATCTACCTTAAGTTGCATCATCTAATAATTCTGAACAAGATTTATCTGGTAAACCTAAACCTGGTTATCTTAACTTTTATTTTTTTTCAATTTTTTATACAATTTATTCTTTTTTACTAAGTTATTTATCATCAATTTCACCTTTTTATTATTGAAATTGTTTATATTTCAAATCTAATTCATATTTATATTCAGCTTCAGGAAAATTAATTTATTCATATGCTTTAACTATTTCTTATGGTTTAATTTCATGATATCCTTATCTAAGTTTGAGTTTAATCATTTCACTAATTTCTTAGATACCATTTTCAATAGAACTAAATTTTTTTAGTTCTATTTGTAGATTTTCTGCTTTTTCCCAATTTGTATTAAGAATTCCAGAACGAATTTGCAAAGTAATTGGATTGGTGGTTAAAAGTTTACTATGCCAGAATAGTTGATTTTATTTAACTAGATATATTTCAGAATTCATGATAAATAATGATGTAGATATACAATAAAAAGATTTATAGCAAAAAAATCATTTTAATGTTTAAGTGAATTATCTTGGATTTCGAAATAATTTCTTCCTTTAAACATACTTTTCATTAATAAAATCTTTCTAGTTAAAATAAGGATTTCTTGGAAGGGTTAATTGTTCTAAATCTGGTTTTAATTTAGTTTCTTCATAAATTGATTTTAGATATTGAATCATGAATGATTACTTATGTAATTTTTAATAAGATTTATAATTATACATCCAAGCAATATTTGTAGGTTATGCAAGTTTACGTTTATGATTAATTATTTGAGACATTTTGAGATCAGAAGTTGTTTTGAGACGATCATGATTTTCATTGATGAGATCATCAAGTTTAGATTTTGAGTATGTATTATTATATTTTTTACTTTTATGATCTTCTGAAGTTTCAGATTACCAAATACTAACTTTGGTAGGAATTGAGAGAGTATGGAACTTAGTTCTCATTAATATGAAATAGATATTATAAATTAATTATTTTCTAATTCAATTTAGATCCAAATATTTATTGATATAAGAATCACTATAATTGATATCATCTTGTTCATAATCATCCATAATATTTCTAATATATGATTTATGTTAAAAAACTTTGATTCCTGAACTAAGATGTTGTTCTATATGTTGTTAATATTATTAAGTATATTTAATTTAACTATTTTCTGGTAAAACTTCGTTGTAATTATCTTATTATTGTTATTTACATTCGACTGAAATATATATACAATTTATTATACCATATTTAATAGTAAGTAATTCACATGGAATAAGTTTTAATTCATGATGTAATTTAGGATTGACTTTATTTATTTCATGCATTAGATTCAATCTTCTTATTTTTTGAATGTTTTAATATATTTTTTACTCTTACTCTTATCGAAGTTTATGAATAGATTTTACAATAGGAATTTTTTAAGTGATAGAGTCTAAACTTTACTTGAATGATTTTTTATGACAATAATTTAAGTGTTGTAAATTTGGACAATTTAGTTTGATTTCATGAAGACCTTATAAAAATGTTCCTCCAGGGATCATAATAATTTTAATTAATATTCGTTAAAAAAATCATTAATTTCCTTATTTCTAATCTTCTTCTATCTTTTCCAATTATTAATTGATGTTATCTAACAATTCTTATAATCTTTCTTAATCATCTTAGATTTATTTAAGTTCATTCATCATTTATCCTTATTCTTGACCTTCCTAATCATCATTCATACATAATGCTCTATAAATAAATACAATTAATACTTAAAAGTTGGAAACCATGATGTATCTTCATTTTTAATTTTATCCATTACATAACTTTCAATACCACTATATTCAGTAGAATCTTTATCTTTAAGATAGGCAATATAAAATAAGTAATTCCACATATAATGTTCTTACTTAATATGATAAGTAAAACCTAATTGATTTTTACTTGATTTTTCAATAGTTTCTTTATCAAATCCACAAATGAAACAAATATTCTAAAGATCTAATTAATAATCATTTAATTCTTCTCTTAATGTACCAAATGTATCAATAATAATACCAGATACAATATTAATCATAATGATCATCAATAAAATAAAGTAAACATTATCAAAAAAGAATCTAAGAAAGAAATAGCCATCATCATTAGGTTTAACATCAGTTGATGGAGTCAAAAATCCACCTAATCCACCATCTGATTTAAATGATCTATCCACTGCCGTTAATAAACATTAAAATGTACTATAACAAAAGTTTGGAGGATAACTTTCATAAAGCCAATAATATGCCACCAAAGAAAATACATACATAAGCACTATAAATAAAAACAATGTGAATAGAATAGATTTTCGAGGTTCCCATACAGCTTTAACCACATTCAATAACACTGGATATCTTACTAAAACATCAAACAAATGAAAAGCAAAAAAGAATGGATGATATAAAGTTCCCAAAAATGCTGTGAATCCATAACTAAGATAATATAGTACATAGAAATCAGTTACCAAATAAACAACCGTCATCAACAATCGTCTAATGTACATGATAATATTAAAGTTGTCATTCTCCCATCCCATCCATGCTTTTTTTATAATTAAAGGAGCTGTTTATGCTAAGAAGAATAACACAATTAACATTGATAAAACTATTACAATTATTCCTAATGTTTAAATTATTCCTTATAACTACAAATCTTTTTTCTATAAATCTTCTTCATAAATATAATCATCCAAACATGCTTAATATTCATCAGAATCTGATGTTGGATCACATTACTTTACTTCTTTATGGAAAACAAATAAAATCATAATATTTATAGTTAATGCTAAAATAAAAGTAATGTCTCTGTAAAGTTGAATCTTGGAAACGATTAAAGCTAAAACTTTAATTTTATTCAAATAAGACTATATTTGATAAGTTAATTTCATTTTTTTAATTAAATCAGGAGATTCTTGTAATAAAGAGGTTACTTTAGCTTTAACTGATATTCTTTTTGCCTCTTAATTGAATTAAGTTTTTGTAGGTTTATCAAGACTTTTACAATAAGGTAGAAGATAAAAGTAAGTTTTTTCAAGCATTTTATCTTCTCTTAATACTTCAATATGGGCAGAATTTGTAGAAAAGAACTTAATACTTTCTTTAAATAATTTAGTTCTACTTTCTTTAATTTATTCCTTTAATTATTCATAATCAATTTCATTATTATCCCTTCTTACTGCCTAATTTAATTTTTAAGCAAAACTAAGAAAGAAATCTTTTACACCTTTTACTATATTAATAGCTAGAAATACAACTTCTCCTACAATATTAGCTTTAAATTATTCCATAATATCATCTCCTTTTTCACCCTCTTTTTGACCACCTCCATCTGAAGGATCTTTGACTTCCAGAAAAGTTGAATAAAGAACAAAAAGATTGAATCCTGTTTCAATTATAAAACTAGCCATATCTGTATTCTTTTTGCCTTCTTCAGTTTCTTAACTTTCAAATTTTGGTTCAATAGAAAAATGAGAGAATATTTCAGCAGTATAATGATCTTAATATAGACTCTTATACATATCATAAATATCTATTATATTAACTTTTAACATCTCTAAATTAAATGATTTTGCTAATCTAATAATCACATCATTTGATTTTCTTCCTTCTAATAAAGATAACAAAGTAATAGAACATTTATATTTCAATCTTGCATACATCCATCTTGGAAATACTTCATTCTTCTTTCTTACAGTATTAGGATCTACTTATTATTCATCTGAAGTTTTCTTTTTCTTTCTTAATTCTATTTCTTCTAATCTTTCATCAAATCCTAACAAATTAGTAGCCATATCTAAAAAATTAGCTTAAAATAAGGCTTATTAATTTTCAAAACAAGGACCTTATACATATTCTGTTATAGTATCAAAACATTATATCATACAATAAAAATATTTAGTTTTCTTTACATTTAAATATTCACCCAATAATTCAACAACATCAGTAAATAAATCATAAGTATGATAATTCATTTATTAAAACCTCATATAATTTTATAATTCTGTATAATGACCTTCTACAAGTAATTATAAGAACCTTAAAGTATTTTATGTTTCTTCAGGTTCATCTTAAAAATTATATCTAACATCATCTTCATCTTCATCCTCTTTTTTTAATTCTGCTTTTTAATCTTCAAATCTTTCATGCAATCTCAAAAAAAATACTTCTGAAGAAGTAAAATTAACAAAAAAATTATAAACTGATTTTTAAACCTCTCTATTTCCACCTTCCATCATTTCTATTCCAAAACTTAATAAGCTATTATATAATAAATTATATCTATTAAGATCTTTATAATCTGATAAAATAACTAATATTGTTGCCATAGCATTATTACTATTTAGAAAATTCTATCTATCTTCTCTTACTTATTATCTCATTTCTGCTTATTTCTCTTCATCTTATTCAGTAGTCTCTGTATCTTCTGAAATTATTATATAATTGCTCAATGCTCTTAACACTTATTTAATTGTTTATTCACAACCAGGTTAATTGTGTCCTTTACTTAAAAAAGTAATTAATTTCTTAAATATTTCTGTTTTATTTATATGATCTTATATTAAAGGATCTTTAGAATAAATACTTTCAACTTTCTCTAAAGCCTCAGAAAATATTTTTTATTCTTTTTTTATTTCTTCTAACAATTAATTTGAATTTAAAAATGTTTACATAAATATTTACCATAATTATTTCCATGCTTCATCATGTCTAAAATCTGCTGGTTTATTCTTTTATTTATTAAATTCAATATTAATTAAATTTAATCCTAAATTAAATGTTTTTTATTTCTTTTTATTTTTTCTCTTCTCTTCTTACAATTATTCTTCTAATTTTTATGCTTATTATTTCTCTTCTTCATCTTTCTTTTATTTTTATAATAATTCTTCTTCTACAATATTATCACATAAGAAATACAATCTAAAATCCATTTATTATTAACTTAATTTTAAAGAATTTAATTCTTCATGATTTTCAACTAAATCTCTCAATTTTTTAACTGAACCAAATAAATTTTCTATTTCTTAATGTACTTATGCTTAATTTTAATGAACAAGATTTTAATCATTTTATTCTTTTTAATATAATCTCAAAAATCCATTAATAACCATAAAAAAATATGTGTAAAAATATTCTTAATATTATCCACTTAAAGGTAATTTCGAGAATTTTTCAATTCTTATTTTTTCTGCATTAACATAATCTTATATATCACTAATACATTTAAAGATTTCTTCAGCTATTTTTTCACTTTCTAAATAAGTATAATAAATATATTTTAATAATGGAACCTTTAATTAAATAACTTAATATTTATCATATCTTGGATTAACTACATGAATATCATCATCAGTCATTCCATCTGGAGCACATAAAATTTCAAGTGCATATTTTAATGATATAATAGTTCTTAAACGAGATTCATTTTATAACATTCCTTCTTTTCCTATTGCACAAGTATATAACACTTCAATCAATGTACAATGATACGAATAAGGTTCATCTCTATAATTTGGATTATCATTTTTAGAAGGTGTAAAATCAAACTCATGTTTTATTGATGCTTAAGCTTAATTCTTTTCACTTGCTTATGCTTATCTATCTTTCAACCAAAATATACTACTCTTATAAGCTGGATCAAGAAGCATATTAAGAACTCCTTTTTAATTTGATAGAATAAATTCCTTCTTTACTTTTTATATTAAAATAAAGAATTCTAAAAATCTTGATTATCTTCCATTTGTTTTTATTAACTTACGAATGTTATCAATAACTGTACCAGGTTTCTCTATACATATTCTCTTATTATCTCTAAATATCTCATTTATTAAATCTAATTATCCTAAATTTAATTCCATTTTCATCTATAATTTATTTAAATGATCACTCAATAATAATTAATTTGCTGAATTATTTAATGCAAAATTCTTTAACAATTAAAATATATTGCCAAATAATTCATAAATTAAATCTCTTGTTCTCCCCTCAAATTATTTTTCTGTCACTCCTATACAATCAGTTATTAATTATACACACATCTCATGTACTTTTAAATTTCTCATTATTGATTATCTAAATTCATCAATTAATATTCTTTAAGTTACCTTTACACCATCATCTTCCAATATAGAATCTTTATACAATAAACTATTAATAAATTCAAAATATTTTATTGTTTAAGTTAAAATAACTTCATTATCTGGATATGAAGGATCTTTAATCCAAGTTTCAGATTCATCTATATTTTTAGCTAATTATCTCATTTTCTTTTTTAAATCACTAAATATCTTAATATTTTAACTATCAAAAAGTAATAATATTTTGGATACTAAATCAGCAAATTCTTCTCTTTAATTATAAAATCTTGTCAAAATATTTAATATCTTTGTTTGCATATCTAAAGATTAACTCATACAAAATAAATTTATCAAAGTTGGAAATATTTCAAATCCTAAAATAGTATAAATATCTATTGCATCAATTTCTTTTGATTATTCCAATACTTCTAAACCGCCTCCTAATTAATTTAAATCTAAACCAAATCCTAAATTAAAATTTTCACTCTTTGGTTATCCTCTTTTATCTGCATCTGTACCTGTCTTTAGAATTGAAGGTATTAATGCTTTAATTTATTTTTTTATCGCATCTTAAAATTCATCTTCTATTACTTTACGATCTGCTTCTACTGTTAAATTTAATTTTCCTTCATCTAATCTTGACATTATTTTAAGTTTAGTCACATAATCTTTAAATTTTTATTTGAATTAATTTAAACAATAATCCATCTTTTAATCAAGATATTGATTCAATATATCACAGATTTCCAATTTTATTTATTGATCAGCTTCTGAAGATTCTTATAAAAATTTTATTAATATTTTTTTTAGAACATCTGCTTATTTTAAAAAAGATTCATTCATATTCAAAGGTCCACTTTCAAATTAAATATTTTTTTATTTTTTTTTTTTATCCTTACCTGCATCCTTATCTTCTATTAAAGAAAAAACATTAATTAAACCACCAATTTTACCAAAAATATTTAAAGCATTTGTAAACAATTATTATCCTCCTTAATTTGCACCTTTTTTACTATCTTCATCTCTTTTTAATTATAAGATCTTTCTTGATTCTGGATATTTTGGATCAAATTCCAAAATAGCAAATAATTATTTAATAATACTAAAGAAATTCTCATTTAACTTAGTTGTTTCTTCTGGTGAATTACCTAATTAAATTCTATACTTTCCAAATGTTATCAGTAGTTTTAAAGTTCTAATCATTTCTAATGTTAATTTATTATAAATTTTTGGACAATCTGTTGATATTTATTTCAAAATTTCTCTCTATTTGGCTTCTCCAACTTTTATATCCCATAAAGATGACATTTTATCAACAGTTTCACCACATTCTTTTATGACAAATTTATATAATTTTTCTTTAATCGAAGCTACTAATCCTTCATCTCTTCCATTTTATCCTCCTTCTTCATCTTCAAAAGTGACTAGTAAATTATCATTTTCAGTAATAACTACTTTACATAATTCTGGAAATACGATTTCTCTTCTAGGCTCTTGATCCAAATAAACTTTATTCATTAATTTACATATGATGGCTCTCATATCAGGACTTATTAAATTTTCTTCATTTTATTCTTTATTTTCTTCTCTTTCATTCCATAAATGAGCAATCAGAACATCATCTCTAAGAAATTATTCAACAAATTTTTTCCAAGTATTATTTCTTGTGTTACACATCGAAATATAGAATTGCAACTATTCAGTTACTAAAGATAATATTAATTTTGGTTTTAGTTCTTATGAAGGTGTTTTAACTGTTTATTTTTTCAAGAAATTATTCAATTATTTTGATTTACCTATTTCATCTCCATCAGCTTCTTAAAAATGTTATTTTTTCTTTTAAGTTTTAGTAAAGAATTCTACAAAGTTCTTTTCTTCTCCTTTTACAAATAGTTTAATTTTCATATTTTATTCTTCAAACTTTATAAGAACTTCTTCTTTAAATACTCTATCTCTATCATACGCATCAATTAAATATTTGTAAATACCTTCTTAATTAACATTTAAACCTTTGCCTTTGTGAGTAGAGGCAAATTGCAAAAATGATATGATATCTCTCTTTTTTTCAGCAGATGTAGATTTCTCTTTTAATAAATTAGTATAAAACTATAATAGATCCCATCTTTATTTTAATTAAAAATGAGATTCATTAAGGATCTTTTTAATTATTTGATCATATAATCTACGATAATCTTCTATAGTTAACTATTATAAGAAAGCATTCGAATGATTGGCCATGACAATTTCTTATTCTTATTAAAAAGATTGGCGTAAATTTTGATTCATGCTCATTTGATTATCATCATCTTCATTAACCTATTAATGCAATCTTAAAAGTAAATCTTCATGATCTCTAATGATTTATACTATGCATTTTAAAGCATCATCAATATAAACACTTTGTTAAGCAAATATAGGAATATATCTGGAAGCTTATTCTTGATTAATAATGTTCTATTGGCATATACAATCAAGTAATTAATAAATTAAGGAACATATTTTTTTTTTACTATTGTAATATTCTTTTTTAATTTATGAGTCTCTATTCTTACTGGATTCATCAACTACTCTTCTTCTTATTTTATCCATAGATTCTGATTGTTCAATTGATTTTAAAGTATCCAATGTTGATACATCAGGAAATGATACACAAAGAATTTTAACTAATAATTCTATAAACTATTATTCTCTAAGTACATTTTATATAAAATGGTTAATTTATCCAAATTCCTAATCGATGTATAAATAAGCAATCAATTTATTATGACAAAATAGTTATAATTCAGATAAACATTTACTTAATCTTTACATATGTGCTACAAATCCCTTATAAGATTTCTAAAATTTTTCATCTTTAATATCTGCAGAAAGAAATGAAACATCCATATATTATTATGCTCCTTTTATAGTTTTCAAACAAGAAAGTAAAAAGTTTGTCATTCTTACATCATTAAAATTAGCTTTTGCAATTTTGAATACATATTCTTCTTTTTTGACCTTATTAAATGCTGGAATACTTTTTTTCTTTTCTTTAACTTCTTTATTTTCTTCATCATTTTCAATAGATTCAGTACGTAACCAAACTTAATCTTAACCTACATAAGTTGATGCTCTAAAATAACTATCTTTTTATAAATAGATTTAAGCCTTTTCTCTATTGTATGTAGTTAAAGTTGAGAAAATCAATTCAAAATGAAATAGAGATGCTTTTTAATAATCTGATACACTAGTTAACAAGAATCGAGATTTTTCATCTCCTTCTTTTTTTTCTTCTATAACTTTAAGATATTTTTTAGTAGTTAAATGTCTAAGTCTATATGATGAAGATATCATTGGAGTATCCCATTTAACTAATCCTCCTTAATACATGGATTCACTTTCTATAGTAAATAAACCATTTGAATTGCCAACAAATTTAGTATAATTAGCTGATTAAGTACATTATTCAAAATAGATATGAAGTTCAGATTTTTGATTTTATACTTATTATTTAATTTGATCCCTAATAGCAATAAGATTGAGCTATTAATAATAGAAAATATTTTATTACATCTTATTCTGAATAATTGATCCAAACAGTATCTTAAATACTTAAAAATCCTTCTCTTTCATCCAAATATTCTGCAAATATATTAACTTTCCAAGGTGTCTTCTTTTCTGTTGAAATATTTACTTCCCTTTTCTCTTTCTAAGTAGATGATTTTGTATCAACTAATAAAATAATATTTAATTGTTTACAAATCTTTGGTCTTGAAGCATGTAAATAAGGTTCACCACCTATTTTCTTTGTTTAATCAACTGTTGATACTATATGAACTATATCTTCGTGATAAATATTTCCTGATCCTTCTTATTAAAATGTATAACATGGAGTAATCCTATAACATGTTTCATCTGAATGTTCATCTATTAGACTCAATTTTAGATTGTTGCTTTCTATTTCTGAAACATGATTTGAATCATAGTACAAATATTTATTTGAGTTTATGTGTAATAATTATATTGTTTAACCAAAAACAACTGGAGAACCTTTAAATTTTTCATATTACTCATGATTCAAAGTTGTCTCATCTTCCATCGCCTTTATATTTTTTGGAATCTCCAATTATGCATCTAAATTATTTCATATTAATCATTACTTCTCATTTCAATTATTGAAAATTTCTTTATCTTTCCTTTCTCTTCTTTCACCTTCAAAGCTTTCTAATACTCGTTATTGTAGAATGTAGGATAGATTTTAAATAAACATGAAGAAATAGATGAGTATTTTAATACATCCTCTTTCTTTTTCAAAAGGATCTTGTTTTTTGTATATCCATCAGCTGTTACTAGATATCTAATAATATAACTTATAGTTCTACTCTTATCCATTATCATCTTTGAATGTTAAATAAACTAAACATCCATAATGAAGCAGTTGTTTGTTTTAACCTTGACCTGCTCTGTCCATTATAATTTTTATTAATAATAATAATTACTATTTCAAAAATACATATTTACAAAACTAAATTCAAATATATACTATTCTAAATACATTTTCAACTTCTTTATCCTTATCAAACAGCTCGATATATTAATCCTTAAATAAGTTTTTATTATTATTCCAATTTTACTAAATTCTGTTGCCACTTCTTTTTATTATATATTATACTTTAAATCTTTACTTTAATTATTATACTTCATTTTGCGAAGCTTAATTATTGACAAAATAATTTACATTTTATAATTGAACTTCCTCTTTTTATAAGTTATTTAATTATATTTTTTTAGATCCAAGTTTAACCCATTCATCATCTTATTATCAATTTCTAACTAAACTACTTATTTTTATCCTTCTTTGTTTCGACTATTTTATTATGTTTTTGAGTAATTTGCATTTTTCATTTTCGGTTATATTTTTCATCTTACTCCAAATGATTTTTTAGTTTGCTTTCTTATTTTCTAATAAGATATAGCTTTCTAAATTTAGAATGTGATTAAATATTCTTCTTATAGTATTCAAACTCTATTGATTTATTTATTCAAATATTTTTCTTTGATTGTTTGTTTTACTCAAATTTACTTTAATATTGAATTTTAAATTATGAAGAAATTAATAACATATGAAATATTTTTTAGATTCTAATTGTAAAAATAATTTTATTACGATTATGAAGAGTAGATTTTTTGAAAAAAGAACAAATAATTTAATAAAAAATAATAAGAGAGATCATATTTCATTTATTTAATATGACTTGTTTATTTAAAATATACTAAATTTATACAAAATACACAAATTTTCAATCTTTCTTTTTTTCTTTTCTGTTCTTTTCTTGATGAGGTGGTTTTAATGATTTTTTAGGTTCTGCTAATTATAATTTGATCCACCAAAGGAAAGATAATAAGGCAACAATGAACCAAGGTAACCAAATATAGATTGGAGTATTTTCATTTTATAGATTTCCACAATCAGGTAAGAATTTAATGGATATCAAAGTTTCAATAACAATTGTAAAATAGGTTAGATATCTTAATTAATATGATTGTTATGAATCAGTTATTGAATTATGAAGTTCTCTAAAAGCTGAATGACCTAACATAAACCAAATTAAAAGTCTATATACAACCATCCAACATTTAGGAGGTACCCATAATTGATTCATTAGGAAGAAATTGTTTAAAAAGTTACCTATGATTACGATTATAACAATAAGAACAGCTTCAAATTTCTTTGGATTTGTAAACGTGTCTTTAGCAAACCAACTATATTATTGGAATTTGAATTTTTTGATAATAAACATACCAACAATAATGGCAACAGTATTACTTAATAAAACATCTAATAACACATGATCCCACCAACATTCTCTAAAATGTGGAAGTTTATGTTACCAAGATAATTCAATAATTTCATCTAAGACAGACCAAAAATTGAGAAACCAAAAATCTCTAACAAGAAATGTAGCCAATAGCCAATTGATTACATGACCCCAATAATAGTGATCTAGATTATCTACTATGTTAATCCATTCAAATTCACAATTGTCATCATAAGTGTGCATGTCTTTCGTCACAGGCTTACCTAATCTATGATCACCTAAACTCATAAGCTAAAGTTATTTGAGTGATGTACATATCTACCATCCTTCTCATTTTGAAATCCTAAAAAAACCAATATTGCTATGAAAGTAACTGATAACCATAATTATATTCTAAATATGGCTCCATATTTCTCACCAAAAGGATCACTTGGTTTCAATGAACCTATCATAGCAATAAATAGCATGGCTGCCAATACACCTCTTTTTGAATTTACTTCCAATCCTTCATCATTGTTATATGCTAAGTATATAATAATTGTTGTAAATGTCCAAAACATAAGTTTATGAAAACTCATTCAAATTAATTTAATTAATTATTCATGTCATTTGATCATCTTAATGATACTAATATCACTAATCAATCAGAAAAAGAACATGTAAATGAATTTTATGACTATCAAATACGTAATATGTATGATAAAGAAAAATACATTAATCCACATGACATTGCTGGATAACCAGGCTTAGTCACAAGTTAAGCCGTTGAATTAGAAAAAAAGAAAGTCTAATTTAGAATGGCAAATGAAATCTATTTAAGAAAACATCCAGAATTATCTGTTATGCTAAGCATTTTCTTATTTAGAGTATTAGAAGAAAAACCAGATGATGTCTTAATGTATGCAGGAAAATTCTTTGATTAGTATTCTTTTTTTCTATTTTTTTTAGGGAACATTTAGAAGAAGTAATATTGATTTAAAAAAAACACTATTTAGAAAATGGAAATGCAACTGCTTGAATCTATAAATATTAAAAATTAATATATTTTAAATTATATTGTTTATTTCTAATATTTTTTAACTGTTATAATTATTACAATCCTTTTTTTTTGTTGCTTTATTTTTTTGTTCTCATTTTAAATTATTTATTATTTATTATGCATCAATAATTGCCGCCAGAATAACTTGAGAGACTTATATGTTTAGAAGCTAGAATACATAAAAAATCTAAGGAAGAAATACTTTAGGAATAATATCTTTAAACAGAAAAAAACAAATAAAATGATGAAAATGATAATCATTAACCTAATACTGATCCTATCAAATAGTCTGAAGATCAAAAATGCTCTTTTTAAAGTGAAAATTCCCCTGATAACTTTGTTATTTCTTAAGTAATGAGCCCAGTTCATAAGAAAACTAATTATGTGACAAAAAATTCTTAGTAGAAAAAAAAGAAAAAACAGAAGGAAACTTAATAAAAAGATGTGAATTTATTTAAAATTATTAGATTACTCAATATTTGCAAGCATAAAAGAAATAATAGAAAGTTATAAAAGGAGAATAAAAACTTATTGAATATTCAATATAAGATTCTCCATTTAAGAATAAGGTTTGTCCTCCAAATGATCCAGCAATTGAATACTAATTAAAAGAAAAGCAAAACAAAATTGTTATTTAAGAGATACGAATCAAGGAACTTGAGACATTGAATATAGAATTAAAGGAGACAATATCTGTATTTATTAAAGACTTAAATGAAGACTCTCACTAATTAATAAGTTAAAATGCAAGAAATAGTGAAATAATTAGCCATCGATAATGAAAAACTAAAAAAATAATAGTTACAAATTTAAATTAAAAATAATCGTTTTAGGTTAGGAGAGTTTAATCTTTAAAGGGAAAAAATAAATATTATTGATGTGTGGGTAGATGGATAAGAAATAAAAGATACGAGAGAATAAGCCAAAAATCTTGAAAACTCAAGATTAGAATTAGAAAATAAAAAGAAAAATCCAAAAAATAAAGAAGATGCTGATATAAGAGCTATTAATGTCAAATTAAATTTTCTAGCAAAAGAAGAATTATTAATATAAGAAAAACTTGAAAAATTAGAAACAGAGAAAATTTTACATATAAAATAATTAAAAAGATTGTATGAGGAAGAACATGCAAGATTTACTAAAAATAATGATTATCCAATAATTGGATCAAGATATTAAATTTTGTCTCTTTTAGGTAAGGGAGGATTTAGTGAGGTTTATAAAGTAATTAGTCTGAATTAATTAGGCATTCGATTTACAAGATTTTAAAGAAGTTGCATGTAAAATTCATTAACTAAACTCGAATTGGTCTGACAATGCCAAACAAAATTACATTAGACATGCAATTCGAGAAAATGGAGTTCATAAGGAGCTTAATCATTAAAATATTGTAAAGCTCTATGATTCTGTTGAAATAGATAAAACATCTTTTTGTACTGTTTTAGAATTATGTGATGGTCCAGATTTATCTTATTACATAAAAAAATATAAATCTTTTCCAGAAAAGGAGGCTAAACTATTAATATCTTCTATTATATCTGCAATTAAATATCTGAATAATCATAAAAACAAAATTATTCATTATGATTTGAAACCTCAAAATATTTTATTTCATTAAAATGATTTAAAAATTTCAGATTTTGGATTATGTAAAGTTTTGGAAGATGATAATTCTAAATTACAATTAACTTCTTAAGGAGTAGGAACATATTGGTATTTGCCTCCTGAATGCTTTCATATGGGTGATTAACCACCTAATATTTCAAGCAAAGTGGATATTTGGAGTATAGGAGTCATTTTCTTTGAAATGCTTTTTGGATAAAAACCTTTTGGATAGGGATTGAGTTAAGAAAAAATATTAAAAGAATAGGTAATAATAGTATTATGATTATATTAGATTATAATAAAATCTCAAACAGTAACTTTTCCATAAAAACCAGTTATTTCAAATGAATGCAAAGAGTTTATCAGAGGGTGTTTAGCTTATAATTAAGTAGATCGATTAGATGTTTAATAAGCTTCTAATCATCCTTACTTTCTTAAAAAATTGAATTGATAAAATTAATAAAGTTAATTTAACTCTTTTTTATTTGAATATTATAGAAAGTGTAAAAATCAATTTTTTAGATGCTTACATAATTATTATTAATTTAATAATAATTCTTATTCAGATAATTATTATCATAAGAACCATTTTGATATGAAAACAAAGAAAGTATGTGTATTTCATGATTAGATTGAATTAAACTTTATTTAATAACAATACTTATATAATTTTCTTTTATAGTAGAGATAATTGTTATTATGAATTTGCAATTAATTAATTATCCAGTCGAAGGAACTGTAGAACAAGAGTAGTCAAAATCGCCTAAGAGAAGAGGAATTTTTATAAAGCATTTTCGCTAACCTATGAAGATATAAACTAATAATTTTATATATCCTCTTCGATCTCCTAAAATAAAATCTAGTAAAAGTAGTACAAGATAAAATGAAATCACTTGGTTTAGTGATAATAATTAAATAAAAGAGCATAATTAGACATTTTATTAAACTAATAGCTTTAAACCTTTTTTTAAGTTAAGTAGTGAATAAAAGAATAGATTTGCAATAATAAAAAAGGTATTCAAAAAAGAAGATGAAAAGGATTGTATATTTTTAGAGAGAAAGTTGAGTTTATTGAAATTTAATTTTAAAGAAAAAGAGAAAGAAAAAGAAGAAAGTTAAAAAATTTCGATTGATTAATCTTCAATAAAGATTCCATAAACAGCATAATCAACACGAAAGAGACAATATTTAATAAATAATAAGCCTCAATTATTTTAGAATAAAATTAACAGAAGATTTAATAGTGATACTGATTTATAAGATCAAAAACCAAATAGAAAACAAATAATATCATACTCGATAAGGCCTAATACTCATAATTATGATCGTGATCATTAAGAATTTGCTCAAAGCATCTTAAATCAATATTTGAGAAAAAGTTTGTAAGATTAATGATAGTGTAAAATTCTTTAACTAAATATTTTTTCAATCAGCTTTAGTCTCATACTTGGTTGCATTTGGATCAAAATAATATTTGATATGAGCATGTGGTGATGTACCATTTGCATTTTCTAGAAATATATGTAAATTCCCTTCAGTATCAAGTAGTACTTCACTTTCAACAATTCCACCTAAACAATTAGATAATTATTAATACCTTTTTCTAAAGGTTCACACTCTATAATTTCTTTTTTTTCCCAATCTACTTTTAATACTTTTTAACTTTCTTTAGCATACATAGTTAAACCACCAATTAATAAAGCTAAATTCTTTTTAACTCTTACAGCCATAAATCTTCTTAATGGTAAAGGTAGTTTTAAATTACATTTTTCCCATCTATTTTCATTTATTAAATATCTCTCTATAGTATCTAAAGTTCCTTCTTCTTTATTATAACCACCAAATAATATTATTTCATTATCATTAATTCTACAAGATGCAGCTTAACTTTTTGGTTATTTTAATTCTGCTAATTAAACCCATTTCTCAGAAATAAGATCATAATAAAGAACTGATGATAATTAAATTTTATGTTATTCATCATATCCTCCAATACAATAAATTTTTTGATTATAATAAAGACAAGAACAGAAAAATCTATTCATAGGAATTTAATGTTTCATTAAATCTAATCTATCATTTTAATAAACTCTAAAATTGGATTCTTAAAATCCTCCAATTAAATAAAAAGCTTTTTTATCAGGAACAAAAAGAGTTGTAAATTATCTATCTAATTCTACATCTAATTTAGCAATTTATCTCCATTTTTATTTTGATATTGAGAATTTACTTATAGTTTTGCCACCAAATTCAAACCATAAACAAGAATCATTCAAAATTAAAGTAGAATCTTTATAAAAAGCAGATTATGATATAACTGGTTACTTGATGATTTATACTTATTAAGATTATGTCTGTTATTAAGATATTTATTGCTATTTCTAAGATGATGGTTATTCTCTTAATGGTTATTTTGTCTTTTAAGATTGTTCAATTACTTATGATGATCCTGCATTTTTCATATGTTAAGTAATAACATTTTTAAATTAAACTTCAGCTTCTTATTATGTTCTATAAGGAGGACCTCTCTTTAACATTGTATTATAATGCTAATTGTATAATAATATATATTCATTTGTTGCAACATTGTCAGACATCTTACCTGAATGATATTTCTCTTCATGTTCTATAAATAATTGTTCTATTTCAACATATGAAGGTCTCTATGCCTCTTCAAAAATTAACATTAACTTTATTATTGACACATAAGCAGAACTATACTTTTATTCTAATTAAGCTAAACTCTATATAATTAATTATTCTCCTTCATTTGATTATGTATTATTAAATCCTGTTACTTCTTACATTGCACTCATTTAATACATGACTAAACCAGTTGAAAACACATCTGATTTGTATATATTATGTTCAACGTATCTACTATTTCCATCAATAACATGAGCCTTCCATAATATTGGTGATAAATATTAAGGTGTACCTCTAATTGTTGCCATTGTATAAGTATTTTTAGCTTCATTATCTAAATCAAAAAAATAATCCTTGCTTTCACCAAAATCTATTAATTTTAATTCACCATTTGTTATCATAAATAAGTTAGCTGGCTTTATATCTCTATGACATATTCCTTTTTATTGTAAATAAGAACATGTTGATATTATGCTAAACAACATAGTTAACAATTCATTTTCTTTCCAAAACTAATTTGGTTTCTTTCTTTTTCTGTAAAGGTTTTCCAAATTAGTGTTGTGATCCATATATCTATTTTAATAAATAATATTAATACTCTGTTATTATTCCTAATCTAAAAGTATTGTAAAGAGTTTCTGCAAAGTAGTATCCATAAAATCGAATTACATTTCCACAATTTTAAACTTTGCTTAATTAAACTGCTTCTTCTTTGTATTCATTCAATTTCTCTAAATTAGTTGCTTCAATCTCTTTTAATGCATATATCTTATTTGTTTATATGTGCTACACCCGATATATTTTGGTATGTTTCTTACCTGAACCTAATAATTCTAATTTTTTGAAATCCTACTTCCTGAACATTGACTGTTTATTATATTAATAATTATTATAAATAAATTTCTAAAAGAAATTGTTACACTTCATTTAACTCTTAACTTTCCTTTTTTACAAATTTGAACATAATTATAAACAAAATATTAATCATCTTTCATATCATGAGAGCTAATTCATAAATAAAATAGAATTTATTCATTTTTTTTCTTACTTAACCAACCATTTAATTTAATCTATGTATAATATTTTGACGTACTATAATATTAAACTAAGACATTATGATATTAAATATAATATTTTTAGATCAAATCATTTCATAACAAAAAATTTTATCTTTCTAAAAAAAATTTTTTTACTATTATTTTTCATAATTTATATCAGTATCTAATAAATGTGAATTTAATAATTTTAAATTTTAATAAATGAAATCTCATGGAAATGAAATGACAAATATTGCTCAAACTAATATCAATCTGAATAGAGTATAACGAATGAAATTAAGATCAAGAAAATAACACAAACAAAGTATTATTAGAAGGTACTAAATTTAAAGTATAAATAGAAAAATGGCTGGTAATAATTCAACTTAACCATTAACAATTATTAGAACAAAATCTCTTAGAAAACACAAAAAAATATAAAAAAAGACCAATAAATCTAAAGATAATCTATTAAAGGATTTTTAATAAAAAGATAAAAAAAATATAAAATAAGTTTAAGAGACAAAATAATATAAAAATAAATAGACTATTTCATAAAGAAGTAAAAGAAAAAATGAAAAGCTTTAAGAATAGTTTGATACATAAATAATAAGTTAAATTAATTAAAAAATACAATTTCATGAAACAAAATTCATAGCATTAACACAAATTGGAATTCCAACAATAAATTTAAATTAAGATACAATAATATAATTTATTGAGTAATATAAAAATGAAATTAAATCGAATGATGAAAACGTTATATAAAAATTAATAGGAGCAGTTGGTGAAGGGTATGTAGAAAAAGGAGAAGAGATTAATATCAATGTAGAAACAAAGGAAATTATGATTCAATAAAATGTTGAACAATTGCTAGAAATTTGTGGAATTAAACTTTAATGGACATTGGAAAAATGGAAAAGGTTGATAAAAAAAACCTTTTTTGTTATTCCATATTATAATATGCCAAATGTGATAATAAATAAAAATTTAAGTGGAATAGAGAGATATCAAATTATGTTTGAAACTTTAAATCTTTTTACATTGATGAATAGATGGAACAATGAGCAAATGTTACATTAATTTTGCTAAAATTTTCCATTTTAAGCAAAAGATGAAATTGAAATAAAGGAGTTGGTGAATGAAAATGAATTATATAATATCAGAGAAATTCGAGGATATTTAAGCCAAATTATGTTTTCATTAAATAACATTTATTAATTGAAACATTAAAAAGAATTCAAAGAGGATTTATATTATACAGCTAATTAATTGTAAGATTTAACAGTAGAATATTATTTAAGTAAGATGAAAGTGATTTAGCTTAAATAAGTAAAATTATCATAAACAATTATTGAATAAATAGAAATATTAAAATATAAAGATGAAAATTTAGAGGTTCCAATTTAAGAAGAAATTTTATTGAAATGTAACGATAATTCTTAAGAAAGATTATAAAAGTTGTAATAATAATTGATATAAAAGAAAAAGATACAAATCAATTTTATTAAATCAAAGACTTTACTTGAATATTTCAAACCTATAAAGAATTTGGTTTAAAACAATAATAATAGTAATATAGATATGAATTCTTAAAATGATAGTAGAGAAAAAAATGAGGAAAATGAAAAATAGAAAAAATTATCAACAGAAAATAAATCCTAATTATAATACTTTGACATTTTAGAAGACTTTTTTTAAAATAAGATGGCTTAATAAAATAAATAATAAGTACAAAAAAAATGATTTATATTAATAATCTAACAATGTATTGTATTATTTTCCTTATATCATTATAAAAAAATAAATTCTCAATTAAAATACCATATATTATTCATGATTAAATTTCTTTTATAGCAAACAAAATGATATGAATATATTTTTATGATAATAACTTACAATTAATAAATTATTATTTGTAAAGGAATGAAAGAATTGAATATTGTTAAAAAAAAATTGTTTTTTTTTCTTAAATTTAATTAATAAATTCTACCATTTTACAGATAAATAAGAAAGGATCAATATAGATTGAAGATCTATTGAATAGTTTATCAAAATAAAAATATATATTAGACTGTTTGTAACAGTGACTCTTAAATTAGATAATTAATATAATTTATAAATATAATGATGTCTGAATAGGATGATTTATTCGATTTAGAGAATTAATACAATTGCAATTCATATGAATTTGATATAGACTTTTAAGAATCAGAATAAAAACAACTATAAAGGATAAAAGAATAGTGCAATATGAAATTATTGAAACGACAACTAGTTTGCTTGTTTGGTTTTCCAACCATCTAAGTAGATAGTTACCAAATATACACCTATCTTAATGGGATCATGGATTTAAATGAAAATGATTAGAAACGAATGATTAGAGTGTTAATAAGCTTCATTGGAGAAGTTACTTGCATAGAAGATCCTGATACTAGGTTATAAACGATAAGAAGTCGAGTTGAATAATTCTTGACAATAAAAGGAATTAAAATAGAATGGAATAATAAGGAATGGGAATAAGAGATTGAATCACTTTTTGAATCCAGATATTGTAATCCTTATTATAGTAAAATTCCTTATACTTAGTTTTAATATACTAATTTCTTTGCTTTGTTAGAAAGTCCTATGCCTATGGTTTTGAGGAGTTTAAAACATCCATGCTTTTGTTAAGTTTATGAAGCAAAATCTACAGATGATTTTAAATAATTATGTAACATCACTGATTTTAAAAACGTAAGAAGGATAAGAAAATACATTTAATCAATAATAGATAAATTAGAAGAATTCAGAAATTTACTTAATGTAATTGAATCTCGTGATTATAATCATTATAATGATGCGATTAATAGTTTTAATCAACTCTCTGGAGAACTTGATAAAATTATAAATATCGATTTATAGTTAAGTGATAAATATACCTTGAAATAAGAAGGAAAACCTAAATTCCATAATGATGCAGATAATTAAACAGAAAAAAACTCAATTACTTTAATAGAAACCAAAACTTCAGCTAACACCTTTACCACCATCAATTAAAATAGTTTAGATTGTAAAACAAAAAGATAAAAGAAAAAATAAAAACTTCTGGAAAAATGTTATTTCCCATCTACTTTTTTAAATTACATTGATTCAGAAACAAATCTTAGTTAAGAAAACAGCTAAAATTCTGAACTAAAAATTGAGGATTAACTTTCTTAATTAAATAATTTTGAAGATATTACTGAATTTTTAAAATATTTAAATATTGAATGCAAAACCATTGAAGATGTTTAAAAAAAAATTTTAATTTATGAAAAACAAATATATAATTTAGAATAAATAGGTTTTCCATGTCCTTAATTAGATTAAACTCGATTAAAATATATTTTATACAATTTTAGTGAATTCTATACAAACAAAAAAACATTCATAGAATAGATTGTTTGCAGCATTTGGGAATCGTTAGTGATAAAAAACAATGATATCAATTATATAGATTGTGTGAGAAAATAAGCTTTATAATAATTTTAATCTATTAATTTTACTGTTGATAAGGAATAATTTGAAGATATTTTAAATAATTGTTATGAAAAATAAGCATCTATGCCTTCTAATAAAAATTTAGAAATTACATATTTTTCTCTAGATTAATTATCTAAAATATTAAATCGATCATTTCCTGAATCCTTCACACTGAAAAATTGTTTGGCAAGCAAATCAGTATTTAAAGCGAAAAGTATTTTACCTTTGTAGCAGTAGTTTAATATTTAAGAGATTAAAAATATCAGATTCATTAGGATATATATCAAAGATGTATACTAAAGCCTTGAAAAATTAGTGCAGTTCAAAAACAAGTTAATAAAGATAAAGAATAACAAAAATCATGATTAATTGTATATTAGAGAATTCAATAAACTTGAATAGATTCATCAAAAAGAAGTTGTAAACAGAAAACTAAGATAAGAATATCAAAAAATAGAAAAATCAGATAAGGTTGACCAGTTTATTTTAATTGATGAAAAAGAATAATCAGATTAATTAGATCTTTATTTTGATTGTAATAATAAGAAGAATTAAGATGTGATAGAAATTGAAGATGATATTGTTTTTTTAAATGAAAAACCAGCAAAATAAGAACAAGACGAAATTAAAGATGATTTAAAATGTTAGAAGAAGAAAAGTGAGATAAATTTAAAATTAGAAGCTCCAACTGGTGTAGAATAGACAGAATAATAATATTAATAATAATAATAATTTTTATGTGAAGACATGATTTCTCCTGTTTAAAGAAATTATTTTCATGAATATCAATCACCTAATATTTTTAATTCTCCATGTTTTAATTATTGTTCACCATAAGCATAATAATAAATATTTTTTGGTCATTCTGAGTTTAATTAACAAGAGATTGAATCACCTGATCGATAAATATTATAATTTCAATCTCCTCACAACTTCAATTGATTTTAGTATTTTTATTTAATTAGTAATTATTTCATATACATAAAATAAATTAATATCAATAATTGAACACAAAAATATTCAAATTTTAAAAATCTGAGAAAAGTTTTTAATACTTTTTCGATAATTATTAATTTAATTACAACTAGTCATGCTAATTTGATTAGCTTAATGATAGTATTATTCTTGTGAACTAGTGAACCAAGATTTTTTTGCTTAATGCAATAATCTTTATTTTTCATTTTTTGACTTTATACATTAATTTTCTAGTTCTATTAAAAATTCTCTATCAATATCTGCTTCATAATTTTTTTTGAATAACTCATCTTTCTTTAAATATTCATCTCTGAAAAAATATTTCTAACCCAAAATCTAAATAATAAATAAAACTAATGTTTACCTCTGTTTCTATAGTATTTCTATATGTACTATCTTTTATCGATTAATGATAAGGTGTTTCAGAAAAAACAAAATTTAAGAATTAAGCAATAGAACTTCCAAAAAAGATGTAGATAAAAATTAGATAGCATGTAATTTATATCCAATTAGTCCCTCTTTAAATTTATCTTCTCTAACTCTAAAACTCTTATTAATCGAAATCTTATCTTCTATTATTTTATTATTGTTGACCTCTATTTCTTCTTGGACCATTTATATGATAAAACATACCAGGACCAGTTTAAACAAATTAAAATCTTCCAAAACCATTTCCAAATCCTGTACCAAATTCATTACCAAATAAATCATCAAATCCTCCATTCTATTAAAAGAAAGCTCGAAATATTTATTCTGCTGGGCTTTCTCCCCACTATTACCTATAATGTTAATAATGTTATTCTGGTTCTTCAGTTCCATATTAATCATAAGTTCTTCTCTTTTCTTGATTTGAAAGACAATCATAAGCCTAAATAGTATTATTTATTACTTGAGCAACTTTCTTAAAAGCCTCATTAGCACTAGGATTTTTATTTTTATCTGGATGATAAAGTAAAGCTAATTTACGATATGCTTTTTTTAATTCATCATCTGTAGCAGTCTTTGAAACACCTAAAATCTCATAAAAATCTTTTTTTTTAAGAAACTCTTTTATTTCTGCTTCTGTAGACATATAATTAATATATTTATAAAGTAATTCAACGTTATTGAAATGGAATTTTTGATTTTTTGGCTGAATCACTTCGTTTTAGTAAGAAGTATTTCTAATTTTATAATTACTAAATACATTAGATTAACGATTTAAACTAACAAGTTAAGTAGAAATTTATTAAGCAATTTATTTTGAAGATTCATCTCCTGGTAAAGTATTAATTTATGTTCTATATCTTAATTAAGCAGTCTTAGCGCTATTATTATTTTAATTTTTTAGACGAGCTTAACTAGCTTTACGTGAATTTGATAAAGATCTACTAAATGGAACAGCAGTTTTAAATTATTATGATGTTGTTATATTCAATAATTTAGGTTCCTCATAAACTTTAGTGCTAATATGATATTTTTATTTTAAAGTAGTAATAGGTGTATACTTTTATTTTAATTTTTCTTAAGTAAGTTTAGCTTATTAATTTACAATTTCATTCATCAATATTTCTACTTTTTATTTAATATCTAATTATGGTTAGAAAACTTTTTATTTTTTTACAAATAATGATTATTATTATTTAGGTGAGATTTTTACTTCTTCTTGTTAAGTTTCAACTTTTTTTTCAGTTTCCTATTGAGTGACAGAATGTTTATAAGGTAACAAAATTTATTTTTTAGCTATTAAGTTTTGTTGAAGTTTTGTAATGGCAGTATTTGGTTGATTATGCTTTTTAAATTAATCTTTAATTTGTTTATTTAAAATGGGCACTTTAATAATAATAACAACTTTATTTGAGAGTGTGGCTTTATTATTAAAAGCATGAGGTTTAAGCAATTTAGTGTGATATTCAACCTCTTGATCTTCAGGCTAATTGAATCATTTAAATAAAATACAATAGACTGTTTATCAACTCCATACAATTTTTAATAAACTTAATAGATTTATGAGAATATTAGACTTGTATGAGGAATAAATGTGTAAAATATTTCTAAAGCTTTTCCTAACCAGATTTCAATGTTCATTTTATTTTATTGATTATTCAGGAATCTTAATTCAGTTGATATACTATAAAAACTTAAACCAGTTAACATAATCTAAAATGTATTCTTGAATCAAGTACCAACTCTAAAATTACTTCTTCTGCTATAACCATTTCATAACTATTGATTGGAAATAATTCTTCTAAATCAACATATGTTAGCTACATTAATCCTAAAATTTGCATCGATAACATTGGATGATTATCATCAATCATTGTATATAGTTTATTTTATTGATTATAAGTTTAAGTCTAAAAGATCTACTCAGTTGTAAATAAAGATTAACTTCTATTTTAATGATTGCGAACTAACAGATTATTTTAACTACCATTATCATTTGTCTTCTCATCATAAGGCATAACACTTCTTATTGAATTTTAAATTTCCTTAAATACGATTTCTACAATCTATGGATAACTCAATGATTAAGGCTACTGTTATGGTTAACTAACTGACTGAGATTGTATATTCTTTTAAATTGGAGAATTGATCTCTGAATTGGCTCTTTATTTTTTATTAATATTGTTAAATAGATTTATTTGTTAACATAACTTAATAGAGTATTAAATTATGCTCCTTAAGACTTTCAAAGCATCTTTAGCTATGTCCAAAGCTTACTTATTTCTTGTCTAAAAATTTTATAGCATACCTTTTGGTTTCAGAAAATAACAAAGTAATTTAAAAGATTATTCTTAATCTAAGTAATTTATTTTAAATCATCCTAGCTAATTGTAAGCAGTCAAAGGTTCCTTTTTTAAATGTTTTGCCTTTAATTTTGAGTATTTGATCACAATCTAACAGTAAACCTAAAGATTCATCAAAAGCTGCATATCTCCTAAGGATAATAGCATAATTAATTTTCGAGAATAAAACAGTAGTATATTAAACTTATATCCTAGTTAATTAGAAGTAATTACTAATTTACAGTATAAAATTCTAATAATTTAGCAGCTCTGTTATGGAATTATAAAGCTTAGAAATCTGAGATGTCTTCTTGAATAGCTATTTTTGTAAAGTCATTCATAATGAAATCTGGATTTTCAGGTTTGATTGATATGATTTCTTATGAATCTTCAGTCTGTTGGATTAGATTTTTTTATATACTTGAATATAGAAGTTCGAATCATTATCAATTTATTCACTTCTGAAAGTAATTTTCTTTTGTCTTACCAAATCAATAGGAGATTTATCTTAACTTAGAACAGGCTAAGATGAATTTTTGTTATGAAATGTATGTGCTTCTAATTTAATCATTTTATTATTATTATTTTTAATATATATTAAGTTATCTGGAAGATAATCAAAATGTTCTCTTAACCATGATATTGTAGAAATCTTCCCTTGTTATTTCCCTACCATTTGAAGATGCTCGTTCTAACATTTCTGCTAATTCTTCAGCAGTCATTGTCTCACCCAATTCTTTAGCTACCTATATAATTCATTTGAATTATACTCTTTTCAAATTATTCAAGTTTATGCTATTACTGCCATCATCATCAAATAAATCAAATATTTTATTAATTCCATCTTTACTTTCTCTATTACCTAATTTTGAAGCAATAGCATCTAAAAATTAATCAAAATCAATATCAGTTCTATCTTTAACATTTTATAAATACCCTTCGCTTTCAAGGTCTGCTATCATATTGAAAATTGTAGGATTTTTTTAATCAAATCCTAAACTCTACATGGCTGCCTTTAATTCGCGTGGATCAACTCTTCCAGTTCCTTCTGTATCAAAAAGGTTGAATGCTTCTCTGATTTCATCAATCTCATCATCTGTCAATCCTGGTCTTGTTTCATTATATAATTATTATACCTCTCCAAAGGTTTACGAACATTACCTTACTTCTAAGGTTACTACTTTTAAGTTACTTAAGCTTAGGGTTTACCTCTCATATCTTTTATTTTAAATTTATTTATATAAATAGTAGATAAAGCAAAAATAACTTTCATTACATTATTCTCATATTTTCTGATGAATGTTTTTCTTCTTCTTCAAAAGAGTGACTATTATCTTAAAATTAATCATAAACTATCTAATCTATAAATGGATAACAACACATTAAATACCATCTAAGGGCTTCTCAAAATCATAATTTCTTTCTTCTTCATTAAGATAAGAAGCACTATTAAATCTTTAATATTCTTTCTCCTGCCCAAAATGCTCATCTACATAAGTTGATGCTTTCTTTTTTTTTCTTGTATCAACTTCAATACTCTCTTCATCTTCATCTCCTTATCCTTCCCAAATTGTTTCTGGAATTAAACTTTATATTGACTTAGCTTTTGAATATTATTATTGTGTTGTAATCTTCTTTGGGTTTTATTATTATTAAGATTTTGGCAAAGGTATTCTTGCTTTGTATTATAAAAATTTTCCATTTGCATTCAAAAAATCTCCAAGTAATTCATTATCTCCTAATACACTTGATATTGCTTTCAAAAAGCTATCTAATTATTATCTTCGATTTTCAATATCTTATGGAGTTAAATATTTTGTCATTTAAGGAAATTATGGCAATAAGATTTATGGATATATTGTTGTAAAATCTCTATGAAATGTTAAAAAATCACTGAAAGATCTAAATACTATTTTATGTTTTCCCTCATATTTATAAGTTATTTCATAGATAATATATTTCCTTTCTGTATTTTTATCTTTATTGTCTTAAAAAGATTTCACTTCGATATCTTTAATCTGTTGATATTATTAATTTTCAGTTTAACAAAAAGTAAAATTTGATTCATTTGTCAATAATTATTATCTTATCTATGCCTCATCATCATTGCCAAGCATTTAGAGTTTATATTTATACTCTGATACAACAGTCTAAAGTAGTTTTTTATCTTAAGGCATAAAAAACACCAAAATTGAAAATATCAATATTGCTACTCCTCTAAGAATGAACATTAACCAACAATTTATGTCTTCATGTCTTATTACAAATTTATCTTCGTTATTTATTTACCAAACAAATAAAATTATTGCAAATCCACAAAAACAAAGAAATTGTAACTAAATATATTACATAAAATACTATGAAATTGAATTAAGTTACTAATGTTGTTTTTCCATATTTAACTGCATCTTCAAATACTTGCAATCCTGCAAACAAATAATTTATTATCTAACAAAATTCTATAATTATAATCAAAACATAACTAAAACTAAAAATATAATATACTCTGAATGAAATTAAATGTTGATGATTATTTGCAATATTGAAAAAAATGTAAACATACCCAAAATTGCTATTTTTGTGTTAATTGAACATAAATTTAGGATGAAAATATTTCTTTTTTGTTTAAATTATAATCTCAAAGCTATATAGTCTAAGGATAGTTAATAATGTGTTACATTTATTCTTTTTCTTCCAAACTGATCCTATCAAAACCTAAATCAAAGGCAAAACACCCAAAAAGATTAAAAGTAGATTTTCCCAAAGATTATCGAAAAACTTAGCCATTATAAATTATAAATTAAAATAAAAAATGTTAAACATATCATAAATATTGGAGATGTTGTAAAAGTAAAAAAATAATTTATGAAAATGATTGATTAACTTTTTACATTAACTATAAGTTCATTCAATAAAAGTATTTTCACCATAAATTTTAAATTATACTATAATTCTAAACATTAAATAAATATTTCAAATTCAAAATATAAAATGTAACATCTCAGCTACCCTCCTGATAAAAAAATTTAGAATTACTAGTTCAGTTTCCGAGCAAAATTAGGCAAGGGTGCTTATGGCACAGTTTACGCTGGCAGAAACACCTTAGATAGTATAAAAGCATTTTTAATTATTAGATAAAATTATTGCACTAAAAGTAATCGATAAAAAATTGCTTGTTACTGATTATGCAAATCAATTAATTACATCAGAAATAGAAATCATGAAAAAGATTAATGATTTTCATGTTGTAAAATTGTTAGATGTCTTACAAAGTGCTAATAATACATACATTATAACAGAGTATTGTAATGGGGGAGACCTAAGAGAATTTATTAAGAATAGAAAGTACTTAATTCATATATTTAGAGTTATTCCTGAAGATGAAGCTCTCAAGATTATGAATGATTTATTGCTAGGAATTAAAGCTCTACTTAAAATTGGAATTATCCATAGAGATATTAAACCAGCTAATATTCTAATTCATGACAACCAATTCAAAATTACTGATTTTGGTTTTGCAAAATAAATCGATGCTAATTTAGACACTATCATGAATTCATTAGTTGGCACTCCATTATACATGAGTCCTTAAATATTAAAAAGAACTAAATACTCATCTAAATGTGATATTTGGTCATTGGGTTTAATCTTATATGAAATGCTTTATGGAATGACTCCTTGGCATTCTCAAAATTTGGTTGAATTAATGAATAAATTAGATTCTAAAGTAAAATTTAATTTTAATAAAATAGCCTCTATCTTTTCCAGTATATCCTTAAGTCTCTGAAAATACAAAAAAACTCATCAGAGGTTGTCTCTAGATTAATGAAGAAAAAAGATGGAGTTGGGAAGACATCTTTAATTCTGTTAGTATAAATTTAAATACAATCGAAAATACCTAAGAGTCACCTACTTCAACGATGAAAGAGGATAGTTAAATAGCAACTTAGAGAGAAAATCAAAATTACACTTAATCAAAGTATTCAATACAAATGTTAAGAATAAAATAACGAACTGAATCTTTATGTTAATAAATTAATAAACATAATAGAAGTTTTAGCAATACAGCATTTCTTACTAATGATAATCCTAAAAAATATGAAAATAACACTCCAATATATGATAAACAAAAACAAACTACAAGTTATTTAGATTTAAAAGAAAAACTAAAATAAAACCCAGCTAAAGTAGAAAGAGAAAGAAGCAGCTCCTAAAACTCTAAATTTCATACCCAAAGATCAGAATTAAACAATTATTTGGAAAAGATTCATAATGTTCAATAAAAATTAAACAGTAATAATGATTCATGCAGAACACCAAGTGCATTATAATCGCATTCAACAAATACATCTAATAAATAAAACTATGATTTAGATTTAGTTAAGATTTCTGAATTTTAATTTGAAGAAAACAAAGGATCTGATTATTTTACTTTGTTTAGAAATCCAAAGACAGAAAGAGTTAAAAGAACTAATAGTTTAAGTGGGAATATTGGTTATTAATAGCCTTCTCCATTTTAAGGGAAGGCTTTAATACAATAACTTATAAAATCTTTGAGTAATTAATTAGAACTTATCCCTAATCATGTAAATTGTAAGGTTGAGATAAATACTATGGTTATTTTACATAAGGATTAAATCAATTAGACTCAAAATAAACAAATTTATACAAATTAAGATTTAAGAGATCTCAAGTTACTCATAAATAATTTGATTTCTTACTTAAACTCTAATACAGGAGAGCACTCTAGCAAATAATCATAAGTTATGCTTTTGCTATTGCTAACCTATCATAAAGTACTAATTTTCAATATAAAAAATAAATCTATTAACATAGATACATATTTAATAGAATTAATAAAAAAGAATATATAAATCTAATAGAATTAGATGAATATTGAATCGAAATTAATAAGAGAACTAATACACTAATTAATGTGATTTTATAGAATATTTATTTTATTTTTTTATTTATTTAAAGATCAAATGATGTCAGATAATTTCCCTATAAAAGTAAATAAGGTTTCCAATAATTATAAAGAATAAATTGCATTTGTAATTATGATGACAAAATATACAAAAGGTAAAAATTTAAGTACCTTATTCAATAATTTTACTGATGTGTAAAATATTGGCTATTCATTAGCTATTGTCAAAGGATATTTTTGGTTCAATAGATACCAAAGCTTTAGGTTTTTTAAGTGATGTGTACTTTTTCCCATTGAAAGGAAGTAATAATTAAATTTATTATCCATAGAAAAGACTGCTCTGCTTAAGTGACTAAATTTGATACTTAAAGCATTATAATAATCTATATTTGGTTCAGATTATTCAACAGTTGAGATTGATGTTGAATCCAATCCTAGTTCAGGATGGGCCAGTTCTGATCATACAGGAAATTGCCAATTTTTTAAAATAATGTTGTTTATTCTAAATATACTTCTTATCCAGATTTGGTATACACATTCCGATAAAGATCCTTCATTCAGTCCTTATCCAAAGTTATTTTGGTGGACGGATTAAACCAGTAATGAAATAATATGTTGGTGACACAACTTTATATTCTGTTAGAATTGATTTGAATTTTTATTGAAGAACCATATTTTACAAAATTTATTTTGATTTCAGATAATCTATCCTACTATTCAATTCTTACTAATATATTTTTTTAATTCTTAATCAAATTTAAAATCCTATTTAAAATCATTGTGATTCTGTATGAGCTAGGTATTTCAAAAATAAATTGAATCAGCATAAAGTCAGAGATTTCTTTAGTAATATTCTACCATTTTTGTCTTTAAAAGTTAATTATAATGGCTTTAAAAACCTATGATTTTGCTCACCTATTGAACCCATTCTCAAATTACTTATTATTAATTTCAATAACTAATAGCAAATAATTTCTAATAGTTGAAGAAATTATATTCATTTCAGTCTTTCTCAATGCCAAAACATTTAATTACTACATTATTGTAAATGATAAATTTATTTTAACATAAATAAGAAATGAAAATTTTTTTTGCTTGAACAAGCAGTAGAATATTATTAAAATCAATAAATCTTTTTTGTAAATTATATGATTTTTAGAATTTTTTTTGCTTTTAATTCATTAACCATTATTATGATACATCAAAACGAATTTTATTCATTGAATTTTTATAAGGTAAAATTTCAATATTATTGTTGATTGATTTAAAATAACAGCTATATTTTGAAGTACTGCAATCTCCTATTTCAGAATTATTATGTATAAAGTCAAAATATTGTTAATTGTTCTTTTTAATCGAATCCTTGTAATTTATAATAAATACTAATATTTCTAAAGCCTTTTTATTGTTTGAGTTTTAGTTATTTGATTTATATCGATGTATTGAGAAATAATAGTTATTTTNTACCAAAGCTTTAGGTTTTTTAAGTGATGTGTACTTTTTCCCATTGAAAGGAAGTAATAATTAAATTTATTATCCATAGAAAAGACTGCTCTGCTTAAGTGACTAAATTTGATACTTAAAGCATTATAATAATCTATATTTGGTTCAGATTATTCAACAGTTGAGATTGATGTTGAATCCAATCCTAGTTCAGGATGGGCCAGTTCTGATCATACAGGAAATTGCCAATTTTTTAAAATAATGTTGTTTATTCTAAATATACTTCTTATCCAGATTTGGTATACACATTCCGATAAAGATCCTTCATTCAGTCCTTATCCAAAGTTATTTTGGTGGACGGATTAAACCAGTAATGAAATAATATGTTGGTGACACAACTTTATATTCTGTTAGAATTGATTTGAATTTTTATTGAAGAACCATATTTTACAAAATTTATTTTGATTTCAGATAATCTATCCTACTATTCAATTCTTACTAATATATTTTTTTAATTCTTAATCAAATTTAAAATCCTATTTAAAATCATTGTGATTCTGTATGAGCTAGGTATTTCAAAAATAAATTGAATCAGCATAAAGTCAGAGATTTCTTTAGTAATATTCTACCATTTTTGTCTTTAAAAGTTAATTATAATGGCTTTAAAAACCTATGATTTTGCTCACCTATTGAACCCATTCTCAAATTACTTATTATTAATTTCAATAACTAATAGCAAATAATTTCTAATAGTTGAAGAAATTATATTCATTTCAGTCTTTCTCAATGCCAAAACATTTAATTACTACATTATTGTAAATGATAAATTTATTTTAACATAAATAAGAAATGAAAATTTTTTTTGCTTGAACAAGCAGTAGAATATTATTAAAATCAATAAATCTTTTTTGTAAATTATATGATTTTTAGAATTTTTTTTGCTTTTAATTCATTAACCATTATTATGATACATCAAAACGAATTTTATTCATTGAATTTTTATAAGGTAAAATTTCAATATTATTGTTGATTGATTTAAAATAACAGCTATATTTTGAAGTACTGCAATCTCCTATTTCAGAATTATTATGTATAAAGTCAAAATATTGTTAATTGTTCTTTTTAATCGAATCCTTGTAATTTATAATAAATACTAATATTTCTAAAGCCTTTTTATTGTTTGAGTTTTAGTTATTTGATTTATATCGATGTATTGAGAAATAATAGTTATTTTAAATTAATCAACCTTAATATTCGATAAAGTTTAAGATACAAAATGATATAATCAATAATAAATCATTAATTAATATTAGTTATATTTAGGGAGGTGTAGAATCCTAATGACATTACAACAGATAATTAATTAATGAAAACTTTACAATCTCATGATTAAACTTTTATCTAACCTTATTATACTCCCCGAGGAGACTCATATAGATATGATTATCATAAATAGTAAACAATGTAGCTTTTGAATAAAGTTAAAAGACATCTATAAAAATGTGATTCAACTAGATATCGGAGTGAGAGAAGATCACCAATAGATGTAAAGTACTTGGATAATCAATTGAGAGATGAAGTCAAGGATGACTATGTAGAATAAAATGCCGATTAAGAGTTTAAGTTATTAAATGGAACATGTTTGAAAGAGATGTTAGCATATAGCAATATACAAAATTTACACAAATTTGATGAAGAATTGGAATTAGCATAAACAATGATGCCTAAGTAACGTAAATTAAAGAAATTATAATCCACTATATTGGTTACTAAATTAGTAAGGGCTAAAGGTATAGATAAAAAGTCGATCCAGTAAATTGATAAAGAAAAATTAGAAGAATTCATGTCTATACACAAGGATCAAATAAAAACAGAGAAAAAAACTAAATATAATAAACTGAAACTTCCTAATATTCCTGAAGCTTCTTCTGGAAGATTTTAAAGAGCTACAATAACTACTTTTAGAGAGTTTAAATAAAATTCATTAGAAGTAGATGGTTCGCCTTTAGTTTAAAGGTAAACTTCATTAACTCTAATATCGGATACTAAGATTCCTTTAGTGAGGTAGGCCCAGTCTAAATAAACTATAGGTTTTTTAATTGATAGAATAAATGAAGAAAAAAACGCAATTATTGAATAAAAGAAAGATATAAAGACTTCTATAGCAAAAGTATAGAAAAATTTTGATAAAATAGATATATTTAGTAAATTAGATAGACAAGAAAAATTTAATTATTTAAGATTTGATTAAAGAATTTTTGGCAAAGGGAAACATAAGAGATACTTTTGAAATAATTAATTTATTTTGTACAAAGCTTTTTTTAAATACAATAAATGTAATTTTAATTTATTTTTTATGAATTAATTATAAACAGGTCTTATTTATCAAATTTTTATAAAGGAAAATTTTGAAATCAACCAAAAGTATTCATTACTATATATCTTCATATAGATTAACTAATCGGTATTAATTTAATTTACTTTACTTTTAATATAAATTGGATTATCAAATCATTTAGCAAATTTGGATCATTTTAGAAAGGAAATCAAAAAACAATAAGTATTTATTGATAATGTTAATTACCTTTTAGATGCTTCAGTAATAAGTTTTAATCTATTCATTAAGCAGATATATATAAACATTAAATGTTCAATATCAATAATAAGGAGTTTTGAAAAAAATTGATATAAATAAAATTTAGGAAACTGATGAAAAAGTATTTAGAGTAGCACTATAAAAAATAAAAAGATCTTTAGGAAGTAAATTTAATTATAAATACAAAATCTGCAATGCACATTTTTCATACATCTGTAAATCCTTCATCTTTCCATTAATTGTAATGTTTATCACAATTATCAAGACATCCGCAACATCTTTCTTTGCATGGATACCATATGAAAGCTAAACATTCTCTAATGCATGTACAAACGGCCAAACAACAAGTATAAATAGCCTGACTTTAGATTCGTATTTCATACTTTTCCAGTAACTACCAAGCATTCCGCATATTTATCGCAACATCCTTTCTCTGGCTCCTTATCTTCACCTTCTTTTCCTTCTTCTCCTGCACCTGCTCCTCCTTTGGCTCCACCCTTATCTGCCATTTAATATTATTTATATCGTTTTTATAAATTAAACAAAATTCAGAAACAATAACAATAAGCATGAAAAATTGCATTCACTTAGTATTATGTTTAACATTTTTATTCAATTTTCCTTATCGATTACAACTAGAAATTCTCATAAAAGGAGTAATTAATTCTTAAGATTAAAACTTCATTTGATTTTTCTCAAAAGATACAAATTCAATACTCTCAAGTATTTTACATCTATTTAATAAAAATAAAGGAACTTATACAGATTTTTGATTTATTGTTATTATTATTATTCTAATAAGACATTTATTTTTTAATTATTGAATGTTTTTCTATTTTATTATTTGTTTTACGTATGCAGCTATCACTAAAAAATCTTTGAAAGGTAAATCATTTTATTTAGAAGCCTTCAGATTTATATAGCAAATATTTAGAGATCGATTTTGAAGTTGAGAGTGGTTCAGCTACAGGATTGTTAAAAGAATAGAATAATATGTTTTATCAATTACTATACTAAAAGGGATTTGATGAGAAAACAATTAAAACAGACAATATCTTACTAATTTGGCTTTAAGGAGGTCCTGGGTGCTCATCTTAAAGTGCATTTTATGAATTGATTGGTCCATTTCATATTGTTAAATCAGATGCTGATTTTATTATTGAAAAAAAAAATAATAGTTGGAATGATTTTGCTTCAATCTTATTTATTGATCAACCTTTTGGAACAGGATTTAGTTAAGGAGATATCTTAATAAATTCAACTTTAAAAGCTTCAGCTTATTTTGTAGAATTTATGGTTGAATTTTTTAAAGTTCATCCTGAATTTGGATAAGCTCAAACCTATCTGACTGGATTTAGTTATTCTGGTCATTTTGTTCCTTTTTTTTCTAATTGTTTGCTTGCTAGTGATATTAAATTCAATTACAAAGGAATTATTATAGGAAATGGATTATAAAGTGTGATAAATTAGATATCATCCATTTCTTCATATTTATATATAAATGGGTATTTAAGTTAAGAATAAAAGTAAATATCATAGAAAAAAGAGAATTAAATATAATCAATGATCTTAAAGTACTAAGAGAAATAAGCAGGAGCAGCTTTTACGTAATACTCAAAGGATTTAGAAAAATTAACAAAAACAGATTTATCAAATATTTTATTAAAACACTACGCTAAACGATCAAATGATTGGATTAGTTTTATAAACAAATATAAAGATAAATTTGGAATCTAAAATAACATTACAGAGGTTTGTAATTAATAAGTAAAATAATAAATGGAATCAGATTTTTCTTTTGATTTGACCAAATAAATCTAAGAATTGCTTTAAAAAGGAACTATACTATTCTATGATGGTTAAATGGATGCAAGCATAAATCATGCTGGAACTTTAAGTTGGATATCAAGTCTTCAATCTGAATACATTCATTAATGGAAATCAGAAAAAAAATCCATCTTTAAGTTTGAAGGAAGAACTGTTGGTAATTTGAAAAAAACTTAAAAATTTACCTCTGTCATAATCTATAATGCTGGTCATACTGCTACTTTCGATTAACCATAAATCATATATCAAATGATGAAGCATCACCTCAATAATGACTATAATTGGAGTTGAAATTAAGGTAATTATGAAAAGAATTATTTCATTTTATAAAAATGTTGAATAGGGATTTTTTGATATTTTTTATTACAAATTATCAATTGATTAATCATAAATCTCTTTTAATTTCAGGTTTTCAATATAAGATCAATTATATATATATATTATTAAAATTTATGAAAATAAAATAAATTATCTCTCAACTTCTCTAAAAATTTAATAAATAAAATTAATATGAAAGCAATTTATTTTTTCTCCACAATTAAACCTTTGATAGTATCTGGGCCAAGTGGAGTTGGTAAAGTAAATAAATAGTTTAACAAAGGGATCCTTGGTAACCAGACTACTCTAAAATAGTTAAGAATTTGTATATAGTGTAAGTTTAACTACCAGAAAGCCAAGACCAAATGAAACAAATGGAATCAACTATTTTTTTGTGGATAAAGCTGCTTTTGATGAAAAAATAAAAAGCAATGCTTTTTTAGAGGTTTGTGAAGTACACGGTAACCTTTATGGTACCTCTAAACATTAGATAAATGAAATTATCAATAAAAATAAAATTCCTCTAATTGAAATAGATGTCTAAGGTGCAGAAAAAATAAACTAATAATTAAATCACTAATGCGTAAGTATATTTATTTTGCCACCATCTATTGAAATACTTAGAGAAAGGTTGATAGGAAGAAAAACTGAAACCTAAGATATTATAGAAAGGAGAATCAAAAATGCAGAAATAGAGATTTAAAAGGCGAGATCATTTCAGTTTTATCATTTCATAATCAATGATAATTTTGAAACTTGTTATAATGAGTTTCTTGAAATTATTAATAAAAAATATTAATGTTCCTGATTAAAAAGTTATTTATTTTATAAAAATTATGTTTCTTCAATTTTGTATTTATTATTTATTCATAGTTTCTTTGAGTTTTAAGGAAACTAGAGATATAAATTTTATAATAATAACAATTATTTAAGAAAAATGGAATTTGGTCTAGTATCACATTTTCGCTTTAATAAGGGTGAGGAAGTAAAGCAAAAGTTCAATAATTAGTTACGAAAAACCAACAATTAGTATTAAAGTAGAAGTTCTCAAAAATTGACTTAATGGTAATTTAAAATATATTAATCTATAAAGATTGGCCAAGCTTTTTAATTAAATTTAAAAGATTTTCATTATTATTATCAGAATGTTAATTTATAAATCCCATTAAGTTGAGATTCAAGTTTAAATCAAGAAATTAATTTTATTATTAATTTATCAATTTATATGTTCCTTTTGGTTGAAATTCTTGAATAATTAATTCGATACTTTATATTTTCATTTTGAAATTCTAAGTTTTAGAATTTTGATATCAAATAAATTTAAATTAATCTCAAAATTAATCAGGATTTATAAAATATGAAAATAAAAAATTTAAGATTTTAGAATAAATTGGAATCTCTTTTGTTAATATTTTACTTTTATAATAATTTTGCAACAGATTCCTTTTTTTCTAATATGCATTTTCCTAGACTATAAAATTAATATTTCCCAGCATTTACAAAGAAGTATTTCAAATTAACAAAAAATAACAAAGGAATCATTCTTCTTTTAAAAAGAAATAAAGAATATCAAAGAAAATGATTTATTTGTATAATTAGCTCCAGAAGAGTTCTGCAATACAATACATCATGAAGAAATAAAATAAATTCTCTTTCTACTAATGATACTAAATCTCTTTTCTGAAATACCTTGTGTATTAGAACAAAAGGGTTGCATTGGTCGAAGACATAATTAGAAATATAGAGAAGGGTATAATTTTTTAAATTTATTTAATCTATCCTATTTAATTCAAGAATGGCAATATTATCTGTTAGACAAAGTAAAAAATTTTATTAATATATCCTCTAAAATCAAATCAAAGTCCTCCCCTAATTTGTTTTCTCTTTTTGCCAACTAAACCAAATATTATTTTTTTTTATTAAAAGTCTGATACATTCAATTTGACCCTGCCTATCAAATAAAACTTCTCATTCATATCTATACAAATAAAATTGACTATTTATAGTTTTAATATTCTTAAAAATAAGTGATCTCTTATCTAGTGGTTTTTCTGTGATTCTTGAATTTATTCATTCTGTACTTGTTATGTCGTCGAAGTTGTTACTTAGAAGTTGATATTACTTGGGTTCAAGAATATTCGAAATCAAATTAGTTCGAAATACTTCATAATTAATATTTTGTTTATTTCTATTAATGTATTTTATACATCACATTCTTCTAAAAATTTTCTATGGAATATTCCTCCCCCACTAAATAACCTTCTTCATTTTCTACATCATCTTATCAGTTACTTTTTTAATTTTTTTTGAAATAGTACTAGGTTTTTTGGAATATTTTGGAACTTTTGCAGGTTTATGTTTTTTTGGAAGTTTTAGTGTTTTAGGAGCCTTTTTTCTTTTAGTCAAAGTTTCTGCCTGAGTTGGATTAGGGTTATCAAGATTAGCATTTTTAATCTATTCTACCTTTTTGGCAGCTTAATCAGCCCTTCCAGCTTTATTTATTTGTTTTTATTTTTATTCTTCTCTTCTGTCATTCATGAATTTAAATTCTTACCAAAGGGATTAAAAATTTTCATCAAATTATTTTACAAGTGTTTTACTTTTAATTAAAAGTATGTTTTCTTTGTTAGTCTTAACTGCCGCCTTAGTCCAGTTAAAAGAACCTGTGGCTACATAATCAGAATCAATCACTAAATATTTATTATGCATCAAACTTGCAGTTGAATTATCGAGTTTAATTTCAACCTAATAAAATAATTAAGCTAATAAGCTACCTATCCATTACCTACTTTTTATATTTCATCCAAAATTTCAAGTTATTTAGTTAAATTGATGGTCTAAGCATCATCAGCTATAATTTGTATCTTTAGTTTTGGATTTTCTCTCATCATCTAAATTATTTTATCAACAATATTTTGATTGGTGAATGTGTAAATACAGATACGAATATATCGTTTAGCTTAAGAAAGGAATTAAATAAATTTTTATTCATTATCTTTGGATGGAAAGAATAAAGGTTCTATGATTACTTAATCTGATTGTCCTACTCCCATATAAATAAATTAATAAAAAAAAATTTTTTTCTAATGTTACAGATTCATATTACAAAAACGAAATTCGCTATCAAATTGGTTGGTACTTAAGTCGACATTATTCAATATCCACTAATTTGGATTAGAATTAAATATGAGTTTACCGAAAAATGTGATGGGCACTTAGAAATGAATTTATTGGTATTGATAAAATTTTAGAAATCAAAGTAGCAAGTACTTAAATGGTATATTTTTTTTTTTTTAAATAGTCCAATTGCGAATGTCTTACGAATAAGCAGCCTCTTCGTTTTATTTTAAAGTTAATAGAATTAACAATTTTATTTAACTCAATCCTCAATAGTATTTACTTGTAATTAGGAAATATAATATATCAAAGATGGATAAATAAACGAGAATGGACTATTGTATGTTAAGAATAAAATACACATTCATTTTATTTTTTTTGAATATTTTGGAGAGATAAAAAAGTTTGTATTTTTTGTATAAATTTCCATCCACAATATATGCTTTTATAAATTAGCTAATTTTGTTATTACAACCTTTCACTCTTACCATTATAGAAAAAAACGGAAGTATTTAAAAGAAAATAAATAAACATAATAAATTTAATAATATACAAAATTTATATTTTAAGATATTATACTTTAAAAATATTACATTACATAATATAATATTAATAATAAAAAATAAATAAAAAATGGATCATTTTTTTTATATTTTTAAATTAGATAACGTTTAGATTCTTGAAACTTGTCAGTTGAATATTGTTATTCTTAAAGTCATGATCTTTAACTTGTTTTATAAGATTCCTTTATCATCATTTGATTTTTAACATAGTATATATTAAATTATTAAATAAATTAATTACTTTCGAAATATACTAGGGAAATTTTAAATTATCCTCAGTAGTAAAATTATAAAAACTTTCAATTTATAATAGACCTTTTCAGATGATGAACTTAATAATGAATTATAACTTAAAGTACTTTATCTTAGCTTCCTTATCTTTAGAATTCTTATCTTTCTTCTTTTGATGGGAGGGAAATTCTTTGAATTATGTATTAATTGCTTTTTATTATTGTTGTTGATGAACATTAATTCTAAAACTGAATCGAGTGTTAAAAATTCGAGTCCCTTTCTATGTAATTCTAAACTTAGTGTCTTCAGCAATTGTAGTGTAATTCTGAGAAAAAGTTGCAATTTCCTTTTGGACTTATGAAGCTATAAATCTAATTGTTCCACTCACGCTTTTTTTCAAGAAACAATACCTCTTTAATGAATTATTTGCATTCATTATTACAAGAAATTTATTTTCTCAACAATTTTCCTAAGTCCTCTTGGATGTGCTTCTAAGAAATTGATTCAGAAAGTACTTAACCTTGAATTTTGATTTCTAAAGAATCCCTCTAAGATCACTTGTAATACTTGGGGTTGGATTTGGTCAAAACTGTCCTATTACTGCCGCCCTACATAACTACAGTAATATGGTCAAAGTTAAATAGTATCAAACTTCTTTAGGTACTTCTTGAACAACAATTTGGAGATCATTCCTGGTAATAATTCTCTTAATTGCTTAGAGGATTCATTTTCTTATTGGTCTTCCAAATTTCCAAAATTTTCAGAGTTTAAGTTTTGAATTTATCCAAATCATAATTAAGTTGATACTTTTTGTTTTCTTTTCTTTTATAAGCAAGATTTTTTGTTGAGTTTTTCATTTTTATTCAAAAATATGTTGTATTTGTATGGGTAAATGCTCTGCTTTTAGAGAAAACTATTTATTTTAAAGGTATATGTGTGTGTGTCAAGACTAATTTTCATTATTTTTCCTAATTTAATTCGGTATTGTTGTGAAAGTTTAGTTTAGCGTTTTATTGTGTTGTTTTAGCTTCTCATAAAAACGGATTTACCTATAAATACTACCGTGAGCTAAAATAGTTCCATCTAGTCAAAGGTAAAGAATTTACATGAAGATGAAATCTTCGATTTAACGGTACGTTCTTTCAGTAATTCTATAAATCTTTATTTAAACAAGTTATTAGAGAATCAATTTTTTTCTCTATATAAATTTCTAATTAGGTGATTTTTTGTAATAATTTATGACTAGTTTCTTATGTCTATTGTTCTATTTCTTATTTCTATTATTCAAATTATTGTATCAAACAGTGTTCCAAGCTTAATAATCCTCTATTTCTACTAACCTGAAGATTTTTGGCATTTATCCAACCTTCAAGATCCTTCACTTAAAAAATTTTACATTATTATTCAATATTAATATCTTTTGATACAGATTTCTTTGACATTTGGCACTAAATAAAAGAGATATATCTATCTAAAAAAAAAAAATATTATAAATTTTTATTAATTGGCTAGATTTTATAGACCCAGAGCGAAAGATAAAAGAGGAGAACGGTTTCTTTTAGATGTAAAAAATTGGAGAATCTGATAAATCCTTATTGAATAGTGAAGTTGAAGGATTTTTTGGAGATTTTGATTAATTAAGCTTTTTTTTGAAATGGACATGGAACTCAATTGAGAATGTAAGAGAATTAGAGTGGATAACAAGAAAATTATAGCCAGAACCAAGAAGAATTTTAATGATTGAAGCAATTGCTGATTTATTAAATACCAAGCAATCACTGATTGTGTAATTACATTGATATTTGTACTTGGGAGTGTTTAATTTTAAATTGACTTAGAAGGTGTTGAATTCTCGAATCGACACTTTAGAAAAGCTAATAGGAGAATTAGGAGTTTTTTAATGCATTGTCTGGAATCAGGAGAGTTGGTCTGAAATTAAAATAATCGAAGAGCAGTACTAGTTACTCAAAATGAAGATGTTTCAATAAATGAAAAATGAAATTCTTAATGATAAGGCTAGAAGAAGTATAGAGGTTTCAATCCTTAATTAAAGGAGTTGAAGGAGGAGTACTTTAAGTTACACTTTCCTGATTAAGAATAATCAAGAGAGCAAACCACGTTGTAGAAGGATATAATGAAAATAAAGGATAATGATCCTGAATGTATAAAAACTCAGAAGCGAATTTTGAATAGAATGATTTAAGAGAAAGAAGGCTTAAGAGGTAGGAAAAAAAAGGAAGGAAAAATATTGTTGCAAGAATATAAAAAAATGTAACAAAGAGCTTAATGAATTTTGCACTTAAAGGAATTAAAAAAGAAGCGATAAGGATTAAAGATATTATTATTTGGGGCGTTTTATTTGATGCTAATCAATAGATGCAATTACCTTCTTCTTCCAAGATAAAAAGAGAAATTGCTGAGAGGTCAAACTCATTCGATTTTTTTTTGAACCTTGATTCAAATGAAATCAGACTCATATTTTGCCTATCATTGTCATTGTGCCTTTAATAGAGTAATTTATGCATCTTCTTCTCATTGGGACTTTGCTTAGATATTTTAATTAAATGAGATCTAAAAGGAATTAAAGTCGATATGTCTTAGCAAAGAATCTTTAATGAAAGTTTCAAATTAAGAGAGAAGAGCCGCTATTGATTGCGATTTTCGATAGGCCATGCAAGTGGGTGAAATTTTTTAGGATTCAATTAATGCAAAAGCTCAATCAGGAAGTGATTTAGGGAGGAGAGGAGCTGAAGATTATGCGAATGAATTAAAAGCCTTAAAGTATATTTGTATAGAAATTAAATCAACATTCCAGAAAATTTTTTTTTTTTAAATTACAAAAAGAAAGGGACAGAATTTATTAGCGATTTAAGAGTTCTATTGGAAGAAATAATGAAGGAAGATCAAAGAAATCGAAGCAATCAAGTCTTCAACCTAAAAAATTACAATTTTATACACAGATTGAAACTTGCTTACTTTATACAAATGGAGAAAAAGCTTTAGGATGCATTTAAAAGTTGAGATCTTTGCCTCAACGTCTAACATTTAGATCTTTTGAGAAATTTAACAAGTACAATTTCAGAGAGCTAGAATTGCTGGCATATACTTAATAAGATCTTTAAAAAGCTCATGAAGTGTTGCATGATTTGAAATCATTTAAAATTGAAATAAGAAATCAATCTCAATAGATATATGTAGTATAATAGATATATGTAGTATGACATGTAGAAAGTTAGTGTTATAAAGGTATTTTAAGAAGCTTCCCAAAGCGCAAGCATTCCTTGAGAGAGCTTTTCAGGAAATAGAAATTAATATTACTGGAAAAGAAGTATTATGTGAATTGCTCAAAAAAAAGACGAGCATGTTTTTAAAATACTAAAGTTTTCAGCTATTGGCATGGTTTTATTTTTTGATGTTACACTGAAAGTATGCCTTTGGAGGATTTTCTCCTATTACACAGTCGTAAATGGAATAAACATTTACGAAAAAGATAAATAGGAAATTAAATAATAAGAAATAGGTGGATAAGGGGAAAAAAATAATCAAAAAAAAGAGTTAATAAAAAAAAAGAATTTTTGGATCTTCCACCATAAATGGACTAAACTTTATTTCAAGAGTAATACAAGTAGTAAAGCGCAATTTCTTTTCAAAAAGGAACTCCATTTTTATTTTAAACATAAACACTCCAATAATTTGATAAAAAGATTTTAGAAAATGAGGTATTGTTATAAGAAAGACAAAAAGGGAGATAAAAGAACTTATAGAAAATTAACCAAAGGTTTTGCAATTTACTTTCATTATTTGAGCAAAATTATCACTTAATGCAATATGAATTCCACTGCTGATTTTAAAAATGATTCTCATACTTATCAATTACAATTGCGGAAGGTTTGGGCTTGTTTAGGTTATACAGAGAGGAAGCATTCATTAGCATTAATTGCTCTATTTTGAGAAGAATGAAGTTGGAAATATCTCAAGTAAACTATTATTAGTTCTGTGTGGAATTTAAATAAGATACTCCAATTTGATTATTTTTTCAATAATTGGCGAAATTTTTTAGTATATGATCATTTTTCAAAGATTCATGTAATTCCTCTCCTTTTATTTGAATTTAATGTCTAGCTCTAATTCAAATGTTATTTTTGCTACCCCCTTAGTTTCTTAAGCTAATTAAAAAACTTTAATCATGCTTCTTTTAAATCATAAATAATTGATGAGGACAATTCATGTCTATTTCTTGTTTTTAAATCTCGCTACTCCTTTCAATTTAAGGAGCTTTATGTTATTAAAAACGTTGTAATAATAATTCTAAAAGCTCTAATTCTCTAAAATTATATCTACGAGGAACTGTAGTTTTGAGAATAAGAAGACAAGGAGAAAAATGAAAGAGCTGAAGATGTTGATTTAGAGAAAGAAGGAGAAGATGACCATGAAAAATAAGAATATACAAAAGAAAAAACGACACCACATATTATTTTATTTTTTCCTTTTTCTTTCCATATGGCATCTTCTCTCTTTTCTTTTTATTTATTTTGCTTTCCTTTCAAATTAAATGTGGTTGTGGGGTGTTTGATTCAAATTTGAAAGGTTAATTTAAAATATTTTGTTGTTCATATTATGATTATTATCAAATGGCTTTTGGTATCCATTTAAGCAGGCTTTTTCTAAAATACTCATTTGATTCTGGAATTATGCCCATAATTTGAAGATTTGTTTAATAACATCTCTTAGAAAAAGCTTGAGGATAAAATTTCCCTGCATTAATAAAATTTTCTTTATAAAAATTCTTAATACTTCAGGAACATTATTACTAAATAGTTCCTCCGTAAATTCTCCTTTTTATTAATTTAAATTTTCCACTCTGGAAAAAGCAGTCCAAGCAAATATTGAATAAAATTTGTTTTGTATTATTTATTTTATTCTTATTTAACAAAAATAAACGCAGAGAAACTCTATTTTAAAATTCTATTCTTGTCACTAAAACTTTGTGATCTCCAAATATTCCATAAGTATATTGATCACATTAGGTGAAGACAATTACAAATTTAAAGAAGAATTTTTTAACTAAAATACAAATTACAATAATTGCTATTTAATGTTACCAATAGGAATTAGAAATTATATCGCAAAATAATTAGGTATTATTTCTCATAAATTTGCCCAAAAAACCAAATAATTTTGTAAAAGAATTGCATTACAATAAATTACTCTATTCAAAAATACTGAAATTGTTATTAGAAAAAATATTGACAAAAAAAATTCCATAATAAATGGATAATTTGCCAAAATAACAGACATACTTTTTGATCTAGATTTTTCATCAATTAAAAGCATGAGTCAATTCATCATTAACAAAAATGAATATATTAACAAATTTTCAAAAGACTAAATGGAAGAAATTAGATAATTGGTGAAAATACTAAAATTAATAACATTATGTGACTGCTGAGACATGCCTCCTAGTGGGCAAACCCAACCCCAAAGGTAATGAACAACCACACATGATAAGGAACAAATTCCTGAAGATTATTTTTTTTAAGAATACTCAAAGAAATTAACGGGTAAAAAAAAGGAAGAGGAAGGGAGTGAAGTCACTTTGAGATAAATAAATTGAAATTGGCCTACTTTTTACCGATGGAAAAAAAATTATGGACTTGGTAAAATGCGTTAGCAAATTGAGAGCCTATTTTCTTCTTTAAAGAATCTTCGAACTTATTAGTGGAATTCTAAATAGATATAAAATTAATTAAGACCATTTTTGAATTCCTTATACATATTGACTTTCCAGTAAAAATCTCGAAGAAAAGGTTATAATTCAATTAGTTCCATCTACTTATAAGTAAATTTACTTTGACTTTTTATTATTGAGTTTTTAAACATTCCATAAACACCAATAAATATTGTAATTTCAAATATATTTAACGAGGACAAATAAGCACCTTAATTATTTTAAGTATGATATTGAATTTTAACAATCAAGTAAAAATAATCGAATTTCATAGCTACCAGATGCTAAAGTAGTCTCATTACCATTTTGAACATCCTTAATAGTTTGATTGATGTAGTGATTTTAAATGTGGAATTTAACCAAGAATCTAATCATTATTCAATAAACTGAATACTGGTTTAAGGATCTTCTACCCTGTAATAGAAGAACAGGAACCCTAACCTGTCTTTAAATTGGGGTTGAGTATTATATCGACATTATTATTATGAATTAAATTATCTCATTCATAATATATAAAATAATATTTATAACTTTAACTAAAATATTAT